AGGGGTGGTGTAGGAAAGCCTAGGAAAATGGAGTGAAAGTGCCAAAAGTCGGTAATCCCCTAATCCTCCCCTACCCAAAAAAAAAAATAGGTATGGAAGGAAGGAATGGGGTAAATCCATGAGGAAAAGGTTACCCATCTCACCCAAACCCTCACCTAACCAAAAAAAAGAAAGAAAGAAGAAGGAAGGAAAAATTAGACACCATATGGTTTTGGCCAAAAGGAAGAAAACTGGTGGGATTAGGTAGGGCGGTAACAACTAAATGGCAGGGATCTCCATGTGACTCCAAGGCCCATAAAGGTAAAAGGGGAGAGACTGGTGAAATGAGAAAAGGAATCCTTCAGAAAAGCTCAAATTTGTTGCCAACAAAAGAGGCCAGGGTCAAAATCCAGTGCAAGGATAGACTGATCATGTATCTTTCTCAAAGGAACAAGCTTCCACACCCCCCCCCCCATATACACTAGAAAAGAGCATCAATCCTATGTATCAACTATGTTCATCTATGCAAAGTTTTTTTCAAAAAAAATGGGGCTCATACAGCATTCTCATAGCCCTTTCTCTAGCCTGACACTTCTCATCCACAAGAAAAACAGCTCGTGGCATTTCTGTGTGGATTATCGCATGCTAAATAAGATAACCATTCTAGATTGATTTCTCATCCTGGTCATAGATGAGTTCATTGATGAGTTGCACGAAGCCATCGTCTTTTTGAAGCTCGACCTGCGATCCGACTACCACCAAATTCGCATCCGAATAGAGGACATATCGAAGACGGTGTTTTGAACACATCACGAGAATTACAAATTCCTTGTCATACCCTTCAAGTTATCTAATGCCCCAGCTACCTTCCAAGCCATCATGAACCACATATTTTCTCCATTCTTGCAATGATTTGTGTTGATATTCTTTGATGACATCTTCGTCTACAGTCAAATTAGTAAGGAACACAAGGGCCATCTCGTCTAGGTATTTCTTATTCTCCATGAACACTAATTTCATATTCACTCAAAGAAGTCTTTGTTCAATCATATGAGGATTGTATACTTAGGCCACAGGATATCAGTAGGAGTCATTGTAGACCTCGAAAAGATCGTCACCGTCCACTAGAGGTGCCATCCCACATGACCCTCTGAGACCTTTGAGGTTTTCTAGGCTTGGCAGGATATTACTGCCGCTTTGTCCAAGGCTTCGAACAGATGTTTGGCCATTAATATAGCAATTGAAGAAAGAGGCTTTCAACTAGAACCCAATAGTCGAAGAAGCATTCTAGTAGCTCAAATAAGCCTTGACGACAATCCTAGTGCTAACCTTACCAAATTTCTCCACGACATTTGAGCTTGAGGCAAACCCCTCTGGTCGTATAATAAGAGTTGTCCTCATGTAACACCAAAGACCTGTGGCCTTCTTCAAGTAGGCTCTTGCATTGACCCATCTATAGAAGCCAACTTACGAACATGAACTAATAGCTATAGTTCTCGCCATTCTTAAATGGTGGCATTACTTTCTTGGTCATAAGTTTCAGATTTTTATAGACCAGTAGAGCCTTAAGTTCTTTCTAGAGCAATGACATGTTCTCTTTGATTATCAGAAGTGACTAACAAAGATTACCTCGTTTGACTTTGAGATATGCTTTAAATTAGGCCATGAGATTCGAGTGGCGAATGCCCTGTCTCACGCCCCCAAACTGGTATAGATCCAGATGTTGTCTCTCTCTCATCCAAAGCTACTCGATCTCGCCGAAATCACTCAAGAGAATCAAGTTGATCACTACCTTTGAAAATCATTGAGGAATTACCTATTGAGCCGGCAAAATAGAGACACTACTCATTGCAGCAAAGTAATCTCTTCCACCGAAGATGAATTGTGATATCGGTGACCTCGCGTCTCCTCTCAACCTTTCTACAAGAGTTCCACGATACAGTAATGGGAGGTCACTCCAATTTTCAGTAGACTTACTTACAGCTCAAACGAAGCGTCCACTAGCAAGGAATGAAGGTAGCAGTCAAACTCCTTCAACCTTTGTCCATTCCGGACCGAATATAAGAAGACCTGAAAATGGCCTTTATTGAAGGATTGCACATCTCCATGGTTGGAATGCCATACTAGTTGTCGTCGATCGTCTCAATAAGTATGCTCATTTTTCTGCCCTTCACCACCCCTCCACAACATAAACAATGGTAGAAGTGGTCATCCAGGATATCATCTAGTTCCATGAATTTTTGGGGTCCATATTAACTAATTAAGATAGGATCTTCATGAGCGGCCTTTGGCAGACACTCTTCTATCAACAAGGGACCACGCTCAAGCGAACTAGCACTTATCATTCGTAGACTAACGATCAATTTGAGATGGTCAATTACAGGCTTGAAACATAGTTCTATTGTTTCACAAGCGAACACTCAGAATAGTGGTATCGATGGCTTCCATGGGCATAGTTTTAGTACAACACGAACTTCAACCACTCCACAGGGATAACCCCATTTCAGATAGTCTATGGATGAACCCCACCCACCTTGATCCGTTTCATTGACGAACCAATAGTGCTGGATGATCTAGAGCAATGGTTGCAAGAATGGGAGGAGATCCTCACACAGCTTAGATAAAATCTGGTACATGCCCAAACTCAGATGAAGCAATTTCAAATCGCAAGCAAAGGGAACTTGAGTTCCAAGTAGGCAAATGGGTCTACCTTCAGTTACAACCTATTGCCATACCACGGTTGCATGACGACCCTGCACAAAGCTTGCCCATCATTGTTATTGTCCATTCAAAATACTCTACCATATCAAGCCAGTGGCATACGATCTGGACCTTTCCGCCTCAACCCAAGTCCATCCACTATTCCACATGTCACAGCTAAAAAAGGTAGAGCAATGGGAGGAGGCCCTAGAAATGCCTGAGTTGCTAGTGGACGATGAGCTGCGTTGGACGGTAGTTCCAGATCAAGTCACAGACTTTCGCTACCGCTTGCACAATCCCGAAATATTATTACATTGGGATGGATTGCCACCTGAATGTGCCATCTGGGAGAATGCTTGTGACATCCTGCGGCAATTTCCCGATTTTCACCTTGAGGGCAAGGTGTGTCAATAGGGGGGGAAGTATTATTGAGACCCTGACATCCCAAATGGGCTCACATGGAAAGAGGTCTCGAAGAAGTCAACCCAGCCCAAGAACGAAGCAAGGAAGACAAGATCTAGACACCAAAAGGGACAATGGCATGTGAGAGCCTGCAAGATGAGATGTGTGCAGCTGATGAAATTCGACGAAGAACTATGGGTGACCCAACAAAGATGGAGCATGGAACTCAGGTCCCATCGGACCCCATTGGAGTGAGACGAGAGGCAATTGTCAATGCTAGAGGACTTCGGCTATAAAAAGGGGCTGAGTGGCCACGGAAAGAGGAGGTCAAAAGGACCTCATGAAGAACTCTGTGCGGAGTAGAGATTTCCCATCTCACATCAGTGACCCCAAGACCTAAGAAATCTTGGTTATTGTATTTTCTCTCTTTGTATCTCCTTGTCCCTCATCGACTCTCTCTCACTCTCTCTTTCAACCATTCTCGACCTTTCAGCGAGAGTTATCCGAAACCCTAGGCATCTGGAGTTTTGTATGAGATAGGTTTATTTATTAAACTAGTTTATCTTTGACATCTTAGTCAAAGGGTCGTCATCACCATCTCTCTCCATCGCTTAATCTTTGATTCTCCTATTTTTTCTCTTTCTCTTCGGGTTTTTTATACACCGTCTTCGTCTAAGATTTCTCTCTTTCTCTTTCTAAACTCGCTCTTCATGCTCTTAAAGGATTGTATTTTCATGACGTCTTTCTTTCTCTTTTTGTGCCTTTGCCCTCTCTGTAGCCTCCAATCACTTCCACGGTTGTATGTTGAGGATGCACAAGTATCTGCGTGAAAAACGGTCATAGATTTAGAAGTGGCTGCATTGGTCACTCGGAGATTCACGCAGGCATATGATCAATTGCACTGAGACATTTTCCCTCAACGTCCACTTCAACTCTATTCGCGTACTCTCTCTCTCGTCTTCAATCAAGCATGGTCTCTCCACTAATTAGATATTTCTAACCTCTTTCTCTATAGTGATCTCGAAGAGCATGTCTTTATGGAAGAATCTCTTGAGTATGTTACTCATGGGGAGTCATCAAAGGTGTGTCTCTTGCGACGTGTCATTTATGAGCTCAAACAGAGTTCACGTACTTGGTTCACTACCTTTAGTGATTTACTCACCACCTTCAACTTCGCTTCTTGTACTAGGGACCTCACTGTGCTCACGAAGAAGACAAAGGGCAGCCTTATGATCCTTGCAATCTACGTCGACGACATCCTTGTGACTAAAAGTGACTTACAACACATCAGTATTCGTAATTCGGGGTCTCCGTGGTATTTTCTTAAGATTTAGTTTATGTATCAAGATAGAAAGCTCACCCTCACCTAATGAAAGTATGCCATTGACATGCTTCAAGAGATAAGCCTCTTTGGGTGCAAGCTAAAGACTTTGCCCATGGAAGCTCGCATGCAATTCTGGGACACTTCATTTCTCCTATTCGAGGATGTTAACTAGTATCGACAATTGTTGGGCAAGCTAATATATCTCATCATCACTCGCCCTAACATCATGTACATAGTTAGTGTCCTGAGCCAATTCATGTAGGAGCCTCGACGAGTTCATTGGGAGAGAGTTCTACGAGTCTTCGCCTACATTAAGCAAGTCCTAGGAAAAGGGCTCGTCTATTAGTGACATGGCCATCTCTACATTACAGTCTATTCTGACGCTAGATATGTAAGTAATAAGGGCGACCAAAAATCTACTACGAGTTATTGTACATATGTCAGCAATAACTTAGTCATTTAGCGGTCCCAAAAATAGAGGGTGGTGTCTTGCTCCAATACGAAATCCAAGTATTAAGTTATGGTTGAGACATCATGAAAAATGATATAGCTTCGATCACTTCTCGGTAATCTTGCTATTACTTCTCCTTCTCCAATGCGTATGTATTGCGACAATCAAGTTGTCATATTTATTGTCGACAATCCCACTTTTAATGAGCATATGAAGTATATTAAGATCAACTATCATTACATTCAAGATAAGGTTATGTTTGAATTTATCTCTACACCTCATCTGGCATCATCTCATCAACTTGTGAACGTCTTCACAAAGAGTTTGACCGGCATCTCCTATGATATCACGTGTACCAAGTTAGACATATTTGACTTATATATTATAGTTTGAGGGAAAGAATTTGATAGTGATATTGGACTTCCGACTCGTTATGGTCCATTATCTATCTCTCCCTTCTTATCTCTTCTTTCTCCTATATAGGAGTCATGTATTTTACTTTGATATTTTATAGATTCTAAATTATTTTTCCTCTTGTGTCAATATGATAAACTTATAATGAAATTATAAGAGAACTAAACTTGATAGTTAGTTATTGTAATTATGATGTTCGATTTTAGTTGAACTAGAAAATAAATATTATTCTTAGAGAGCTCACATAAGTAAAAGAAAGAATCACTTAAAAAATCATAAAGTATTTTAGTTTTAGATCACATAAAATCAGGGCATTAGGATTTGAAGAAAAAGTTAACAAAAGTAGCAATTAGATATGCTAAATAAAATACTAGAATTGATCAATTAAATAATTTTATTCTTTATCTAAGTGAGGTATAAAACACAATAATATCATCAAGAAAATAATTCAAGAGATGATCTTACTTTCTAGGTTTTTTATTAAATATGAAAATTGAGGTTATTTTTCCTTAATATCATTAGAAGACAAACTATAAACTATATTCTTTTGACTTTAATATATTAAAAAATGCAAATGATTATGTTGTATGTGTCAAAGTCATAAATCATCAAAACATTTGGTAATCATAATGAACTCAGTCATAGTGAACTCTTTTACTACTTTAGAAATTGATATGAATGACATTTTTTTCTTTTACATGTCATTTTTCAAAAGGAAAAGTATATCATCATTCTATCAATTTACTTAAACTCAATAAATTGTGAACCAATTTAATATATATTATGAACATATGTACATATGATTTTTTATGTATTATAATAGTTTAAATATTCATGATTTGAACAAGTTTTCCGTCTCTCACTCAAACTTGACACTTCTTTGATGTATTCATACTTTGAACCTATCATGTGACTAATGCATACATTATCTAAAAATCATGCATCATGATTACTTATTATTGAAGTGATATAGGTTGGGAATAGATTACCTTCCTGCTTCAATTTTGTTATATTGACATGTTCTTTTGAATTTTCTTAATAATAATCTTCAATATTATCATTTTTTTATAATACTAACATTGTATTACCATTTAGTTTGGCTTCTATTTTTTACCTTCACTTTTGTTACGTATTTAGTGTCCTTGACTTTATTTGTTGTAACCACTTTTATAATCACTATAATAAAGACCTCCAAGTCTTTAACTTTGATTACCTTGATGTTGATTGAATGTATCTTCATTATCTATTTATCTTTTTAAATTTTAAGATATAGTTTAAAATATTTGTTCAATTATTTTTTCATAAGGCCTATTCATCAACTCATTTTGTGAATAAATAGACAAAACTTCAGATTCTTTAACTACAGTTGTAATATGGTTTTGTACTTTAAAATTATATTTTAAACTTTCTCTAATAATTTTCTTCTTTTAGATGTCTTCTTCAAAAATTCTCATTTGATTAATAAATAAAAAACTGAGGAAAACAAAAAATGATTTACTTGATTTCATAAGAAAGGTTATCAACTCTCTCTAAAGTGTTTAAAGCTTCGTGTTTGTAATTCTATTATCACCCTGGAATTATTTTTGTAGATGTTTGACTTTAACAAGATTTATGTAGTAATAAATATCTAATACGTGATGAACTTGACTCTAATTCCAATTTATAGGGGAAAAAAAAAAGTAAAAAGGTACAACAAATCTGAAGAAAAAATGACTACAGTAAATGAGGTAGAGGAGGATCTTGGCATAGACTCATGAGACCAAACGAAGAAAAAAACAAAAAAAGAATGTCTCATGATACAACTTTATGACGACAAAAAAAATGATTTATATAATAGATATATGTGATCGTAGATAAGTAATAACAAAGTAAGAAAGCTGAAGTAGGTCTGGCAAAAGGGCTTTGCCACCCAACCTCGGAAGTCTCCGCCACCTACAGCCGTGGCACATCACCACCGCCACCTTCGTCAGCAGCATCACCTTCAACACTAGTTTCATATACATCTACTCTAAGGCCGTAAGAAATAAGAAAACTTGGATTCAAGTCTATCCGCTCTCTTGGTCAAATCATTCTCTCATCTGGATGGAACGCACCAGAGGAAGGATACAAGCATGTGATGGACCCATTTCGGCTTTTGACCTTGCACTGGCCCATTTGTATCGGAAACTGTGGAGTCAATGCTTCAGGTCGGTCAAGCCCTAGTCGATTTTAATATTTGAACGAATTTTTCCCCGAAAATTCCAGCGAATAATTTGGCCCGGTTTGGTGGAATTTGGTGTGGCTTTGGTCCGTTGACATCTCCCCTGTAGGAAATTTTTCGAGTCGGGGAGGAAGATCACGGCGATCTCTGCTGTTCCGCCTCCCTCGGACAGACCGACCCATTCCCCCGCCGGTCCCCGGGGGAGCAAGCGCTGACCCAAACCCCCCCCCACCCCTCGGGCTCGCTGGCCACCGCCCCCGTTTGAGGCTCTCCCAGAGGCGGGGAGGGGCTTGGATGTGGGAAGAAGGTAGAGGAAGGTGACGAGGGCTCAAGAGGGAAGGAAGGGCGGGAAGGGCGAAGCTGGATGGCGGCTACCGTGTTCGTGCTGCTCGCCGCCTTCTTCATCCTCTTCGGGCTTCTTGGCCTCCTCATCTACCAGGTAATCCCCTGAAAGCCCCCCATCATTTTTGCCTTGTGTTCCTGCGTCCCCCATCGGCTCAGGTTCCTCGGTTTTTGCTCATCTTGCTCGTGCTCATGTGAAATGACTGTCAGCTTAACAAAGGCTATATCACCGGGCGCTGATCAGATTTCGACCCTCGGCGGAAATGGCGAGAAACTCTTCGTCACCATAATCAGAGCTCACCATGATCATTGCAAACTGTTCTTCTCGTGCTGTCAGTGTTGATTAGAAAAATTCGTCGGAGTTCACATCCCAGTTTCTAGTTAGGTGTCCCTGACAGGAAGCAGGAAGCTTGAGGAGATAATAACACTGATGGAATGAGAAGCTTTTATGGGGCATCTTGCTGCCAAGAACAACATATGAACGCGTGTATTAATTGCGACAAAGAGATCCAAGTGCTATGTGCATGCCGGGCTATGAAGAAATCATTGTAGGCTTTCCCCTGCTTGATTCAGTAAATATTTGCCTTATAGGTTTTCTGGAATAGGCACTTTATTGCTGCGTTGAAAATAAGTATTTTGGTAGTGATGTTGACCCGTGACCGAGTTTGAACAGCACATCAGGCGTTTTGATACCCTTGTAATTCATTGCCAAAAAAGTTTTTTTTTTACGAAAATTAGACAGATTGATAATCTGGTTTTTATATGATCATACAAATAAGCGAGCAGTTGACTCATAGCTTGTGGATCATATTAGTAAGGTGGCTGGCTATAAGGAGAACTGGTGATAAACAGTCGGACAGCAAAATTCCCTTTGACTGATTTCTTGGAAGATTCACTTCTTCTGATTCACCTTTGGGATGTGTTTGTTTCTAATTAGGGTATCTTCAGAAGAAATCATGGTAGGTTACGGCTTGATTTCTTTTCTAAGCACTTGGATTATACCTTTGACATTAATACCCATTTCACTGTTGCTATGAAAATAAGCCTTCCATTGTGATTTGGAGGGCTGGTCTCCTGTTTTCTTTTTTTTCTTTTTTTTTGAAAAACCGAACCAAGAAAACCAGATCTTACAGTTTTTTTTTCATATGATTCATCCCAAGAACTTAAAAAAAAAAGGAATTATAATCGATGATGAGCCTGGAATTATATTCGGATTCCTGTGGATTGTTAATCATGGAAAGGGATTCCATAAAGAGAAAATAAAGAACTGCTAATTAAATGAGTGGATTACTTTCTTGGAGGCATGCGTTTTCTTGATAAGTCCCCCTACTGGTCATCTAGCTGCTGTTGCTTGGTGGTGAATATGATGCCCAAAATAGTTATTTATTTTTTTCATCTGCATCATAAGTGTCCGTATAGTATTATGCGTGATAAATATCATCTGGATAAGCAGTGGGTACTTGGTTTGATACTTGATTATGTCTGAAAATTGGGCAGAGCAGAACATAAAACTATGCATTGAACTGTTGACTGGTGATTCGTATATCATGGGATCTGAGTAATATTCTCTATATGGGACTGCAAAACTCCCTTTGAGTAGCTTCTGTGATGCTTGATCAGGAGATGGGTTCTATTTTTCTGCTATCAATCCGATTATTGCTTAAGTGGTACCTTTCCCCTATGTTTATCATGCCTTTGGTACATTATTTCACAGAATCATGGTATAATATTTTTAAACTTTGGGTTATATTTATTGCCAATTTCATAATTTGTGGCGCACAACGCTCTGCTGCAGCTCATGTGCCTCTCTGACCTGGAGCTGGACTACGTCAATCCCTATGATTCAGCCTCGAGGATCAACGCTGTGGTCGTACCGGAGTTTGCGCTCCACGGGTTCCTGAGCCTGATCTTCCTCTTCAGCGGGCATTGGCTGATGTTCCTCTTCTGCGTGCCCATCCTCTGCTATAACGTGAGACTGTGAGTCTCTCTCTCTCTCTCTCTCTCTCTCTCTCTCTCTCTCTGATGTTCTGCTAAAAGCGCGGTAAGCCAACTCCTATCCTTCTTGCTAACAGTTGTACCTTCTTCGTTCTTCAGGTATCATCAGAAGCAGCACCTGGTGGACGTGACCGAGATATTCAGTCAACTCGGCAGGGAAAAAATGCGGCGGCTGATCAAGCTCGCCGGCTTTATAATCCTCCTATTTCTATCCTTGTTCTGGTACCGACACGCAGCCGATTCTGGCGTCCCCGCTATTCGGTCAAACCGCATTTTACTGATAAGTCACGCGTCATGGCAGGCTGATCTGGACCGTACTGGAGGAGGATTAGGTCAACGCCAGCCACCGTCAGACCAAGCGGGGAACGAACACGTAAGCATCAGTTTTTCTCATAGATAGATAATAGACAAAAATCCCATTGATGTTCTTTCCGGCGTCAATTATAGTTATCTGTATTGGGCACAGACGAACCAGCGGCTGACCGATTTCTGGCGGAATCCACCGTTGACTTTCCAAGACTGCCGATCCATCATGGTCAACCAAGTTCCGAACTTCCTTCCCCGCTATTCGCGGCAGCCTGTGCTCTTCCTCTCACTCTCTCTCTTGGAAGCTCAAATCGAATCAAATCCAGACTTCTTATTTTTCATATATTACTCTGCCTCGCAAGTTTATTGCGAAATATATGAGCTTTAAGACGACCCATTGCTTGGTTGACTTCAAGAGAGAGAGAGAGAGGGAGCATCTAATCTTCCTGCTTTGGTCCGAGCTCCTCAAAATCTCTGGTTTTGATCGTCTTACAGAGAGAGAATAGAATGATAAATTAGAACGAGAAAATGGAAGCTCTTGGGGGAGGAGAAGATCACTGCTTCGAGGTTATCTCCTTCTCTACGAGGGCGTGCCTCATCAGGACGATCTCCTTCACGAGATTCCGGTAAGTGAATGGCCGGACCGCCGCTCTCAAGAACAGCTCCGGCGGTATCCTGCCCTTTTTGATCCTCCTCCTCGACCTCCACTCCTTGGCGTCCGCAGGCGAGAATCTCGATCCCTCCTCCTCCGGTGTCTGCTCATCTCCCCAGCTTCTCTCCTCCTCAGGGTTTTGATTCTTGTAGACCTGATCCGACACCTCGATGCTCCTTTTGACCAGCCCTTCCATGGCGTCGGGTTCCTTCATTGCCCTCTTCCACTGCTCGTTCCAGTACTCCTCGCTCTCCTCCGGATCGGAGACCTCGCCGCCGGCGCCCAAGACCTCGTCGTCCTCACTTTCTTCCTCATCGATCACCAGATCCTCTTCTCCCTCCTCGTCGACGACGTCGTCCTCGATCCAGTCCACTATCTCTCCTTCCTCCTCATCGCTGCCATCGGGAGCGTCGCAGCCCAACTCCATCTCCTCCAACCTGGCCTTCCATTCCTTCGTGTAGGGATGCAACAGCTCCATGGGATGGTTCGTGAACAGGAACTCCAAGCACCTGGACTTCCCCTCGTCGCTGAGCCTCTGGTAGGCCTCGACGACGTCATCTACAAAAGCTTTTGGGCTGATTCTGACGATTTTGCAGAGCCCGGCGAAGTAGGTGCAGGTTTCGACCTTCCCGTCGGCGACCTTCAGCTCGCAGAGGAACTGGTTCTCTGTGTCGGGATCGAGCAGCGGCCCTAGCAGCTGGAAGAAGCTCCCCTGAGGCTCGAAGCGGCACTGGTACACTGGCCGGCGGACGTAGATGATGTCCGGTCGCATCCAGGCGGCGCACTGAGTGATCAGAGCTCTAGTATTGTTCCCCAGCCGCCCCATCAAGCTCCATTTGTCGAGCCTCTGATTCCCGGCTTCGAGGACCACCTCGGAGACCAGCGTCCACTGCTGCCATGGCAGATCGGAGCTCCGCCACTTGGGATGGCGAACGAACACCCAGAAGTACTGAAACCCAAGGCTGTGGTCCATGGATTCGAGCCGCCGGGAGAAATCGGAGGCCATCTCGAATCGCTCTATCTGCTCCCACTCCTCGTGGTCGCGGACCTCGCCGATGATGGAGACGCGCTCGTCGGAGAAGCGGCCGCGGATGGGGCTGCCGACGACGATGCCGCGCCAGGAGTAAGGCCCGTACTGGCCGTACTTGTACCAGTCGTCGGGATGGCGGAGCTTGGGATCGTCCTTCTCCATGAATCGGACCTGCCGATCATAGCCAAGGCCGATCATCTGGAGCTCCTCCTCGGTGAAGGAATCCGCCTCGTCCGCCCAGGTCTTGTTGTGCCGGTAGAAGAGGTTCTCCGCCATGCGGCGGCTCCTCTTCCTCGCGCCGTCCTTGGCCCTCCGGCGCACCTCGGCGTTCCCCTCGATGCGGCCGGTGGACGGCCCGCCAGCCTTCTTCTTGCTCCGTCCGGCGGAAACTACGCCGGCGCCGGAGAGACGATTGAGGCTCCGCCACCGGAAGGATGGGAACGGGGAGGGGAGATGAGGGAGGATGCCTGCTCGGGTGGTGAGAGAGGGCCTCCTCGCTCCACGCCATGGCTGGGGGGTGGCTAAGGTCAGTGTTTTGGCGGGGGGAGAGCTCTGGCAGCGGAGCCCCGTCCAGTCCGGCGCCGGCGACGGGAAGGGGACTTGGGGTTTTACGACGGGGGAAACCCCACCGGCGGTGGTCGACATGGATGGAGATGAGGTGGGGGGGAGAAGGGAGGAGGGAGGCCTTTGCCTCAAGGGGGGAACACACGTAACTGCCCTTAATTTATCGCACAATTACTAAATCACCCTTTCATACTCGGTATAAGCCCATACCGTACCAGAGGCGGCGGCGAATCCCTGGCAGCAACCCCTCCTTCCCCTTCGACTCCGGCGAACGATCGACTACGACGTGATAGGGGACTCTCTCTCTCTCTCCTCTCTATACCTCTCTCTGCCTCTCTATCTCTCTCTGTCGTATCGGATTTCGATCATACTCCGTTGTGTCCTCTCGGACCCGGTTTTCGAAAGAGATCTAGGGTTTTTTTCCCTTTAGGTTGGCGACATTGAATCCGTAGGTCTCCGAGGTGACAACAAATGCAGGCGAAGATCCAGATTACTGAAGTTCACAGTAATTTCAAGGCAATAGGTAAATCGGAGCGTACATTGTCTGTCGAAGCAAATTCCGCAGCAGATCATGTAGAGTCAAGATCATTGTTAATGCATCATCACCAACACCAGAATCAGTGGATAACTAGTCCTCAAATCCTAAATGGAATCAGACGAGAGGCGACGCCCTGCCGCTTCCATGGAGCTTGCACAACCTAAAGAATGGTCAAGGCAGGATTCCCTGCCTGCGTATCCCCGACGAGGGAGGGGAATTCGTCACCCTCCCGGAAGAGGTAAGTTGACATCCGCGGGGGACTCGCGCGAGTCCGGCTGCGAGTGCAGGGAGGAACTCCAGTTTTCCCCCCGGAAGAAGGTCCCCGGCGGGGTAGGCCTTGGCGGGGTCGCACTGCTCTGCCCTTGCCCTTGCCCTTGCCCTTGCCCGGTGGATAATCCCTCTTCCATGGGGGCGGAGGAGATTGGCATCGCGGCAGGTGGAGCGGACATCGATGTATGGTCTACTCTGGGTTTCTTCGTCTTCTGCTCGATCTGATAGTTCGGTATGAAGCTACCGATCACCACCTGGAGATGATTTCAGGAAAGGAGGATGATGAACTTCCACGGTTGAGGGGAGATTTCGACAAAAAGTATGGATGGAGCAGGAGGAAGAAGAAGAACCTGAACAGGGCTAGCGGCCACCAGCAACCCGGCGACTCCTCCTCCGACAACTCGACCGTCTGGGCTCGCCAAGGAGACACTCATCCCCCCGGACCGGCTCCTCGATCCTCCGCTCTCGGTGGGCATGAACGATCCAGACAAGGAAAGGAGCTCGAAGCGACCCTACAAGAGCACTTGCATTGAAAAACCAGAAGACCGGGGACCATTCTATCTGTGGATCACGGAAGGGAAGACGATGCCGACAGAGCAGATGGATATCAATCCAACCTCGTAGGTCATGGTACCCCCGGAGGAGTCTGGTTGCCTGAGCGTGACGTTGGAGATGACGCCATTGGCGGAGAGAATGCAGATTCCCCGAGGCCCTTGCTGAGAGAATGAGATGATCTTCATCGTCACATCCTGCCCACGTCAGGATTCAGGGCCCGATGATCAGAACAGCCGTGATTTTAGAGAATCAAAGACCACGACACTCATAAAACACAGGATTGTGCATCTCAAAAGGCCTGTTTTTTCTCTTTTCCTTCATCTTTTGTTCAATAATGTGTTGCGATTGTTCAAACAAGATTCAATCGTGCAGCATGGTACCGACCGTTTTTGGGGAAAAAGAGTCAAATACTGCGATTTGTGTGATTGTTCACAGAAAATGCAACCAAAACTGCAAGTTGGGACTTCCGTCGCTTATTGGGTCAGATTATCAGCATGAAGACAGTGATCGTACCTCGCCGGCGGGAACCGTGATGATGTGCGGCGTGAAGTTAGCACCGGCGGAGCAGGCGACCGATTCATCTGGGAAGGACGTTTTTCAAAGTTATCAGCAGATAATGAACACTCCAGGTAATGTTCCTTCTTCAAACAGCCACAGAGAGAGAGAGAGAGAGAGAGAGAGAGAGGGAAGAGGATAGTTGGATGATCTGATCATGTTGATCTACTGGAATGGCAGAGAGTATGGCTGTGCCTGAAGGTGTTAGTTGTTACCGAAAGAGTCGATCTCCAGTCCCCACTGCTGCTGCTGCTGCCTGCTGGCGGAGCCCCCCGGCCGCCCTCTACCCCGCTTCATCAGCACCCCCGGCACCGAGGACAAGGAGAATTCGCCGGCCGGCGCCGACGCCGAGATCGGCATCAGACTCAGCGGCATAACCAGGCTGCCGTCGGGGCCGTACTTCCTCGGCCTCCCCCTCTTCTTCTTGAACACAGGCATCACCATGCTCACCGGCGCCGGCGATCCCACCGCCGCCGCCACCGGAGCCTCCACCGTCGCCGGCGCCGGTGCCGCTGTTGCAATCGCCGGCGCTCCTCCTCCGCCCTGACTAGGGTTTTCCGGCCTCGGCAACATCACCGGGGGGAAGGTCCCCCCGCCCTCCTGCGGCGGCGGCGCCGTCACCTCCGAGCTCATGCTTTCCCTCCCTTCCATACATAGACCGGAGAACAACCAACAACCACCAGGAGAAAACTGGCCAACCAGAAGATCTCAACCCCCACCAACCTTCCTCCTCCGACCAGACCTCCACAGTCACTCACCGTCCTCCCCTTGCACCGGAGCTTCTGATCACAGACTTCGCCGGCCGATCGTCGGAGCGCCGCCGCCCCAACCCACTGAAAACCCTTGCGTCGGCCTGCCTCCTGCTTCCCCCATTGCAGACCACAGAGAAAAGAGCTGCCTTAGTCCATCCCCTTGCCGGCCGTCTCCCCTACCCTCCGCCGGAAAACCGGCTCCTTGCCGCCCTGCTCCCTGCTCCCTCCTCTCTCCTCAACAGTGCCGGAAAACCGCCGCGGATTTCCTCCCCGCCGGAAACCAGAGAGAAGGAACAAAACCCAGCAGGGAGAGAAGGAAGATCAATGAGGGAATGTAATGGGGAAAGGGAGAAGAGAGCGAGAGAGGAGGAGAGAGAAAAAGATGGAGGAAGAAAATGGAGAAGGAACAGGACTCTCACTCCTCTATTTTAATAATAGTTATATTAAAAATTAAGAGCAAAGCTAGGGCTGGCTGCCTGACCAGATCTGGAATATTTTAATCCGACGGCTGCGGAAACCGAGGCGGGCTAAAAAATAAAAATAAAGAAAAGGCCTCTTAACAGCGAAGGGGGACGGACGGTGGCGGGAACCCAGAGGCCGGGCCCACTTCCCTCCTCCCCGTTAATTATTTTATTTATTTATTACTAACCTCTCTCTCTCTCTCTCTATCTCGCTCCGCGTTGGCCAAGCGGGAGGGCCTTTCGAAGGCCCGCGCCAAGACACCATCCGGTCAGGGGAAAGTGGTTCGAGCCGGAAGGCGGGATTTCATGAATTACAGTTTTGCCCTGTCTTTTTTGTAGACATCTTCGGGTTCTAACCATGTAATTTGACCCCATGCTTAAAATAACGTATGTTATTTTATTTATTTATATACCCTTAAAATTGGTTCCCCTTGTCATAATGATTACAGCGACGAGCCCCGTCAGCTCCAAAATAGGAGGGCTTCCATAAAAATATCCCACTTTTCTTAAACAATGGATTTAACGAGACCCATGCGCACCGACTACCCCCTCATCCTCCCAGCCCTCTCTCTCTCTCTCTCTCGCTCTATTCGGAAACTTACGGCGGCCTCTCTCTCTCTCTCTCTCTCTATTTATATATACAAATATATATCCATATATATTTCTCTCTCTCTCTCTCTCTCTCTCTCTCTCTCTCTCGCTAGAGGTCTCTAGAGGCTGTCTGAAAAAGTGGGCTAGTGGGTCTGCTTAAAATGAAAGAGCTGATGGTATATTTATTAAGCTGCCTTTCGTGTCCCTCGTGTTCGGAGCTCACGTGCGTTGCACCCACCACCGGCTACTCCTGGGGTGAGGGGGGGGGTGTTTTTGAAGTTTACCAAGTCTTTAATTCGGCCGGTTTGTCCTTAAATAAAACTTTTCCTCTGTTTGTACAGTGAATTGATCTGGCATGGGGCCCCTCGATCCTGAGGAGGCCTATAAAGGAAATTATCTACGATATATTAACTATTCATTAAAGAGGTGAATAAGGACTTATATGTAATATTACTGTGGGACGGTGACATTGGCGGCGGAGAGAATCGTGGGCCGTTGATCCCGACTCGGATCGGGGTCTGCCGATTCCGCGTTCAGTGCCTTATTTTGGTATACTTTACTTAAAATATCATATTCTTTTATCGAAATTCCAGTGGATGGCCAGCTGGCAGACTGGCATTCCCTGAGTTACCCCGCAATCAACAGCTTAGCCGGCCTGGCCGGAGCCGGCTAGAGACGTAGCTGTCCTCGCGTACTATATTGCTCCCCCACGTCAGCAACTCTTGCCGACGCGGACCTCTACGGGGGTGGCCATCAGACGGATGGGATCCCCGTTCTGACGACGAGGTGACAGTAGCCACGTCGGCGCGTGGATGGATCCTCCTACCCTGCGTTGACCTTCTATTCCTACCTCGGAGAATCTACACCCTTCCATTCATTCCTAGACTCTGTTCTCCCACCCCATTTTCAACCGCTCAGGTGGGTGAGTTACGTAAGTCAGCTGCTTACCAGTTGACTCAAGCGTACTATCGAGCTTCCCCGAATTGCCACGTTTGACTGAGGTGGTGGACCAAATCCACCAGTGCGACATCTCTCTCCAATCGGACATTAGAAATATGCTTGGTATATTACTAATATCACGGTCAACGCATATAAAATAACAAAAAAAGGGAATAAATACAAGCCTTTCCGTGGTCGTCGACATTACAAAGTAGTACATATTTATCCCAAAAAAAATAATTATTGCCTTTTTTGGCTATTTAGAGCTTCTCAAGATAGACTGAGGTGAGATAGATAACCCCGATTTAATTTATATATTTGGTGAATATATTAATAAAAGATGTGAAATAGTTAGACAAAGGTATTAATCCCACGCATTATTTTCTTATGGTCACGTCATTTTCGTACATAAAAATCAGCAATGCACATAAGTTTGTATATCCGAAATATTTTTTAACCTAATTATCATATGTAGTGTCCCACTGATGACGAGGCCAACTCGGACGGAGTTTGACGTTTTCTTCTTCACGAGACGAGACGTCAGGTCGGGCCCAAAAGTCGAAGAAAGTAGTCTCAGACCATAAGTCAACACGTGTGTTCCCCCCCTAGCTCTCTCTCTCTCTCTCTAGGTGAGGGTCCTTTCCCAAGTTGTCTTTAAGCCCAATCCTGGAGATTTTATTGGGCTTTTTTCTCTGGGCCTTATAAACACCATCATCCCGGCCCGGCCGGTCCACGCGGGGAACATTGACTCTGAAAGTGGCCCCCACACGAGGATCTTCTAGACCTTGCTGCCAGATGCTACCGCCTTATTATTGCGTCACCGCTGGCAATGTTTGGCCTGCTGGCCTGTTGACAGCACAGAACACTTAACTCCTCGGACGCGTTCGTCAGTAGAGAGAGAGAGAGACAGAATGCCCACCGGTCAACTACCATGCTGACGTGGGGACATCTCGACGGGGGTGGTGGCGGCGGGCTAACAGACGATCTCCAAACGAACGGAAGGATAAGGTCGCCTTCAATTCCTTTTGACCTTTGATGTCTACTCGGAGGCGTTGACCGTTTAACAGCGCACCTGCGAATATTATTCGTCGCCGACTCGTGGTAGTAAGAATTATATATTATTCAATGGTAGGCCTAAACTATTCAAAGAGATTTTGCTCCTCCGCCCATAAAAGTTTTGCCCAGAATATATATATATTATTTATGCCCCCAAGACCACTACCAAAGCAGCTTCATCCAAAAATCTGTATTAACCTGCTTTCTTCGGATATCTTATCGATGATAATTAAAATATTAATTTTATTTTTTCATTTTTCCAACATCGGTCATGAAAATAAGTATTTATTTAATATTATCATATATAAAACGGTTTCTATAAGCGGAATAAGCAATGAATGCTCATTAATAATTCTAGCAGATGTGTTTTTTGGTAATAAGTTTAATCATGGGATAGATTTAGGAAAAAAGGAATTCTTTTGGGCCAAAAAGCAAAAAGCCCCAAATTAGATTTTTCATTCCTCGAATTTAACGGCGCCGATCTCGTGCTCATCGAAGCCGCTGGCGCTTCCCTGTTCTGGTTCCTCGAGCGAATCGAGCAATCACGGAGGCGTAGCCAGTCCAGGCAGCGTTCACAGTAGCAATGGCCTCACTCGAGGAGAATGTTCTCGTCGCAATCTTCCTCCTGATTATCACGTTGCTGCTACTCATCCCGTGCACAGCAATCAAGTTGTGCTGCGTCGCCTTCAGGAAAACCAAGAGGACCATCCACTGTCAGTGTTCAGTCTGCGTACGTTCCGGCAAGTACCGCAAGTCCATAGCCAAGCGGGTATAAATTCCCCCGTCCCTGGAATTTCGCTGATTTTTCTTGTAACTTTATTTTTTCTTATTCTTTGTTGGATTGATGTCTTATTCTCGTCTTGTCTTATTGCAGATTTCGAATTTCTCAACGTGTTGTAATCTAACTCTATTATTGTTCTGGATTTTTGTGGCGGTTCTTGTCTTCTACATCAATTATCTAAGGCTTGAGGTGAGTCAACGATTGTCTATGGATAATTTTTACTTTATAGTAATATATGTACATATAAATATATATAATAGAACGGGCTGAAAGTTCAAAAGTCATTGCGTCGTTAAATTTAGAAGATTTTTTTTTGGAAAATTTTGGACCGATTACATTGCCAGGAGTCTTTAAATGGCAGCTATCCATCCGCTTACAGGGATTATAGCTCTCGGCACTCTTATGTGGAAGGAATTATCTAACTTAAACCTATTCCGTTTTTATTCCCCTTTTTCTTCCTCACATTTTTTGTATCATTTTCTAAATTTTACACGTTAAAGGAAAACTCTTCTATCAATAGGAAAAATTTAGTGATTGTAATCCCGCCATTAGATCATTTGATGATATTTACCTTTCGACGTGAACTGTGGGGTATCCAATTCTAACGATTGATTTTAGGTGTACTGAAAGCACTAATGATTACGTTACTGGAAACATTACATCAGGTTATGTGCATGTGGAATGATATCAAATCAGTATATTAATAGGGAAAGGAACACGATCAAGTTTTAAGTAATTTTTGTGTACAACATGCCGAAGGAATGCAAAAGTATTCCATTATCACATTGATCGACGCTCAACATTACTTGGACGAAAATTATGCTTCTGGGATGTATGGCCTCTGAAACTTTCTATCTTTTGGAAGCATCCTTGGAAACCGCTAATGAACTCTTTCCCTATTAATAGCATCTTTATCAAGTAAAAATTGGGAGGTTCAATAACCACGAAAAATTCAATAGCCTATGACAAAGGTTCATGAAATATTTTTTTCAGTTTTCTCATTTCCTTAAGGATAACGGGTTTGATTATTTCTTATTACATGTATCCTAGAATTTATGCTGATGATTTCACAAATTTGTTTTTAAGGAAATTGTGAGGATAACGTGATAATTATCAGTAAAATGTAACGTCCAAGTTCTATTTTCTGGATGATTTCCTTAAAAGAAGTTCATGATAAGATAATAATTTCCTGTGCAGAGCGTGTGCTAGTTAAAGTTTTGGAACATGACTGTTTAAATCAACCAATCAAAGAGAATGCTTGTGTGAGAGGCATTCTCCATATTTTTTTATTTTAGCGTGTTTCAATCCATCCAAGAAAATATGGTATTATAGACATTTTTTCTTCTCTTTACTGAAGGACCAATTTAGGTTACATCAATTAAGTACGATTAGTAACATGGACGTCGGTTATATGTGATTTCACGTAAATTCAAAAGCTAGAAGCAGCGTCAGACAACTGGAAAGTCAAAATTTTGGTATCAGTGCTCAGTGGGACTAAGTCTGGGTCTGCTCTAATCTGTGCCAGTATGAATCAAAACCATTTTAAAATTGTGTATTGTCTTTAAAAGCCTTCAAAAATGTGACTTGGGTGATCCCTGGGCAGATCAGGTAAGAGCCTGAGTCAGATTCATTGGTTGCAGCGGTTTGCCAAGTCAATTTGAAAAACTGAGTTTAATGACGGAAAATAATCTAATATACATATCCCCAAAGTGACTGAACGTGTGGGCTTATTTGAGATGCAATACGTTCCATCAAGTTGTCCTGTTATCCTGATTGTCTAATCTCTTATTTGATTGAGTTTGGTTCATATTGGTGTTATATCCGAGTTCTCGAGTTTCTGATAAAGAAATCTAGAGAAATGTTACTCTTAGATCCTCTCCAGTGCGTTTGGATCCGTACATTTTAGCTCTTCTAACGACTCATGTTCTAACATACGAACTCGAAACTTGATGGACGGTTTTGCTCCTTTTTTGAGCTTTTTATTGAGCTCCTATTGTCTCAATGCTCTTTGAGGCAGGCTAAAGTTTGACGAATGGTTAGATCAAATTTTTAAACTCGCTCAGCACCTTGGTACCCAGGCTATGTTATATTTGACTTGGGGTTCATAGAAGAAGGTTTATGATTGATTGGTTACTCGTACACTCTTTTTGGACTCCTTTATATTTGCAGATCTCTCAGAAAAATAGACTAAATGTTTGAGACATGAGTTTAAATATCTATTCTTTTGTTTCTTTTGATTGTTTCTTGCCATTTATACAGCATTCGATGATAATTATTGTCAAAGCTAAAAATCGAATGAACTGAGAAATTAATCGACGCATATCGTGACTCGGATGTGACACTTAGCATCTCTTTTCTTTTCATTTAGTTTATTCGTCAGAGACCACAATTTGAACCGTACAGTATTCTTGGATTAGAGCAAGGAGCTTCAGATTCAGAAATAAAAAAGGCCTACCGAAGACTCTCCATTATGTACCATCCCGACAAAAATCCAGACCCAGGTTGAATATTTTCCATGAGACTTCTTGCTTCCATTCTTTATGTGCTAAATTTTGGAGGAAATAGAATTTTTCTCATCTGACTCCATTCCAAATGTTTCCAGAGGCACACAAACATTTTGTCGAGTTTATATCTAAGGCTTATCAAGCTTTAACAGATCCTGTTTCGCGTAGTAATTATGCAATATATGGGCATCCAGATGGGAGACAGGTAATCTTTTTTTCTGTCCTAAACTTAATTTCTGCAGGATTGATCATAAAGTGGGTAACTGAAATTTAAAATTGTATGGTTCCAGGGTTTTCATGTGGGAGTTGCCTTACCTCAGTTCTTATTGAATTTTGGTGGTGCCTCTGGTGGTGTAATTCTACTTGGAGTTGTTGGTATTGGAATCCTTTTACCTTTGATAGCAGCAGTCGTATACCTCTCGAGGTCATCAAAATACAGCGGGAACTATGTGATGCACAACACTCTATCAGCATATGACAATTTGATGAAATCTTCGCTGGCTCCAAGGTAAACGATGCTTACAATTAATTCTCCCCGTCATGTTTCATTGTAAAAGTTGCCTTTTGAACTTGGTCCCGAGAACCATTCTGAAATATCATTTAACATTTTACTGGATCTTTTTTTTAATGCCTTTTTTTTTGTTGAAGTGCTTGATGTTCTTGATTGGTTCTCAATTTAGACACGGCATCGTGCCTTAAAAAACAGGGTTTATATCCTTTGGTGATTCAGTATTCTCACCAGAATATAAGCATACTTATTAATCGATTTAATAAAGTTGTAATTTTAAATTATACAGAAAGGTACTGAATGTCCTCATTAAGGCCTCGGAGTACATGGAGATCCCTGCTCGTAGAAGTGACGATGAACCCCTTCAGAAACTGTTCCATGCTGTTCGCAATGAGTTGAAGCTAGACCCCAAGAATATAAAAGCAGAGCAAGCAAAGTTTTGGAAGCAACATCCAGCCTTAATCAAGGTACCTCATTTAAATTATTATCTGGTGTAATCATAGATGATCATTTTCATTTTTTATGGGATTATTTTAACTTCTTTTGTTTTATCTGTAATACAGGCAGAGCTATTGATTCAGGCCCAGTTAACTCGTGAAACGGCAGCTTTGCCTTCTTACTTGCGTGTTGATTTTAGACGTGTGATGGAACTCGCTCCTCGTCTTCTTGAAGAATTATTTAAGGTTAAGTCCATTATTTATACGTAGATTATGTTCAGTACAGGTTCTTCAGACCATTGCATGCCTGATCCTGGAGGGGTATAGTAGTTATCTCATTAACTATCTGCTACCATGTTTTCTAGATAACTTCAGGGACATTCTCCATACCATGTAGAACACACCAAAGGATCTTATCTACTCTATCTTTCTTGACTAGTGCTAAATTACGTGGTATTCTGAGACTAAATGTGACCCTTGTGGTCATTGAGACTGTCCAATCCTAGCAACATGAAATTATCCGCACATATCTAGTATTTGTTGTCTGTCAATAAGATTTCAGTAGTAAACTCCATGGACGACCTCAAGAGATACTCCTATCTATATGAGGTTCAACTGTTGACGAATCAGGCAGCATGGATCTTACATAGCTAAATATCCTTTTTACATCGGATTCAGAGTCCTCAACCTCCAGATCTGCCGTCTTTAATCATTCCTTGATTTTCCTTCAAGAGATTCTGAATTTTACTATATCACAATGGGTTCTTGTTCATGGCCATCAATATGTGTATTTGCAGTTTTTTACGAGCTCTGTGATCTTGTATGATGTTCTAGCTAATTTTTCAGGCTATGACATTCGATATCCAGTTAGTTTTCTCATTAATACACAAGGTCTCTGCAATTTTGTGCTTTTTCTCACTCTATCCTAATTTCTCTGCTTAACAAATGATCGGGTGATTAGATATTTATGTAGGCATATATGGTTTTCAATCTCATATACCATCGACCATGTTTAACTCGTTAGCTTTAGCTCCATGTGGGTGACTCTATATCCTAACCTCGTTTCTAATTGCAGATATCAGTCATGCCACGAAGCCCTGATGCTCATGGATGGCTCAGGCCTGCCATCGGAGTGATTGAGCTTTCCCAGTGTATCATTCAGGTTGACCTCCTTTCTCTATAGGAACGTGCTGCCTCATTATTTTCTAGATTTATCGCCACAGAAACCGACGCAAGATTGACAAAAAATTAAATAAACTAGGTTTTGAGAAGTAATTGACACTAAATTGCTGTTCCCGAATAAATGAGGCTTAGATTTATATCCCCAAACTTGGGACATTAATGGTTCGGAGATCTTCTGGGATCTTCATCCTTATCTGATTGCTTCTCGGTCATGAAATCTAAATATATCTCAGAATTCCTTGGCCCATTACTGCTGTTTGACATAATTTCAGTTCTTGATAAGATCATTCATTCTATGAAAAAAAAGAAGCCAAATGCTATCTCCATAGTTCATTACTTGAATATATCTGTGGGTCTTCATCCGCCCCCCACACAGAGTGATATATATGTACCTGCAGGCAGTACCGTTAAGTGCTAGGAAAGCAGCGGGGGGTTCCACCGAAGGCATTGCTCCCTTTCTGCAACTTCCACATTTCAGTGAGGACATCGTCCAAAAAATTGCTCTCAAGGTATGACTAAATTTAGTAAATTTTGAATTGGTTTGATTTCCTATTTATTGGCATGAGAGAAGAATCCCATAAAGACCCCATTTTGCATCCTACCCAAATACCTCTCTGCGACCCAACAAAGATCAAATCACTGCTTGATTGAAGGAAAGCTAGGAAGATTCAATCTTGATCTGCCATCATTCGTTCTTCAGAAGAATCTCTGTTCATCAGAACCCAAGTTAATAGCAACTCCTCTATCTTTCTCACCCTGTTCCCCTCCTCGCAGCAAGTGCACACGCTTCAGGACCTTCAGGAGATGAACTTGCCGGAGCGGGCGGCGCTGCTCACGGAGGCGGCGGGCCTCTCCGGGCCCCAGGAGAACGACGTAGAATCCGTCCTCGAGATGATGCCGACTCTCACCGTCGAGCTCACCTGCGAGACGGAGGGAGAGCAGGAGATTCAAGAGGGCGACCTCGTCACGCTCTGCGCCTGGGTGACTCTCCGGCGGAGGAACGGCCTCACGGTGGCCCTCCCTCACGCCCCTAACTTTCCCTTCCCCAAGGAGGAGAACTTCTGGTTGCTCCTCGCAGACCCCGCCTCCAACGAAGTCTGGGTTTCGCAGAAGCTTAACTTCTCCGACGAGCCCGCGGCCGCCGGCGCCGCGTCCGCCGCCGTGCGGGAGGCGAAGGAGGCAGCGGGGGCCAGCGCAAAGGAAGTAGGGGCGGCGGTAAAGGAGGCGGTGGGGAAGGTGAAGGCGGGGTCGAGGCTGGTCGTCGGCAAGTTCCTGGCCCCTTCGGAGGGGAGCTACGAGCTCTGCTGCTTCTGCTTGTGCGACGCATGGATAGGCTGCGACTGGAAGAGCAGCTTGACGTTGAAGGTTCAGAAGCGCCGCCTGCCGGAGGAGGAGGCCGTCGAAGAGGAAGAAGAGCCCGAAGAGGAGGATGAAGACTACGAGAGCGAGTACAGCGACGACGACGACGACGACGACGAGCAGGTCCAGAGCAAGAAGGCAGCCAAAGGGAAGAAGAGCTCCGGTGCCGACTGAGCCTTCCAATTTCACCATACACCATCATTAGACCATTCCTCACACTCGCCATTGGAGAGAAGAGCAGAGCTCTCCGAAGCTTGATCATACAGGACCCCGGATAATGCAAACTTTTCTTGGAGCATCCTTCTAATGTTTGGATTCGCATTGGATATGGGGGGGGGGGAGAGAAGGGAATGTTCTGAGCTGGTGATTGATATTAGTCGTTTGGATCACAGTTCAATAGAGGAATCAGAAGCCTCTGAACTGGGGATGTCAGGATTCTTGGTTCTAGCTTCCCCTAATTTTGCTTTTATTTCCTCCGGTTGACCTCAGACTGATCCATGTTTCCTGTCTAAAAACAGAAGTTGCCCATGAGAGGATTATAAATGTTTCAAAGTCAATGCGAGCTGCCCAGGTCAGAAAAGTCAAAGTAGAATCTGGCTTTGCTCTCCCAGTCTGAACCGGGTGGGGCCCAACTCTGTTTAAGTCAATGGCCTTAAGCCGGGCTCTGATTGGGCTCGAGACAAAATTAACCGTAATTATGTTTTCAAGCTTCTAGAATTAATTAATTCCCCACGATTTAAAATATTTTTTATTGTTTTTTATTAAAATTTATTTGGAATTTCGCAAACTCTCTATTCTTAAAAGTTCGTATTTTTTGAAAATCTTGGAGTTGTTATATAATAAAAATTGTATTTAACTCGTGCAAAGTGTCTCTAATCGTTCGTTTTATTTATGTAAAAAGAGTTCGCATCTTTGAGATATGATCGTAATCGTTGTTGTTGTAGAGTGGTGACCATTATCCTGTAAAAATCATAAGCAGGCAAATGTGACTGTTTCTAGGGATGGAGAGGTAAAATACCAAATGCGAAGCCTTTCCGCGTTGTAGATAGGAAGGAGTGACGAGAGGTACGAGGACCGAGGTAGGAGGGAACGGCATCTGCATCCGGCCAGAAACCCGCTCATCGGTATCAACTGCTGGTATCCGCCGGAAGCGTGCCGCAGTGCTCAATCAGTGGTTTCGACCAGCGGAGAACAATGGTCACCCGGGTGCTCTCAGTCGGGATGGTCTCCGCCTCCATTTGTCTTCACTCATCTGGGTCGGAGAGGATAAGCCATCTGCGCTCCCCCTCAGTGTCTCTGGGGCCTCAGAGGAGCTTCCTTGTCGGGGAGCCGGTTTTTAACCCTGGCTATGCTCGTTTCTCTCTTCTCCGTCTCCAGAGGCGGAGTACGCCCCTGGCGACGGCGGTGCTTTCCATCCTACCCACTGCGTAGGTTTCTATCCGCCTTTCTGGATTTCCAAAAGTACCGAATTTCTCCCCTCTGAATATTTGTTCTATAGCTGTATTCTGAGGGAGATGTACGAATGTGCTAAGTTTTTTTAATCCACATGCTCTTCCAGAAAGCCGGAGAGAAAGGATTCAGGAGATAAGGCTCCCCGGTGAGTGCCTTCGACTGTTATTGAGTTTCCCCGATTTTGCTTTCTTCCTTTTCAATCTTGTTTTCCTTCTGGTTTGCATTGGCGTTTTCAGTTTCATCTTCGTTACTATTCCCTGATTTCATTAAGGAAAAATATAGATAATGTTCTCGGATGCTGTGGCAGATGGTCTGCGAGAGCTATAAAGTCATTCTGCATGGCAGAATTGGAGGCGAGGAAGCTCAAGTATCCCAACAACGGGACGGAGACCCTCCTCATGGGAATCTTGGTTGAGGGTAAGTCTCAATTAATCCATTGCTATCCCATAGTTCTTGTTCTCCCCATCCCTCTCTCTCCCCAGAATTTTTTTCATTTTGGTTCGGTAGTTGGTTCCCCATGTGCTTAGTGTAGACGTTAAGCTATGGGATGGGGGTTTCTCGAGGAGATTCATATTGACCACTTGTTGTAGGATGATTATGGTGTTGCATTTTGCTGCCCAGGGACGACAATTTTTTGCTCTAAAAAATGGAAAATCGGGCATCACAAATGTAAATTAGCATTAGATACAGGTGATGATATGTGATTAGAATGCTAGAAATACCGAGTTCATTAAATGGTACGCATGATCAGAAGGGTCTCTTGATTCTTTTGGAAAATGATTTTGGATCTTAATAAACGAAAAGAGTTGGCGGGCTGCACGGATTTATAAATTGACGTTAACTAGAAGTTTACCAAGATTCAGGAGGTTTAGTGCTGTAAAGAGCTTCAGGTTGGTAGGAGTTCTTCAACAGTTTCCTGTAGTTGCTTGACTTTGTCTGAGATAAGTTTCCTGTGTTGGTGATATTGACAGTTCAGGAAATAAGTTGACATGGCCAGAGAACGGGTTTCTATCACTGTGACGAAAAGCATTTACCTTGAGCCTCAGGTCGACATGGATTCATGAATCTAATCGCCGATATCAATCCTCACTCGACCTCCGTCAAATTGAAAGCTTAAAAGCAATGCAATAAACTATAGAAGGCTGGGAAATCATCACCTTGAGGGTATAATGAAGTGAGCTTCTATTTTGGATCATTTGAGAGAGTATGAGTGGAGGGAAAGGAGTGTAACTCTGGGTTTTGGCTCTAGACTTGGTTGGTGTTTTAGTAGAAGAGAAGGAAAGCGATAGAAAAATGATGAACATCCCTGGCTGGTGGTGAGAACTATATCAATGGATTTTCAGCGTCCTCTTTTCAAGTCGCTATGTCCTGCAGCAGGAACTTTTTTTTCAGATATTATGTTTTGACTATAGTTGCATCTCATATTAGGGAAGAGGTCTGGAAGACTCTTTGCTTGTGTTGTTGTGTGGTTTTCGATCTTTAAGGCCTCGTTGATGAGCAATTTTATTGGATTAAAGCTATTCAGTGCCCGTCCTAGAACATCCAACTCCCCAGATGTGAGTATGCTAGATGGGTATCTGGAGAACGTTACTTCAAACTTAGGACCCTGGCTTTAAAGAGTTGTAAAATCATTTGGTCTGTGCTTAGAATACAGTCTTGTCTGATTCTGTTGTCCTCTTCGCTTTCTGGACTTAGTTCATCTCATTGAAGACTACATATATTTCGCTGAAATACATTTGGAGCAGTCCGTCCCACTAATCGGAAGGCATTCAACTTTTAAGACTTGGTGGTATCAGTTTTGCAACTAGCAATGCGGTCCCAAAAGGCAATTAAGTTCCTGATATCAGGAATGGTTACAAAGATGATGAGGATCATCGTGCATTCCACCTAATTGGTGTGGGGATTTTCGTTGAATCTTTCTTCATTCCCCCCCTCAAAATTGATCTTCCTCTTTCATTTTTTAAACGTTCTGGATACTCTTATAAAGTTTTTGCATTTTAATTGTACTCTTCCGATTCAGACAAACTTGTTTACGATGATGCATAATGTTCCAGTAGTCCTCTTTTGAGTCCCCACTTCCTGCTGATGGAAGTCAATGATTGCTCAAATAATTTCTTTTTAAGCAATTGACTTTCCGATTTCTCTGATTTGCTCCTAAATCTTCTCGTAGCATAGGAGGATTTGTATGAATATGAATTTCGGATCATTGGTTGATCCGATCGGTCCTTTTGGTTTGATGGGGCAAAAGACAAGTTTACGCCTGCTTCTTATGCATCATCTTTTGTCTCTGCTTCAAGGCACTAGTCTTGCATCAAAGTTTCTGCGAACAAATGGTGTTGCACTTTCCAAAGTACGAGAGGAGACCATTAAATTGCTTGGGAAGTCAGATATGTATTTCTTCAGCCCTGAGCATCCACCGTTAACTGAACCCGCGCAAAGGGCCCTAGATTGGGCTGTTGATGAGAAACTGAAATCAGGTGAGCAGTATTTTTGTAGTATTTTTTGTTTGGTGTACCTTCATGAGATTTATTTTTTTCTTTTTCTCTGAAAATCTTGCGGGCTACAATTTCTGTCTTTTTTCTGATTATACGGGCAAATTCAGCAGTTTGAGGTTGAATTTTGTTATGGATGTTGGGAGCACCAGGGTGCGTCATTGCTGCTGTCTCAGTTTCGTGGTTGACCCAGAAGATGGGGGTTGGTGTTTTGAGAAATGTGGCGGTACTTTTCTGTGTATCTGTCATAAACATGTTCCAAAAAAGTCATATACATGTGGATAGAATTTCAGCCGCCATTTTAACACCTTGTCTTTCGTAACAAGGGATTTCAATTCCCTGATGCGAGAAATGCAAGTGATCCACCCAGAGGATGATAGAATTCCCTCGCCTTTTAGGGAAGCTTTTCTCATTACTTCTTCTGATAACGATCCACGTTTAACAGTGAACTTTGCCCAAATTAGAGATGGCTTCAATTTTCTAAACTCGATCAAGTTTTCATGACCCTAGAGTCACATGTATGCTTTCTCCAAGTTTCAAGCTTGTTGGATGATGAGCCGTATTCTTCAACTCGGTAACCTTCAGGAGAAGATTGAAACTTTTGTTGGGCTCGAGCATCAGGGAGTGGATTAACAAATAGGACTCGGATCATCTACTGCTCGATTACCATGTCTACCTTCACTGAAATTCCTTTTTTGGATGACTTCATTGTTGCATTTTCTTCTCTGAAATATATGCTTTCCTAGATTATTCTCATTTAAGAGCAACAAGTTCGGGGTTGGGAATCATCCATAGGAGCGATGAACAGGCATCGGAAATCATGGAATACATGCCGTCAGCCGTTGAATCAATGAGCACCGTCGAACTTATTAAAATCTGATCACTAGGATGACGGGCTATGGAGTTGCCTGATTTCTAAAGACAACAAGCGATGATGGAACCTCTGAGAAGACTATTTGGTTGGAATGGGTCACGCTCATATTAATGGAGGGGATTATTGCTGGTGGATTGACTCCTCGCTCCAGCAATTGAGCTCCCAGAGAACTCTCTAATCGCCACGGCTGTTTTGTGTGTTTTTTTTCCAAGTGCACAATACCGCATGATTATTACCATAAGCAGGAGAAAAAGGATGACCATGCTATAGTTCTACACTAGTCACCCTCAGGACTGGAAAATAGTTAGGTTGCCAAGAAAAACCCAGGCTGAGGTTACAGTGGAAACTATTACTGGGGACCCATCAATTTTCTTCATACTCGGGCTAAATTACGTTAAACCCTCTTGGGTACCCCTGATATTGCCGCATAAGCATGCATCAATGACATTTTCTTTTCTTTTGTCTAAAATAGGAATCCCCTTTGACCAATCTCCTTGCGACCCCCTAGATTTCCAACCCCCTTTTTTTCGCATAGGTGTTGAAGGAGAAGTGACGACGACGCACCTGCTTCTGGGAATATGGTCTGAGGTTGATTCAGCTGGTCACAAGATCTTGGCATCCCTCGGTTTCAATGACGAGAAGGCCAGTGAACTCGCAAAGAATGTAAGTGTTCTTACTTGGCTGGTCAAACATGCCATGCGCCGGTTCAAAGACATCTGATTTCCCTGTTATATTTTCAGGCCAACAAAGATTTTGAGTTGAACTACAGGTAGTGGAATGATGTCGGAGGTTCACTATGTGCCTTCTCATCGATCCATGTCCTCAGCCATGGCAGTAATTTTTTTCAAAATTTTTCTACGCCAAGATCAAAACCTATATAGCTCTCATTGTGGACAGTTGAGCTGTAAAGCCTGAGCTTTTATCATATTACGGTTCATCAGATCTCCCATTAACATCGGCTACTCTGATCCGTAGAGTAAATTGCTTCTTCTTCTTCAAGATTTGTTGAGAGTACATTAATTGTGGGTATTGTAGCGGCCTAGGTTGCAGACAAATATTTCGCTTGAATCTACTGGTTGATGCTTTCATAGGCCTCATCATTCTCTCCCCTCAATCTGACAGTCCTTTTAGGGTTTTGAATCGGTGAAATTCAGCCTCTATAGGTCCGTAAAAAGATGATCCAAGCGGTATATGATTCTAAACCCATTTTCTCGACTAAACTCAGTCGTGCTGGGGTTAATGATTTTCAGTTTGATAACTCCTCTCTCTCTCTCTCTCTCTCTCTCTCTCTCTCTCTCTCTCCCCTTCTCTCTCATTTGTTAACCTTATCAAACCTTGATAGTGGGCTAGTTTGGATCAACTCCAGTTCTGACGAATTATCAAGCTGCCAGCTACTTATTTGACCTACTACAGTTAGCTGGAGATTCAGGTCTACAGTAGAATCTTCCTAATTTGTGCGTACTCTCCAACCAGTTCATGGCAAAATCCTTCTGCCGATCTTCCTCTGATCCTCTGGTTCAAGTGGTCTGAGACTGGTCCCCCGCTCCCCCTCTGAAGCTGAAGGAGCTCCTCCTAGCTGATGACCCAGCGGAATTGCCATCGGCGTCAAGGGCTTTGCCTCTCCGTGGAAGCCACATGAATGAGGGGGGGGACCATCCCCCGGGCAAAGCTTGACGCCATGCCGTGTCTTCGAGCTGAAGCCGCCCGGTTTCTGAAGCGTTTTGGCTTTGAGAGTTAAATGCGTGAAGAGGAGAGATTAGGTTATGTCCCAAGGGACAGAGTAGCGAAGAATAGGGTTCCTGTCAGGTCAATTAGAAGATGAGAGCAGCTGGCCGCCGGTGACGGTGTTGCAGAGATGCTCGGGCCATGGAGATGAGATGGCGATCGTCTGAATAAACTAATGGGCTTCTCCTCCTCTTCCTTCCACCTTCTACGGGCCTCGCCTTGGATCCGCGGAGGACGAATGTCGAAGGAATGACGACCGGAGAGGAGGAACATCCCTAACTCCTCGCCGGAGCTCCGACCTCCCCTGTGAAACCCCAAACGGAGGGCATTAAATTACTCGGCGACGAGCGCCGTAGTGGAAGAGACAAAAAGGGTAGCCTCTTGGAGTTTACTTAGATTTGTCTCTTCGAGTCGATGCTCCTCCGTTGGTCGTGGAATTCCCATACAAGAAGTTTTTTAAAAATGGGAAAAAACCCTGCATTTCAATCCGTTTTTAGTCTCCAGATCGACGACCAGGCTGTTCGTAGGAGGCACCCGACAGGCCGGACCATTCTCTCTCTCTCTCTTCAATAGTCTGTTCGAGTTTGTATATGCGTGCCAAATTCGGACATCTTGAGCCCCTGCATGGCCCCCTAGCACGACCCTCGAAGCTCCAACATCGCCGCCATCGGTGCATACAACTGTAGACGCCGCTTGCCGGGGGTCGCCGGAGCGCACTGACTTTAATCGCCGGCATCGGATATCGGACAGGTCAACTCCGATCTTAACTCGCAGCTGCACCAGTCACCAAAGCCCCAAGAGAGACTCTCTCTCTCTCTCTCTCTCTCTCTCTCTCCGTTTCTTTCTTTCTTCTTCTTCTTCTTCTTCGTCTTGGTCGATCGATTGATGGAAACAAGGGGGGGTTTGTCCGCATTGCCCGGGGCTAAGGTGACAGAGGGAGTATTTTACAGGCCGTTCCTCCGCCCGGAAACCAGCGGGAGGGGCCCTGAACGAGAGGCAGGAGAAGGGCTGCGAGTGGCCGCCCCGCGGTTTTGTGATTCCCATGCGCTGACCGCACGGGTGAAGGAGCCTGAAGAACTTTTCCCCGGACAGGAAAAGGGTTTGACCTCTGAGCTCTCGCGACATCCCCAACGTCCTCCCCTTTTTTCTTACCACAAGAGGAAGCAAATACCGCATATAATATTCTGTACAGCTAGGCTTCGAGTATGGAACCTACCATCGATCTTTAGAGCTCGAGGATAATCTCTTCGTTTTGTTTCTCAGATAGAGAGAGAGAGAGAGAGAAGGGGAGAATAAAAGCCTAGCAATAGGCAAGGACAGCTATAATGGCGAGCATGCTGGGATGAATGGACTCGAGTCTTGAAGAGGAGGGGATTGCCCGTCGGGTCCTTGTCCTTGTGGGAGATTATTGCACAAAGCGAGGGGGAGAGAGAGAGAGAGAGAGAGAGAGAGAGGGGGAGAGGGAGAGAGAGGAGTGAGGGAGAGAGAGGGAGAGGGAGGGAGGGAGGGGAGAGGAGGGAGAGAGAGAGAGAGAGAGAGAGAGAGAGAGAGAGAGAGAGAGAGAGAGAGAGAGAGAGAGAGAGAGAGAGAGAGAGAGAGAGAGAGAGAGAGAGAGAAGAGAGAGAGAGAATAGTGAGGATCACTCGTCATGTCTCTCTCTAAGTGCCCACACAAAAACAGTGGCGACGACCCTTCCAGTTTTTATTTTGCCAACGTACAAATGATCGGATCGTGATGAAAGACTTGAGCTATTTTCCAGAACCCTAGGCGCCCTCCCCCACATTATCGCCTCTATTATTCTCATGGTACTCGCTCAATCCGGAACTAGACTCCTCTCCCAGACGCCGAATTCCCTTCGGACGGCGGAGCCATGCGATTCAGAGCTTCCCCGAGGATCGAGAAGTAGTCAACGCGGCTCCTCGCGAAGTGACACGTGCAAAGAGCCGCACCGCCGTCCTTCCTCCCACCCGCGAACAGGACATGGCACCGGACGGCGCGGTGACCCGCCGTTACAAGCTGCGCTTCCAAGACCCTCTGTTCTCCCTCTTCTTTAAGCGGTATTCTATAACACGAGGCGGCGACGACGCGCCGGTGGGGGGTGGGGGGGTGGGTGGGAGGGGAGGAGGAGAAAGCGGCGGCGGACGATAACGTACGCTCAAGGCCCCCGCCGCCGTGGTTTCTCATTGTTTAACATATCGGTCAGAGAAACGGTCGGCGCCGGAGGAGAAGAAGAAGAGCGCCGACTATTCACGTGGCCGGAGCCCACTGGCCCGACTCACCCTCGCGCCGATCGGCTGTTGACTTCTGGGAGAGTTTCGGGTATCGGAACCCCCGCGTAACGGCAGCAGGCGGCCGGAGCTCGGGTGCTGCGCTCCATCGCGTCTCGTATCCCATCGTCCCTAATGCGTGCGGACAGTCCGAGAGAGAGAGAGAGAGAATCTTCCAGCGGGGAGGGACTCGAATATTAAGAGCAAGAGATCCTTTTGTGGTTGACCAGGTCAAACATTGTGGAATGCAAGAAAGACCAAATAGACGTGCCGTCCTGCGGCTTAACACGTCCAAGGAGACTACATTCAGTCAAATTAGATGGAATTAGACTTGTGCCCGGATAATCTTTCTGATTATTCTGGTAGTATGCCTATCTTCCTCTACGAGAAAATAATTACACAGACGCAGAGAGAGAGAGAGCATTTTTGACACATGGCCAACGCGTGCATATTTAGAGGGAGAGAGAGAGAGGTGGACAGATAGAGAGATGTTACATCACATGAGCTGTTACTGCTTAGCTCAGAGAGAGAGAGAGAGAGAGGGAGGGAGCGAGAGAGAGAGAGAGAGAGAGAGAGAGAGAGAGAGCTGAGGGGGGGAAGGCGTTCATCTGCATGGTTGCTTCACGCAAGCTGCTGAAAGGGGGACAGAAGAAATGAAAGAGGGCACAGGGGATTAGGCCTCCCCCTGCCGCTTGACGTGTCTTTAAAGACTCATCAATACAAAAGAAAACAATCTCCAACAGTAAGCTCCTCGCCGCCCCCACGACGCCACGCCTCTTCCTTTCTAAGGACACCTCTTCCCCCCATCCCCTCCAACCCCCACCCTCTCCTGCCCACCCATCACACACTCTCTCTCCTGTCCCCCCCTCCCTCTTTCTCTCTCCTCTCACATGACTTGAGAAACGTTCGTCATGAGTGGAAGCAACAGTAGTGCGGGATTCGGTGGCGCAGCTGGCGCGAACGGAGGCGGCTCCGGCGGGGGAGCAGGCGGCGGAAGCGGGCCTTGCGGGGCGTGCAAGTTCCTGCGGCGGAAGTGCGTGAGCGGGTGCATATTCGCGCCCTACTTCGACTCGGAGCAGGGAGCTGCGCACTTTGCGGCGGTGCACAAGGTCTTTGGCGCCAGCAACGCTTCCAAGCTCCTCCTACACATTCCCGCCCATAAGCGGCTCGACGCCGTCGTCACCATCTGCTACGAGGCCCAGGCGCGCCTCCGTGACCCCGTCTATGGCTGCGTCGCCCACATCTTCGCCCTCCAGCAACAGGTACCCCTCCCCACGCCGTCAATCATTTACCCCCATGGAGAACTGTACCCTCTCTGTAAGAAGAACCGAAGTTAGTGTCCTACGGATTTGTAGGCTTAATTTTTCTTGATCTTATTCAGGTTATATGTACCAAAGATTTGACATCACTCTTTAAGGATCTGTTCACGTTGGAGTCGGAGGGACCTCTTCCGTAGGAACCCTAAAAGATAATCACTTGAATTTTAACGACCTTTCAGATTCTTCTTGTTTCCTGCTGACCTCTTTCCAGTCGATCTTTACACCACAGCTTCTTTCCACTTCTGGTTTCTGCTGAGTATAATCCATGGCCGGTTTGCTTAGTCTTCGATTCGTGGGTCCGATTCTTTTTCATCTGGAACTAGATATCACCGTTTTCAAAGACATGCTCTCGGAGTCGGGAAGAAACTTCCTCTACGGGAACCCTAGATGGTAGAGGGTTGAATCTTGACATGGATAGGGTTCTTCGGGATTCCTTCTTGGAACTTCTTTCCCAGTCGCCACTTCATCTCTGTTGTTCTCGAAGGCTTCCTTTGCTTTCGTTGCTCCGTTATCCTCTATATCTGGATTATCCACCAGTTGAAAGAACTGCATTTATGTACTCTAGGAAAGAAGCCTGCCTTCAACCCCGGAGAGAAAAAATGAGGGTTTCAAGGGTATGCCCAGGCTGGTATGACCTCTTGAAGTCGGATAAGTTTGAACGAATGGTCGAGGTGGATCGCCATGAAGGTGGATTCTTCTTCTCTTCCCCCGGGAAGAGACCGAGCATCTGACAGAGAACCGCCCGCCCCTTCTTCTCTCCTTTATTTTATACAGCTTTTAGGGTTTCGATCATTTGAGTCTTCGTGGCCTTGCTCGGCATGTGGGAGTGTACCTAGAAACGTTCAAGCCTGAATTTTCTCTGAGTGAACTTGGACCGTGCAGAAGATACTGCATGAACGGAAGGATCAATCGCATTTAATCCGGGCACGCCCATGTAATACAACCATAATTTCTTTTTCTCACAACCAACTCAAGTCTCCTTTTTCAAGAATCTGAACCCCTCCTGATGAACTCAATTCGTGATACATCGGAAACTAGACAGAAGCAACCCGGTAAGTGTGAGAGATCATCTCGAGCGGCGGCGAGCGTGTATGTGGTTCGAGGCTGAACTGCTGCGAGTTCTGAATAAATGAATGGTCTTCTATGTAGGTGGTGAACCTGCAGTCCGAGTTGTCCTACTTGCAAGCCCATCTAGCGACGCTGGAGCTGCCGCCGCCGCCGCCGCTGCAGCCTCCGCTGCCGCTGGCCACTGCTCCGCCGCCTCATTTCTCCATGTCGGACCTCCCATCTGCCTCGACTCTCACCCCCGCCATCGATCTAGGGGCCCTCTTCGATCCCCTGGTAAACCTCCCGTGGTCCTTTCAGCAGCAGCAGCAGCAGCAACAGCAGCAACAGCAGCAACAGCGCCAGATGGAGCTTCGGCAGCCTGGAACTAGCGGCAGCAGGGCCCTCACAGAGAACGCAGCTTCAGGTGGGGGCGACCTCCAGGCGCTGGCTAGGGAGTTCATTGAGAGACACAGGTCAGTCACCAAGGAACCTCTTCCTCCCATCTCCAAGTGACAAAGAACAACGAACACCATCGGCCCTTCTGGTAACTCTGATCGTGCTGTTCGGGATCCATTACATAACTCCAGAAAACGAAAAAAAAAAGAGTCTCGTCCATAGTTATTCGACGGGTTCTTCGATGATAGACCAAAATCTTCCATCCGATCCCTTTTAGCGCGGTATAACGTGGTGAATGCAGTTCTTGCATCGGCCAGCGCAAGAGCTGAGGCCGTGGCCCACATATCTCACCGGTTTTACGTCGAACGCCTCGATTCCTCCGTGTATTATCGCAACTTGTGATTATTTCTTGTGATGGGTAACTTGTGTTTATGGCGCATGTGCTCATTTAGAATCTTGAGAGAGGAAGCGAGGGAAAGGAAGGTAGTGAGAGAGAGCCCAAGTTGACTTCTTTGAGTGGTCCTGCGTTATGGAGTCTCTTCCATAGTTCTAACCATCGGAAGAGATGCTCCGTATTGGGGAGTGATCAGTTTCACAATGAAAGCTCGTTAGATCAGCGTCGAGATCAGCGGCATTCCAAAACGGCGAGAGAGAGAGAGAGAGAGAGAACTTCCGCTATTTATATAAGGTGAGAGGGGAGACAAGAAGAGGAAGGGGGGATCCCAGCTCTCATGTGAGCCACTCTACCCGTTACCAGTGGTTCCACATCTTGCAGCCGAATCGGGCGGAATAAATGCCGGGGGGGGGGGGGGGGGTTAGGCCGGGGGGAAGCCTAATTGGGCTGCGCAAGGCAGGCCAACCACAGGCTAGGGGACCCAATGACCCACACAGGCCCACCGAGAGAACCCAATAGACCAGCCGAAAACGATCCGACGTAGACCAAGGCGCGTGCATTGAAAACAGTAAACACCGCCAAATTTTGTTTGGACCTTTGTAAACAGTGGCGACTTCTTCTAACGCTGTGTCGCTTTGTAAGACGCTCTCTCTCTCTCTCTCTCTCTCTCCATCCGTCTCTCTCTCCCTCTTTCTCTCCATCCATCTATCTCTCTGCCTCTCTCTCTCTCTCTCTCCATCCATCTATCTCTCTGCCTCTCTCTCTCTCTCTCTCTCCATCCATCTATCTCTCTGCCTCTCTCTCTCTCGCTCTCTCCATCCATCTATCTCTCTGCTTTTCTCTCTCTCGCTCTCTCCATCCATCTATCTCTCTGCTTCTCTCTCTCTCGCTCTCTCCATCCATCTATCTCTCTGCTTCTCTCTCTCCATCCATCTATCTCTCTGCCTCTCTCTCTCTCTCCATCTGTCTCTGTCTGTCTGTCTGTCTCTCTCTCCATCCATGTCTCTCTCTGTCACCCGAGTCATTGCCACAGTCATGGCATCTCTTTGAAGCCATCAGAGCTGAGCCAGTAATGAACAGCTGAAAGATAGTCCATCCACCGGGAGTCCACTTGGTCAAGCAAACCAGCAAGCTCGCCAACTTCAACATCATGCGGCCAGGCGGGGCGGACCATTTGAGGTCCAACGTCCTTTTTTGACTCAACAAACCAAGAATCAACTCAACGGGCGAATTTGGAAACGCCAGTCCCAGTTCAAACAATCTCCGTCGGTTTAGTTCCATCAATGGAACGAAGAAGAAGCAGGAGAAGGATGAGGGGAAGGAGAGGGAAAATAATAAAAAGACGACAGCAAAAGAGTATGACGCAGACGGGCCGACCAGTCCCTCGATCCACGCCAGCGCACGCAAAGAGAAAAGCGGCGGCGACCGCTGCCGGGGCAATCCATGGCCGCCCTCGAAAGTTCTGAAAGACCTCGTCGACAGCTGGGGGAGACGAAGGCTGTGGATGTTCATCAACTGTCGTCCTAAAGGAATGAGGGAGGAGAGGGGACCGTCGACTTTGGGCGGATTGCTGTGGTAAAGCGGCGCATACGCTGTTGGTATTTGAGAGATGGTGTGGCGCGAAGAGGCGAGGAGAGGGGAAAGCATGAGGAAGAAAGGATCTTTAGAGGCCTTGGAGGGGCGGAAAGCAGACGCGAAGGGGGAGACGATGGAGGGCTGTCGGGCTCTCTCATGCGTAGTGTTTCCGCCGTCATCATTCCTCCCCCTCCTCACGCTGTCGTCAACCCCTTCTCCCCCTCCACCCGGCCACCACCCAGCCGAACATTTCTGGCCTGATCTGAGGGAAGCTACAGCGATGGCGGATTTTAAAATGCTTGGGTTTTGTGAGTGACGTTCGGCTGATTAGTCGGAGGGTCATCATCTCTCTGTTCTCCGGCCGTTCTCTACATTCTTCATCAAGATGTCTGTGGCGGCTCATCATTTGGAATCCAGCAACTCTATCATCCTGTCTTCTTAGGTCACAGTGAGTGAGAGTGAGAGAGAGAGAACCGAGGGCCTTTTCCCCTGTCGGGCTCTACTATTGGGGAGGTCTTTTAATTGCCGTCGTCCCTTCAACTCCAGGCCGTTCTCATGCTCTCTTCTTCCTCGCCAGCTTCCTTCTCCACAGTAGCCCAAATGGCTGTAGACTCATGGACGAGAAAACTAAGATCTGCCGTCTCCTCCACTCTCGTCTCCCTACGTTCGACGACTGCCGGCTCCGCCCACGCCAAGTCTAAGTTGGTGGGCATCCTCGCCTTCGAGATCGCCAGCCTCATGTCGAAGCTTCTCCATCTCTGGCGCTCCCTCTCCGACGCTCGCCTGCACCATCTCCGTCAACACGCCATATCCCTCCGCGGGTTGCGGAAGATCGTCTCCGACGACGCTTCCTTCCTCCTCGGTCTCGCAAGGGCCGAGTTGATCGAGTCGCTCCGCCTCGTAGCAGCGGCAGTGTCGGGGTTGGCGGCGCGGTGCGCCGACCCGGGCCTCAGACGCTTTGGCATCTGTTTCATGGAGTTCGCTGAATCGGGCTCCGATCCCCACCGGTGGGCAATGAGCTGGAAGGAGATGGACGCCAAGGCCAAAAGGATGGATCACCACGTATCGACCACGGCGGCGCTCTACAGGGAGATGGAACGGCTGTCCGAGACGGAGGAAGCTATGAGGAAGCAAGCCCACTCCGGCGATGGAGACGACGGCGCCGCCCTCCGGCAGACGCTATTCTGTCAGGAGCAGCGGGTTAAGTGCCTCAAGGCGTCGTCACTGTGGGGGAGAAGCTTCGACGGTATCACCCATCTTCTGGCTCGCTCGGCCTTCACTGTGCTCTTCAGGATAAACCACGAATTCGGTCACCTCAGCTCCTCCCCCTGCAAGCTTCAGGTGCCACCGCCCATTCCACGCCGTCACTCCTGCTCCGCCATCGTCCACCCCTCCGCCGACCTGCCGCCGGAGTCTTTCCCCTCCACAACGCGGAAGCAGCAGGAGCTCGGCTTCTTCGAGGCCAATGCGGCGGCTCTTCGGCCGCCAGCGGACACCCTCGGCGCCGCCGCGATGTCATTGCACTACGCAAATATCATCCTTCTCCTCGACAAGATGATCAAGGCCCCGCGTTTGATCCCGTTCGACGCGAAGCACGGCCTCTACGCCATGCTCCCCGCGAGCTTGCGGGCTCTTCTGCGGGCTCGACTGCGCGGGGTCGGCAGGAACCCCGCCGCCGGCGACGCGGCGCTCGCCGGTAAGTGGCGGACGGCCATGGCGCGGATCATTTCATGGCTATCGCCTCTGGCCCATAACACGGTGAGGTGGCAAGCGGACCGGAGCTTGGAGCAGCGGTGGGGCGTGACAGTTCCAAGGACCGACGTCCTGCTGCTGCAAACACTGTGGTTCGCCGGCAGGGAGAAGACGGAGGCGGCCATCGCGGAGCTCCTCGTCGGTCTCAACTACGTGTGGAGGTTCGAGATGGAGTTGAAAACGGAAGGAGCCACCTCGTTCTCGGCGGAGGAATCCCATCTTCGAGGCTAGCGTGGGATCGCGGAGGTCGTCTGGCTTTGGGCTCGGTTGGTCCTGCGATTGTCCCTCTGGTGCAGTGGCATGGCGACTGGCCTCTCCAATGGAACAGCGAACACCGCCAGCCGGCGTAGAGGAGGTCGGCCAAGTGCACGGTTGTCGCCGCCTGTCCGGCAGAGATGTGATCAACGAGCTTGTGTTGGTCACGACAGGCTCTCTTTCTCTATCTATCTATCTATCTATATATCTATCCCTTGACGCTGGAGCTTGGGGAAGTTCTGCTCTGTTCTGAGTGGGACCTCCGCCGCCCTCTCTCCTGCGAGGGACTCAAACCCACTCCCCTTTTCTCGAGTTTCCTTAGTCAGGTCCGATCTAGACCCGGTAGAAATATCAACCTGTACAGGTATATGGTGGGTCTGCGTCAAAGGCCAACCGATCACACATCAATCAACTTTCCATAAAATCGGGGTGGAAAAGTCAACTCTTAATAGCTGATCGGTCTTTATGAGGATCTCCATTTTCTACTGTTTATCACGAAACTTAAACATATGTGCTATATTTGGTATTTAACCCCTCCAAAAGTAGCCACATACATCTACCCTAACTACTACCAGCTCAAGACATCAATCCAAGTAATGGGGGGCGCGTCCAAAATATTGCGGCGATACTCACGATATAGCGAGTGGGCGGAGATATAACCGAGAGAATGAAATCAACGTCACCCTCCCGCCACCTCTACGCGCCCATCTTGCAGTAGCTGGCGGCCATCACTTGGGCTTCCAGAGAGGTAAGCAGCTATACAAGACGACGGCGAAAGAGCGAGACTCTGCTGAGGAGCGAGGAACCGATCGCCAAAAATGGAGGTGGGCCCCGGTGGGCTTCTTCCCGATGTTCGGGAGGAGGCCAATCAGCAGCAGGCGGACCTTCTTTCTTCTTCAGCACTCGATCCTCAGCCGCCGCAGCTCCGTCAGGAAGGTAGCACTGGAGGTCAACGTCCGGTGGGCGAGGCTCCGAATGTCCTCGCGGGAGCAGTCGCGGGAGATGCGGACGAGCTCCCAAAGCGCGCCCTCGTTGACCATGTCCTTGGCATTGACTTCTGAGGAGCCGGAGGGGCAGGAGACTGCCGTCACGGACAGGAACGGAAATTTTGATTGTGAGAGAAGCGCGTTGACTCACCGTGCTGGGCGATGTGGCAGAGGGCGAGCTCGATGTGGCGCCTGATCGGTGAGGCCTCGTTGTTGGCGTTCTTGACGATCCAAGAAAGAGCTCCGTCTTCGATGAGGAGGGATCTTCCGCTCTTGTTACCTGCAAAGGCACGAATGCGGTAGGGTCGTGATGAATGAATGAACACTTTCTTTTACTCGTTTTTTGTTCCTTTTTTTTTTTTTTTGGTCCGTTCAGAAAAAAACTTGATGAAACGAAGCGAATCGAAGAGAAGTGAGACGATATTTTTGGTTATAATAATCCATAAAATCCTCGAAAAAAATCGAAGAGTAAAGAAATTTGGAGAAAATTGGGGACGAACTAAAAATAAAACATCAAAAAAAAAATACAGGAAAAAAGAAAAAAAAAAGAGGAAAAGAGAGCACGATTAGAGCATTGACTTTTCTCGACAGGGTCAACGTTCATCATCATTGATTACCTTGAGTGTATGCCCTCGACTCACACTTTGCAAAGTTTGCGATTCCACGGGCAACCTGCGCAAGAACATCAGGATGCCCACACCTAACCATCCCAAGCAATGCTCTGATGCCTCCTTCGCTTCTGAGCTTTGCCTGTAATTTATCTGTAGAACAAATGCAAAATTCCTCAGGCAAGCAAATAAATAAATAAATGAATAGATAAATACGCGTGTATTTGTATTGACACTAGAAAAGGAGCGAGAGAAACCAAATGAATGTGTGGGAGAGGATGCCTTTGACTATTATTCTCAATCATCTTCATAGTGGTAAGTATAAACTTTGGAGAAAAAGGAAATATTTGCAGGATATAAGCATGGGATTATACCGTTGCCGCAGAGATTAGCAATGGCCCCGGCGACCATCCGGAGAGTCTGGGGGTCCTCAGCATTGGTGGCCGCCATCGACAGCAGGGTGATGCCCCCTTGAGACATTATAAGCTCCTGGTTGGTTTCTAAAGAAGAAAGAAATGTCATAGAGAGAGAGAAATCCCATATCATGCCACAGAGAACGGCATTATTACCTTAAAGAGAAAGATTTCCCATGAATGAACAGAGTGTATTTTACCGTTCATTGCAAGGTTGGCAAGGGCGCCGGCTGCAACTCTCCGTATTGTCTCGTCCTCAGAGTTTCTCAAGAGCATCAGCAAGGACGATAGGCCCCCAGCTTCCACGATCCTTTGCTGATTTGCTTCTGCGGGGTTATGGGGCAAATAAGAATGCTTTCAGCGGCCCAAAGAAGCCTTCTTGTAAAAGGGCCGTCGCTTCCAAAATCTTCATTTTATTATAATTTTCCGAAGGTAAAATAGTAAAAAAAATATAAAGATCGGTGAAAAATCATTCACTTTCGGCTACAAACTTGTGAACGCTAACCCACTTCAAGCTGATATGAAGCGCCATGATAGCGGTAATACTTTGTTAACCATGGGAGCTAACCTTCTCTTCTTCATTATATGTTAATGGGCTCAGTATATTTATGCCCAAAGAACCTAAAAGAAAAGTGGTTCCCAATAAAATAGACAAATGACTCTCTTTGGAAGTTTTATCATTCAAGACCCGCAAGATTGCACCAATGGAAGAGCAAGAATCACTGAGGGAACAAAGAACCAGCAATAATCACGTTAAATGGGAGCAAGTGTGACTTGTGAATCGAGGTTATTAATCCGGCCCAGATAATGTTGTTAAAGCAGCTGTTGCGGATCCACAGGCATTGAGATTCTCTAGTCAGAATCTACTGAACGTATTAAAAATTAATGCACAAGAATCAACAATTAAAAAACATCTAGAAACTCAATATATATCACCAAAACCGTCAATCTGGCATTGGTTTGGACCTGGGAGGACAATAACACCATGAACACTTCATCTGAAATGCTCAATTTTTATCCTCCCTCTTAAGATCTTATCACCGCTATGCTCAGCGCACAAACGTATGTTAACAGGAAGCTCGTTGATGCATGCCTCCTCAACTGCCCAAAACTCTACAGCATCCAACTTTACAATATAACTCTGTTATACGCATATTAATCGTATGTCCAAAATTGGAAAAACCTACTGATAATAAGTATAGAAATTCTCAAAGCCTAGTACTGTGTTGTCTACACGAAAATATAAGATCACCGAGAGGGAATGTACACTTGTGAAAGGATAGAACTCAAGGATTCAATTTTCTGCATAATTTGGATCGAGTCCTTTGAATTTTAACACTTGTAAAGAGCAATGTACCTAAGGGAAGTACACAAAAACCCTAACGAAATAATGTCATCCTTTGTTAACAATCTATGGGGATCGATGGCAAAATAAAACGGCAGACGAGAAACTGCACTTTACCCGTATACTTTCTAAAAAATATTATAAATGCGTTGTTAATGTCAGGCTCATTTCAAAAAACTTGTAAACAGGGGATGAAAAATGTAGCCACATTCAAAACCACATGATCTACCTTCAGCTGCTAGATTTGCAAGTACTTTAACCGCATGGATCCGAACATCAGCATCTTCAGACTCAAGCAATGACAAGATTTTCTGTAGTCCCACTGCCATTTTTGAAAATAAGGAGTCATAAATATGATAAAAAATAATTAGAATAAGATAATTTTCTGTAGTCCCACTGCAAACATTACAGTAATCAAAACTAGAAGTCACCTTGCTCAAATAGTTTAGCAATGTAGGCCTTCTGTCCATTTCCTGAGTCTCTGACTTGTGGTCGCCTGGCTTGGGACATGAAAGACTCCAGGCCATTGGAAACTTTTCCCGGCTCACTGCGCTCAAGACTCCTCCTAGTCTAAATACAAGAAGAATCCGAATGTGATCTAAACAAATAATTTCTTTTCCTAAATTTTAATCATAAAATGAAGCGGGACTTGGCATAGACAACGGATATTAGATCGCACGCATATATGAAAGAAGAAAGCATCAAGGAAATATTCAAAATTCATGGAAGTATCTATCCGTCACAAACATCCTCATACCTCGTCAGCGTCAAGACTCAATTGTAACAACTGGCTCCTGAGCATAGCGATCTCCTCTTCGAGTCTACCTTTTTGATACGTTTCATCTTCCAGCATTTTATGGAGCTTTAGGATTTCAGTGCTTCCAGTTGCCTGTAATGAGATGAAGTCTCTCATGTGCGACAAGATCCTTAAATTAATTTGAGTTAGAGATGCAGCATCCAGATACCAATAGGTTGACATACCTCAGTCCTCTTCAGCTGTGCCAATTGATTTCTAAGATTCTTAACCTCCTCTTCTGCGGATTTTCTCGCAAGTACTTCCTTCTGAAGCAATGCTTTCACTTCAGAAACCTCCTCTGAGACAGACGAAGTTGGACCCTTCAATCAAGAATATCAGATCACTTTAGAAAAGCAACGACTCAACCATGTCCAAGGCACATGACCAGTAAAAATAAAGAAAAATAACAATAATGGGAAAAAACTTCCACAGCCGTGAATAAGACCCCATCAAAATCCTGGGAAATATATCATCATTGGTATCTTTAAATATGGGGGCTATTGGTGTCGACTACCAGATTGCTAATCTCAGCAAATAAAACTTTTGACCAGGCATATACAGATAATAGCAGTTTGGGAGTTGTCCTAAAAATATCGCAAACATATTCCTTGCCAACACAGATATTGCAACTTTTCTATTAATTGATCAGGAGAAAAAATTAACAAATAATTCGAGAGCTATGAATTCATTCCCCTATCCAGTAGAAGTCCGTTTGACGCAAGCAAAATTACATTAGGACCACTAAATGAAACTATGGAGTCCTTCATTAGCAGAAATTAATGAAAAAAGATGTCATACGAACGCATCACCTACTAGATAAAGAAAATGGAAAAACATTTTGGCTAAGGAAAAACACAAACCTCTCCATTACAGTTCTTGTCCAAGTAATCTCTGGGTTGAACTTCACTTTTCAGATTACCATGCATCCGCTGCTTCATCATCCACTGCTCCTCAAGTTTCTTAATAGATTCCAAATAATCTTTTTGATATTTAAACCTTTCATTCTACAAAATAACGAAATGAAGAATTTCTTATGAAAAATTTAGTGCTTCAGAAAGACAAGAAAAAGACTTTGCAAGGAAAAATAGATATAGCCACATGCAGTAATAAACTTAACCCTAAAATGGTAGCTAAGACGACCAGCACCGAACATCAAACAAATTCTAGGGAAAAAAAATCTCAGTATAAGTTAAATTTTATACAATATGAGAAAGTTCATCATTGTTCTGGCACATACTTAAACACCTTTTTCCATCTTTCTTACGGTGACAAGAAGCTAATCTCCTGTTCTCTCTGGGACAATGATATGAAATCCCTAGATTTCTCATGAATGGGAGTCTATCGTTCTTCAACTCAAACGTTCAATAGACAAACCATGATAATGAACGAAGCCCTACTCTGCCGTCAGAAGTTTATAAGAACACGAGGCACAATGTCAAAGTACATTAAATCCAAGGATAACGCGGGAAAAAGTTAGTGGGAAGATTATGACGACATAAACAGAAAGATTAAGGAAATAAAAGTGGAGTATTTGAGTAACTGGATCTGTTCCTAGATTAACACCCTAACCTGTTTACCTTAAGTGGCACGTCTATAAATTATCAATCAGCTTTCTTCGATTACATTAAGTGCCACTCCAGCTTTGTTACCCGAAGAATAAGTCAGATGCTTTGAAATCCTTTTTGGGAGAACGCAGAATCTTCTGAACAAATTATTTTATTCTATTCCTCCCTCTTTGCTTTCACAACGAAAAATTACTAAAGACCTAGATTATTCTATTTTTTCTATAAAAACGAAAAAATCCAAAAATCGATGTTAATCAATAAATAGTCTCAAAGTAAAACAATACAGCCACAGATTTAAAGATGAAAAATATGGAACTGGAGAAATGGTGATAATGCGCCACAGACAAGCATTAACCCAAAAATCATGCTGAATTGGTCTGACACATCTAAGAATTCAAAACACGACATCACGATATGGTTCCCAAATCACCTCGTATCCTTGAATAGGGAAGAAGAGGGCATAAGTTGAATTGGACGATATGGATTCAGATAGATTAGCATTGGATCTATTCTTTCTGCTGAGCAAGAAATTTTATGTAGTTGGTTCATGAATATTGTTCAGTATGGACAGATGGTAGTTTTCAAGGTTATGAGCAGGCATAGCATCAAGATTTGAGATTCGGAAAAATCAATGCAAAAAAACTACCAATAAACCAAGGACTAATGCAAAATAAATTATCATTCCTGCTGCAGATGAAAATATTTTACCACAAATAAAGAAGAAGAGAAATACATCCGAACAAGATAAGGATTACATAAACAAGTCTATTATCAAAATAAATGCCAATCTGTCCACCACATAAAGCTAAAATAAGAAGAGAACAGCACCAAACAGTGATTACCACCAAATCATTCTAACAATACAACAAGATCATTTTTACAAAAAAATCAGCTATACTCTCAAAGAATCCAGAGGAAAATAGACATTTGTGGGCACAATACCTCTAATGCAGTACTGTAGCTTTGCTCAGCCTCAGATACACGATTCTGTGCTTCTACTTTTATCCTCTCCAGTTCATCCTCAAAATCTTTGTGTTGTCTTTCATTCTCAGCAACTAATTTATCTAATTCGATCTCAAGCCTTCTGCACATGCTTTTGTAATCAAATTCCTCCTTTAGTCTGACCATGTTCTCTACCTTCATTGCCTGGAATGTTATATCAATACTCAGAGGGACATAAATACTAAAAAAGTTTAGAGTTCATATTCATCGAGCCCTTTCTAGGAGTGAATTAAACACGTTTCATAGCAGAGGAAACGAAAAACTAATCAGCTGATCCCCTAAAGTGAAAAGGAAGCAGGCAATCAAAGCAGAAAGAAAGTAATGAAACCAAAAACGCTACCAAGAGCTGAAATGGAACTCCAAGATAAGCATATGTTTTTAACCCCCATCCCAACCTCGATTTCATCCGCCATGAGCAGAGAGTAACAATGAATGGAGAAGCAAGGGGATACAAGTGACAATACCAAACCGACGTGAGAAATAAGAAGTAAAAGAAGAAGAAACAGCGGCAGGTACAGAGAAGAATAAACACAGGACATAACATTGGCCTCAGTCGAAGCAGAAAAAACACAGGACATAAGCCTTTGAGACCTTTGAAAGGTTTATGTATAAGCGATAGAAAGGCGATCAAGGAAATCATTTTGCAAATACCCTTGAACATCCATCCTTGTGGGAGACTTGGATTGAGTGGAGTATAGGATAAACACGAGTGATACACTGGGTAGTCCCTATCCTTTTGGATAAGAGTGACTGGTTAGAATAGATATCTGTATTCACATCGTAAAAATAGCCCTCGGCCTTTAGGACGGGACTTCAGGGTTCCAACTTTTCTTTTTTTTTCTTTTTTTGACCAAAGAAGTAATAACTGAACTAGCAAAAGACATGCCGAAACTGCAGATGTTTTTAAACAAAGGCATTAGCCAAAAAACCCACTAATTTTTTTTTGACAAATAGATCCGGGAGCCCCTAGAAAAAAGAGAGAAAGGCAGAAATAAAGGATCGAAACATCACAGGCCGCACGGAAAAGAAGAGAGAATTGCCATGCCAGAATTGTGTTGAGGCCACAACAGCAAGAGAACAAAAAGAGCACATCTCCCCAAAAAAACAGCCTTCAGCAGTTTATTGTGCCTCTGCTCTGGGAACAGGAAGGAACTGAGGCACCCACCAGAGCCTTCACATCCGATGCTGAAAAATTCATCAGTTGGAGTATCGTTTTTACAGGGTGGGTATAATTAAGGCAGAATGGAAATATTTCACAAGTAACTGAGTTATTCTTGGCTTCTTCCATTATGCATGGAGACAGGACAAGAAGATAAAGTCCAATCTGACCCTACGCAGATGATTTTGACACCTTTCTCACATCCGCCGGTTCCCTTCATTTACATGTATTTTCCCGTCCCAATCGATCTACTGAAAATTCAATCTAATGTTGCCGGTTCCTCTCATTGCATGCTATTGATAAGCTTCTTTGGACAAGAGCAAGCAGCACCACCAAAAATTTCTCTTATTCCACCCTTTTTTCTCTTCTTCCATAATTTCAACCACTTATCTTCCCCAAATGACAGCAACCAGCTTTAAGAAATGTAAAGTGGTCTGGACTGGTTCCAACCAGGCTTTTTCTTGAAAGGGTTGACTTTTTTGAGTAAGTTAACTCAAAATGACTCATGTGTGATTCATGTGATAAGTAAGAAATTTCATCAAGTCACCACAATCACCACGCGTCCTCATTTAGGTAAACCTATCCAACATTGCATCCTATAAAATCCAACCAGTACAATTCACTAACCAGAATGAGACGGCAAGCCGGTAAGAGTAGAAAAATCTTTTTTTGCATATCCAACATCCAAGAGAACTATCTGACATCCGTGCCAAAAAAACCTTGAGAACTGTATCCCGGAAAACAAATCTACGTTTCTTCTCACTCAACTAAAAGAGTCACAGATATCATTATGGCAGATAGCCCTTGGGAGGAAAAAAACCGAAATACGAATCATTTGACAACTTAAATTAAAACGAGAGAACATACAAAAAAATTTCAATGTAAAATTAGAACATCCACGCAAGATATTTAAAAGTAAAAACAGTGACACAGACGACTTACTGACAGCCTCTGAACTAAACATGAACCCAACAAATCGTTATAAGAAAATATGAGCAAAATTTTGAGACAGAAGAACATGGTTGACGAAGAATGAGAACAGTACCCTCTGCCCAAACATAATGGTACTGGCAGTCTCCCCTCTATGGCGCGGTGATGGGCCAATAGTTATCACCAATGATGTCCTGGCAGTTCCTGATCACCCAATGCAGACATTAGACAAACATACTTGAAACCAACAAGTCAGACATGCTTGAATAGAAGGGCAATCCATGGATCTGCATTGCTACACAAATGCAACATACAAGGTAACACAATCCATGTGGTTATGGGCAATAAAATTGAGCTAGTGGCAATATCCTCTACATGAATGCAATCCTAAACCAACAAATTTTATAAAGCCAATTATTAAATCTTTTCCATACTCTACTGGTATCTTTCTTCTTAATAGCATAATACCAAATAACATACAACGGCCCCAAAAATTGTGCCCATAAAAATGACATGGAAATTTTACAAAATAAATAATTGTTTATGACAAATACTATTGCTTCGATTTTTCCATTAGGCCAAGATAGTAAAGCACAATAAATAGAAAAGCTCCAATGTAAGCATAAAGAAACATCCATGTTTCAAAATAAAAAAAAATGAAACGTCAAAAGATAATAAGTAAATGTGAACGATCTAGATGATCAAATCATGAAATTTTGCAAGAATTCAAATCTAAAGATATGAAAACCACCATCCGTAAAACAAGGATGTGTCCAATCAACCATAAAGGACCATCAAAACATGACTACTTTGATAACTAGCACTTAAAATCCCACTAAAAACGAAAAGTTCGCAAGTTTAACACTATCTCACCACCAAATGAATCTCGAAGCAGCCTTGTAAGCTTTGAATCACGAAACGGCACATGCGGACTATTTTCTGCAAGTGCATTAATGCACTTTCCAAGTGCACTTAGTGAAAGATTGATAGACTTCGCTTCCTCCAGTGTGTGCCCCTCACTTCCTGCAGCCAACAGCATATTAGATGGTTAACAAAGAAAACACTCAACAATTATTGACCCTAAATGAATGGCATTGGAGCACTACGACAACTGTTGAATAAGAAAATTCCAGGTTCTCAAGTCAATCAATACAACCTGACAAAAAGAAAACCATTTGCACGATGTGGAATACAGGAATGAAGAAAGTTGAAGATTTTACGATAAAAATGAGTTGAGCTAATATACTAAAAAATAAAATCAGAAAAAAATATCAAATGCAACAGAGAATTAATAAAAAATTATCTGCTACAAAAAAACAAGTATTTTAACTCGTAACAAGAGACATCATAATTCACTAAACATGTCCAACCACTTTTGTGTGGCAACCATCCCCTTCAAGAATTTAAAAGGTTGTGTGAGATGAGGTACTGAATGCAGCAAACCGGCCCGTCACCTCAATATCCTGATCTCCAGAATGTTTGTAGCAGTTTTATTCTAACCTTGAGTACAATTGGGGCGGCCAACAATGAATATACATATAAAAAAAAATTAGCATACTGATGTAGGTACATTGCCATACTCCATTAGAAAAAGACCAGTTATGGATCCTCTATCTAGTTACTGCTCAAACCTACATGTATACCAACTTAAACTGGAAAAGCTCATTCGCCTCATGAGGTGTGCATATTATCATCTGAAAATTAACATCGAGTAGTGGATTTTAAACATCAAGATCAGCTGATTACCGAACCATTCTAGATCAATTATCCGATTACTATTTGGGAAGTGCCCACGACATTATTTTTCCATGGTACATGCTATGACAAAAATTACCAAAAGTTCGCATTCTTACCAAACCAGATATTTTATCTGATTATGCCAATTCCAAAACCACTCTTAAAACATGATGATTCTACCACAAGCTTCTAGCATCTAAATGTTTTTTAGTTAATAATAACAACATATCATTTTCCACTATAGCATCCAAAACAAAAGTACAAATTTGATGAATGATATAAAGATCCAGCAAACCATTTCCTATCATGAGGAAGTTAGCAAAGAGTCAACGGCATACCACGAATCATTGTTTTTCCTCTGTGAATTTAAATGCAAGGATAACGAAAAAGGAAGAGACATACCACGAAGGATCCACATAAAAATAGACAAAATCAACCAACAGACTAAACACACTAGAAAACGTAAAAAACCTGGTGCTTACCATACCTGATTTATCTATTCTTTCTGAGCCCGCAAGGTCTACAACTACAAGCTTGCTTTTTCTAACAATTGGAGGTCTCAACGATTTAACCAAAGGAGAGGAAGTCCCATTATCTAAAGATGAGATAGATGCTTCTCTTTCATGCCTTGGCTTCACAGATCTCCTCACATGCACCTGCACGACATGGAAATTTTCATCTAAGCATAATTAAAATGTTCGGCTAGATCTAGCAGCATTACCTAGCAAACTGCTTTCAGTTTAGCAATATTACCATGAGAATAGCATGACTGCGAGAAGATTCAGTGTTTAGCTTCGTATTGGCAGCAAACCGATGAGCCTCCCCCAGCCTCAGAAGATCTACGAAGCTCCTCTGGTCTCTAATTTCTACTAGAGTTGCTCCAGGTACCGAAACATCCCCTGTTTTTGGATCTTCAACTATGGCAATTTTATCATTTCCAGGAACAAGGAGATCTTGGATCGTTTCCATGTAAAGCTGCAAATGATTGTTAGAAGGAAACCTTTAGCCGATATAAAATATCGATATCTGAAAAACTTGCTAAATGAGACTTAACTATGATCAAGATATTAGATTTATTGTTAGCAAACATAACTGACTACTGCTGAGCCTGGTAGGTGAACAACCTGTAAGTAGGAGACAGATATGGAATCATTTTCTGGAGAAATGTCTGAGAGAATGTCCTCCATAGAACGGACCATGATTCCCCGGGCTGCAGTGTCTTCCTCTCCAAGTCTCCCAAGGGTAAAAGTTTTCCCGGTACCAGTTTGTCCATAAGCCATAATCGTACCATTGTATCCCTCAAGAACACTCTGCACAGAAGAAAAGTCATCATGTACAAGAAGGCAAAACTGGCATAAACAAAGATAACAGCTGCAAGGTGACATGAAAATTATGGGATTCAAGATTCAATGAGAAAAATTGGCGCCAAACAAATTAAATACTAATGATTAGGTTATCTCTGTATAATAGATATTATTGTACAGCTTTAACCAAAACGTATCAACAAAGTAAATGACTGTCCTCACGTATTCTAGCTTCTAGGCTATATCAGCTTGTGCACAAATTTAAGATTCTAATGAAACTGGGGACCACGAGGAGGAGAATGGGAGGAGAGAACCATAGATAGATAAACTGGTAAAGAGATTGTATAAATATATAAGAAAACATCAGAACATCTGAGATGATCAATCCAAACTAACATTTATCATTTGAAGATATAATTAAACCTGAAGGAATTGCCAAGAGGAAGGCAAAAGGACAAGAAGCATCTAAAAATAGATCGTGCGACCTGGGCACAATCCTGAAGAGTTCAGCTACACTACAGAAATATTCAAAACGTTGGGAAAAGAAACTTGAGAAAATCGGAAGGATAAGAAAAATGATGGGTAAAACTTTAATCTTGCAATCTTTAGAGCCTATCAAACCATGATCATTTAAACTTGATCGTACCATCCTACTTGCATTATTTAAGCAAAACATCCAAAACCAAGAACTCACTGAACAACAATTCTTCTAGAATATTTCACAAGCAATCAAATTATCATTCGTGCACTGTGTTGCTCAAATTCACGCCAGTTATTAACTCAGAGAAGTATCTTCGTTTGGATGAATCACTCAAATGGGTCAGCCTCAAGGGCATTTAATCAATGACTGCCACAAAGTGTTTCCAAAGATTTTTTATTTTTTTTTCCAAAAACATGTCTAGCATTCCCATTGCACGTCGGTCTCCAGTTACCAACAACAGCGTCTCACTGCACGTCACTCGGGTGAAAGACGTCAAATATTTGCATGCAATCACAAAAACATCGATTGAGTAGAAAATTCAAATTATTTTTCAAACTGGGAAAGACAATATTTATGGTTAACTAAAAAAAGAGATGAAAATGAACAAGATTGCACCGAGGACATTTTAAACAAGAAAATAGATACATACTTGAAACTTAACAGCCCAGTGGTAATAAGGGTATCGTATGATTTTCTCTCCAATTTAAGAAAAAATGCATCGTAATTGTCAAGCAAGGTGAGAAGCAATTAAAATTTGTAGGCTTCACCAAGAAGACTACAATATTCTGCACCAGACTAATGACTTGCTCCAAAAGCACCCCAATTGCAATATGCCCTACACACTAAAATCTTCAGTACAAGCAGATAAGCTTCACAAAAATCTTAAATAATGGTAAGGATTATTCGTCTATGTGATAAACATAAGTAAACATTAGCACACATTAGAAATGACAGCGTGGATCAAGATCAGTACGTTGATAATCTTAATTACAGAAACGCTTATGCTCAAGAACTACAATATCGTAGCATTAACTAACGTAAAAGCCAAGTCAGTTCAAAATTAATGCATCTGTTGCCAGATAGGGCCCATTTTTAACCACATTGAGTTGTATGTCCATTGATAACGGCCCAAATAAATTCAAACTCTCTGAGCACTTTGTTAGAGAGCAATGTTTTATGAATGTTCTTTCCCACACTATCAGCGACACACTTACAAATATAAACGATATATTTATGACAAATAATGAAAGCAACAGTATGAAAGAAAACTTTGAGAAAAGTTACCTCAGATTTCAATTACAATATATACAAAAAAATGGTGGCGACGATTTGAACATTGCTTTAAATTCATACTGAGAAGAATTAAATCTCAATCATAAAATTGACTGCAGGAATTAAGGCTTGTTTAGCGCTTATCAATAAAAGATTTGAGAAGTCAATCAAAATAACCAAATCATTCAATATTACCAGACTGTCAGCGCAAAACTGAAAGCAATATCACGTCAAACATTTAAAGCACTAACAAATGCCAGCTGATCTTCCTTTCCAAATAATGGCCATCAGCAGTTAGCAAAACTTGAACATGAAGTAATGAGAAATGGTTAGAAAAAAGTTACCTCAACAACTGGTTTTGCCACTACTTCATACACACGTTTCTGTGATGCAAACTCTGTTAGCACCTCGTCAAACTCATAGGTGTCTGAATCCCAGTTATTCTTACGCAGCTTTAACCTTTTAAGCTAAAACACAGGATAAAAAGAATTGAAATTAGCTAACAAAAACCATCCACCCAATAGCATAGTTTTCTACACGAGACCACAAATTAACAGAGATCTTTGGCTAATAAGTTTCCTTTCCTTTAAATGCATGCAGTAAAAAAGATGATGCACCAGTACTACCTCTGATTGCAATTCAACACAGTCAGCGAAATCTGAATCTGCCACCAATTCCTCCGCATTTCGTGGTCGGAGCCTTACAGCTACACGGACTCTCCCAGGAACTGCACAAGCATCCATAAGATTATGAATGTAATTTTAACATAGGAATTTAAACACGGGTGAAAACGAATGCAGTGTACAAGATAGCCTGGCTGTATATCTTCATTCATATCCTCATTCAACTTTAAAAATAAGTCAAAATGTACAATATAACAGAACACTTAGCACGTAAATACAAATCTCGCCTATGAGCAAGTAAATACAAATCTTACCTACGAGCAAGTAAATAGAATACTATTTTCATAGATTCTACACAAAAATATAAATTAATCTGGATATCACCAACTGAATAATCATTTTTAAAAAGGTTACCAACACATTGACAAAATAAAATTAGCTACATGAAATTCGCACTCTTTGTTTTTCCCTTTTAGACAGTACCTGGCTGAGTCTAAAATCTTTAAAATACTCCTGCAAAAACATTTATCATCCAAAGGAAAAAAATCTAAAATGGTCCATTTAAATAAATTAGTCAGTCACCAGATGCACGCAGAACAGAAATCCAAACCAGATCTACTCAACTAAAAGCCGGCAGTCCTTTGAAAATTACTCACGTTAAGAAAAAGGAACGTTAATGTTGGAAAAGGGGAAATCCTCATGTAGCAGCAAAAGGCCGGTAACAACAAGGAAAACGGAAAAATATTTTAAATTTGAATGACTGTCCACGTATGCTTCCTGTATTAACTAAAAGGTTTTTCACAAAGGAATAATCAGTAGGAACCAAACCGTCCTCAAATCCAGCACTTGCACTGCACTTTGTCCAGCACACCTTCTCAACCAATGAGCAACCCCCCTCAAAATAAAATAATAAATAAAACGCCAACAAGTAGCCATTATCGCAGGTGCACAGATGTAAATCAACGGATTCACTGGTCTGCAGTCATCTGTGTTATCAAACTCTGTGCTTTCAGGGGCTAAATAGATACAATCGTTGAATAGACATCTCTTCTTTTTCTGAAACACAAGCTTCTGCGAAACAATTTTGGAATGACTCCCCGAGTGTGATGAATCTTTAACTTGAAAAGTGAATAATAGCCCTCGTAGAGTACTGAAAGAGGCCTATATGTATTAGCTTCAATCTTGTTCACACCCAAGTTTCTGAATAAAGTTCAAACATTTTTTGTATAGATGATCAATCTACATCCTAATAGGGATGTTCACACCGTAGTGACTATGACCTCTGCCTACGCGGGCTATCCATTCCCCTTCTTTTGTTCATTCTGCAGAATACATGCCCATTCAACAAGCGATCTTATCTAACTTTTTGGGGTTGTAATTACAGATGGTCTGATATTCATGTCTTTTAGCTTACAGAAAGGAATGGAAAAAGAAGCCACGGATTACAGTCTAATTGCCCTTCTCAGTGGAAGATGGAAAACATTATCTGAGATGCTGATGCATATCTGGCGAAAGTAGTCAATAATTTGATATAAATAAACCGTCAGCACTATCAAAGTGAGATCCAATTCAGAAAGCTTCGTGAAGCATAGAAGGCCGCACACCATACCAAAAAACTGCAAAAAATATATAGAGCTGAAGTTGGATTTGAAAAGGCCTCTTACGAAAGACCATATTCAGGGATATAAATTACTAGACCAAAAGAACTACACATCGTGATATGATGATTATATTTACATTTTCTCATTAAAGATATGGGTCGCCACCAACTGAGGAATCTACAAGAGGCATGATTAGAACGAACATATTCTATCTTTGATGAACAACTCAAAGGTTGCAAAGCAAAAACATCATTGCAATACCAGATGGATCCTTTTCAAATGAGTACTTTGCACTAAGTACTTATTTCTTTGTCAATTTCATGATGCAAAAACTGTAGCAAATAGATCAGAAGAAATAGCAAAGGCTTGGTTTCTTAGAGGTGCTGAACATGGGAAAAAAAAGATGCATTCAAAACTCTTGGGGTGGGGGGAGTGGAGGGACGTCTAAAGAACCGAAACTAATAGTATTCTCTTGGCAAAATGCTAGGGCTATGGAAATGGAGGATACATTATGTGGAAGTCTCAGAAAGAAAAAAACACCACGAACACTGCCCTGGATGGCGCATTGGACCAAAAGTTCTGTGAACACTATGGACTTCTTGGAGTATTTACAGAACGGAAGGCTTGGCAGGACCGTCCACTGAATACCATCTTGCTTTTATTTTCTGAAAGACTATTTCAGCTTGCAAATGGCAACGAGCCAAGGTTCAAGGATGATAAATGGTCGGAGTATAAATCTGGATACAGTAAATCGATGCCCTAGTAAGGGAACCAATTGGCAGTGTTCACATTACTCTTGAATATGTCACTGGGGTTCTTATCGTAGGTGTGATTGCTCCAAGAGTGGGTGGTGGGCCAGCGATTATCGTAATGGAAAGTATTAGCTTTCAATGATGGAGAGTATGTCAGTGGCTTGAATTCACGTTGGTCCATGGTGGCAGCATTGGTGAAGAAGCAAAACTAGCCGTGCATCAAGCTTGCTAGATGAGGGGGATCCTTGTCATTAGGCAACGGGCAACAAAGAATCAATTTAGGGCTTTAGTTAAAGAGGAATGCAACCGTTGATGGTAATGAGTTTTCTATATCTGGAAGGAAGTGTGAGCATTTGATCTTTGTAGTGAGCAAGTGTTCTTATCTATTTAAGAGTTTTCAAGCAAATCGTGTTTGTTCTGACTGTGATTCCCTCTCCTCTTCCTCTCGTTATTCGCTATTGTTTGCATGATTTTCAGCATGTGAGGTTCATGTGTAGTCATACTTTATTAAAGATACATTGTATGCTTAATCTGGAGATATCTAAGGTTGTGTGGGGCTTAGACATCTTTCAACGGAATTTACTGGGCCTATAGCCCTTGAACATATCCATTATGTGTAAACTAGTTTACAGGGTCTGGTTGCGTGGACCTATTAGCTTTGATTATTCTCTTCCTCCATCAGAAAACCTTGAAGTGCTTGGCTATGCGGTGACTTGAGAGTTGGCTTCTTTGTATTTCAAATTCGTTACTAAAAAATAAACTCTGGACTATTTATTAAGCCTATAACCTCACTTCTCATAGAAGCCAAGAAAACCCAGCAAGGGGAACACAAGCACGTTATGTTTATGCTCATCTAGGCACCTAGGTCGACTTGACTATCCACGAGGCATCACCATGGGCACAGCAATGCTTCAGGTTCAACTAAAAGTAAACCTTGTACAGTCAATCGCAGCCTGCAAAAAGTCAAGTAGTTACCAGCTTTCACTCCAATATCGCCCTCATATCCCACCCCATAGAAGGTCTTCATGTTTCTGATGTTAGACAGCTTTCCATCTCTTCCTTTCCTCTAGGCAATGATAAATTTTAAAATGAAAGACAAGCAGCATTGCTACAAACTTTTTTTGCTGCGGGTGCATTTGCATTGTTGAAAATGAAAAGTACAATCAAGGGAATCAAAGGCACTTTGAACAAAAATTATGCATAACGCCCAAGAAGCATCCTTGAGAGGATACTTTTAAAAGAAAGGCCTTGAATCCAAGAAAATAATTATAGAAACATGACAACACAGTCTACATTGTGTATATCATTTGCTCATAACATCTAAGCATTTCTAGAGATTGCCAGAAATTATTATGGGCCATAAGGGAGAAATAACCAGTAGAGAGCGTTGAATCTGCAAGATTATGGAAAAGCTATATCCCAGCTCAATTGAGTGCTTGACCACAACCTCTAGCCTTTGAAACGCGAATCGCATGTAACCAATCCAAAAGTACATACTTCTCCTGTAAATCCTTGGCCGTATACTCCACATTGAAAGAAGTCTGTAATAGAGCCCTGTCGATATCCTCTTTTAACATCATGAAACTGACTTAGGATCATCGAGCTATACCTTGCACAGGGTTGGGACCTTCACTTTAAAGCAAACAACTAGACCCAAAGGGTGCCTACCTGACAAGTCGGGAACCTAATTTAACTTCATCACGAGTGTAACTCAACAACAGAAAAAAGATGGTCAGATATCTCACACGAGAACGGGAACATCATGCGAGTGCACTCAATGCCTCCCCGAGTGACATTATGCATTTATATGATTTTCATGTCACAATCCAAGTGGCTACCATGGTAAAAACCTGGCCCAGAAGTTTCCCTTATCCTGTTCAAAGTAATCTCCGGTCGCGTGTCTCGGAATCCAAGGCGGTAGACAATATAACCAAGATCTCGCGACCACTTCGAGTATATGCATACCCCGTACCATCTTCCATTTCTCAACGGAACGGAGACCCGAATGCCAGATACCCCAAATTCCCATGCTAATGTAGAGACGTCCACCGAGAATAGTGCGTCTCAACGGAGCAGCCGGACACTAGATCTCGCACGACATCAGCGCCCATGACACCAGCGCCCATGACACCAACGGAGAAAGAAATAAAGCCACAGACAAGAGGGAGAGAGACGAGGACGTACCTCCAGGGTCATTCCTCGCACCACCCGACAGGGACCCGGAGCGACGAACGCCAGAGCCGCCCGCAGCCGACGACACCCGCGACTTGGAGGTGGCCTTCGGGGTGGCGAACTGCGACGAAGGCGGCCTCTCGGCCTTGGAGACGACCTTAGCAGCCCCGCCGTTCCTGTACGTCCCGGAAGCCATGGAACACGGCGGGAAGCCGGATCTTCCCCGCAATTCCACCCTTCCACTCACACCAAACCTCGAGCCATGTGTCTAAGAGAGAGAAAATCCAAATCTGATAAAAAAATACCGCTCTCGAAGGGAACAAACTAGCAGGACGGATGAGCGCGTTCGAATCGCGGAGCGAGCTCTCGACGACTATCCAAAAGCTCGCCGGCGACAGCGGCGGCGGCGGAGGGCCGTAGCAGAGCAGCGTGGAGAGAGAGAGAGCACGTCGCTCTCGAATCCAGACAAGAGTGAGACAGGAGGAAGTGGGTGACGGCCCCGCCGCCCGCCAAGACGTAGCCGCGGAGCGGGAGAAAAGTGGAAAGGCCCGCGCGACTCCTGCTTACTGGCGGGCCCCACGCCGGATTGAAGGGTTTTTCTGCAAAAAACCGAAGAAACTCAGGGAATGGAGATTAAGCGACCCCTCACTCGCCGCCTTTCCGGGTCGTCGTCAACTGGCCCGCTATGCACCCCCATCCGCCGGCCCATTTCCCCACCGAGCACATAAATTTACACCCGAATAGATAAGTTCCATTCGTATATCAAAAAATAGTTAATATTTAAGGTATTATATACAATAAATAATTTATTGCTTAAATTTGAAATTTTATGGAATTGGAAGGGATCAGGGCGATGAAATATATTAATATTGACCCTATTTTATACCGGAAATAATTGTGTTTCTAATTTGGTCATTTTCCACAACTGGGCCGGGTCTGGGCCATGAAGTGGAAGAACTTGAAGCCCGGGCCCCGGTCCGGAACGTCGACAGGCCACGGAGCTACCCGTGTGAGCGTCGGAGGAGAGTGATCACACCGCGCATGCTTTCCCTCTCCCTCTCTTTCCTCTTGTCCGAACAACATCGATTCACGTGCAGGAGGGCCCAGTGGAAGTACTGAAATACCCCTCGTCGGTGAATGCGATGACGTGGGAAAATTTGCCTTTTCTGGGCAATGACTAGGGGAGTGCCCACCCTTCCAATGCAAATAAATGTCCAGCATCGCACTTGTCGGACAACAGGACTGGTGTGAGACGTCCACGTAAGCGGTGTCCAGCCACGTCGGATGCCCGGTGGAGCCATTCCTACCTGCAGATCGAACGGCCCTCGTTCCTGGGCAAATCGGTAGGGCCTGTGATCGTAGCGGGTCCGAAATGGGTCAAACATGAGCTTGACTTCCCTCTGGCGGGTTCGAATACATATATAATCCCAATTATTTCGATTATATATTTATCTCTACTCTTATATATATATATATATATATATATATTACATATAGTTCCATTTATTTCGATTATTTGTCAAAAAATAAAGAGAAGCACAAAAACTTACTCAAAACTATCGGCTAATATTATATCTGAATAAAAAAACTCTACATTATTGTGGTCGTATATATTACCTTATCTTTATCTGGATGATTATCAAAAAAAAGATCTATTGCTGACACATACCTCTATAGAAATATTTTTTTCGTCAAAATTATTGCGTCATAAATAGCACGGCCTTGACATCAAAACTATATCCTTCTGTCTCTCTCTCTCTTTCTCTCTCATCTCTTGGCGCGTGAGGCCTCCTAGTGTGTGAAGTGTAGTATCTAATGATATAAATGGCCAAATAGCCCAATGGGCCGTTTATAATTATTGGGCAGAAATGGTAGAAAATGTATCAGCAAACAATTGGGCTTAAAGACGCGTGAATGGGCCAAAATGTTATTCCCAAGAGTTAGGCTGCCGGTCCCACACGCGTCCCACCTTTGGCGCACATCATTAACCTGTTAATATGAATCCTTTGACCTTTGAAGAAAGTCCACGAGATATTAAAAACTACCATTTTAAGCTCCAACTCGTAGAAATTGTACACGAGTCACCGTTGACGTAGACTATGACGTTTTCCCCATCTCGCCCCCGGGCGACCTACTGATATTTTTTTTCCAACAAAACAAAACTTGGCTCCTCCAACCTCCGCGATTCCTGGAAAGGAGGCGGATCGACGATCAAAGGGAGTTCTTGGAGATGACCTCGCCGAACTTGACGAACCACTGCGCGTCGGAGCTGCTGTGATCCCCCGAGTCCCCCTGGTTCTGTTCCGATTTCGCTAGCAGTCGCTCGTAGTCCACTTCCGCCAGCTTCTGCGCCGCCGCCGCCGACGGCACTGCCCCCCACGGCTTCGCGGCGGTGGCCGGCAACAGCGAGACCAGCACCCTCGCAACCTCGTGCATGGTGGGCCTCTCAGAAGGGTGCCGCTTGGTGCAGAGCAGCGCCAACTGGAAGACCTTCCTCACCATGCCCATGTCCGTGCAGGTCACCGAGACCTCCGAGTCCACCGCCTCCATGACTGTGTTATCGTCCGCTCTCGCCAAAATCTGCCCAGGAAGGAAGAAGATGAAGAAGATGAAGAAGAAAACCGTGTGTGTGAGAGAGAGAGACTGACCAGTTGATGGAGGTTGGAGTCGCCGTCGACGGCCTTCTTGCCGGTGAGGAGCTCGAGGAGGACGACGCCGAAGCTGTAGACGTCGGACTTCTCGGTGAGCCTGGAGGTGCGGGCGTACTCCGGGTCGATGTAGCCGATGGTGCCGACGACGAAGGTGGAGGCGTGGGCCTTGCCGGAGGAGATGGACCTGGCTATGCCGAAGTCCGACAGGTGGGCCTCGAAGTTCTCGTCCAGCAGGATGTTCGAGGACTTCACGTCCCTGTGGATAATCCTCGGGTCGCAGTCATGGTGGAGATATGCCAGTCCCTGTGCGGCCCCCACGGCGATCCTCAGCCTCGTTTCCCAGTCCAGCTTCACCTTCTTGTTCGGCCCTGCAACCGGCGAACCAGATGAGCAGAGAAGATAAAACATTGCGGAGGAGGGAGGAGAAGAGAAGGTGACTGACTCACCGTGGAGGAGGTCCCAGAGGGAGCCGTTGGGCATGAAGTCGTAGAAGAGGAGGTTGCCGTGAGGGGAGAGGGAGTAGCCGTGGAGGCTGACGAGGTTCCTGTGCCGGATGCTCCCCACGGTCTCCAGCTCCGTCTCGAACTCCCGCAGGTTATTTGGGTTCGTGCTGTAGAGCTTCTTGATGGCGATGGGCTTGCAGTTCTTCAGGGCGCACCTGTATACGGCGCTGGAGGCGCCGTACCCTACGGCGTACTTATCGCAGAGGTTCTCTGTGCTTTTCATGATATCCTCGTAGGTGTGGACGGCCATGTCCATCTGCAGCACCACCAGCTTGGGAGGGCCACGGAGGCTACTCCTTGGGGAGCTCTTTGAGTAGGGTTCCTTCGGGGGCTGGCGGAACCTGTAGATCGCCACCATGACCATCGCGAGGAGGGCGACGCTGCCTAGGGTTATGCAGGCGACGGCGCCGCCGGAGATCATCCCTGGATGCCGCTCTGGATCGTTAGCAGCAGAGGAAGAAGACGGCGAGCTCACAAAGGAACGTCGAAGAAGAAAGACGACCTTTTGATTGGTGGGTCCGAGCTCCGCAGGGGGATCCCGCCCAGTCGCCGCACAAGAACGGGTTCCCCATGAAGCTGCAAGCCAGAAGCTTGTGAGAAACTGCCACAGAGGGAAGAAGATGGTAGGGTTTGCAGGGTTGTAAGACCTCGCCGGGGGGAACGTCGGATGGGTCTTGAACGGCGGGATACCTCCGGAGAGATTGTTGTACGAGAGGTTCCTGGATCAAAACGGGAGCTCGCTGAAGTAAGAATTATGAAGGTAGGAGGAGGGAGAATCCTGGTGGGGAAGGGTTGAGATCAGAACCCACAGGGACATCAAGCTGAAGCAGTTCATCAGCTGGTTCGGAATCTCCCCAGATAGATTGTTGTTGTTGAGGATCCTGATTAAATATTCCAAAATAGGAAATAAATAAAAGTACATATATATATATATATATATATATATATATATATATATACAGTCAGGATAGGAGATCATAGAAGGAGATGATGAAAAAGATGAAGAGCCTACAAAGATTCGATGTTCTGAAGCTGACCCAGTTGCTCTGGGATCCACCCACGCATCAGATTATACGATATATCACTGCACAAATGGATGTCTGATGAGTGCACAGAGCTTAAATAAAAAAAAATGATTGATTTATGAGATTAAAATGGTTAAAATGACCCACATGACTTGAACGCTCCTGAGATTTCCAAATTCGGCTGGTATGGGCCCGCTGAGATGGTTTCTGCTCAGATTTCTGAGAAAGATGAAAAATTGATGTCAGTTAATAATCGGTATTAGAAAATTAACAGAAAAATAAAATCCACTTACAGATGTAGAAGGTGCTCAAGATCACCGAGAGATTCTGGGATGGATCCGAAGAAGTTATTATCGGAGAGGTCCCTGGAGAGAAGATGGGCAAGGGGGAGGTAAGGTCAGCCGAGGAGAGAGATCCAGAGGTCCCAAGAAAGAGAGTGCCCATGGATGGAAACTGTTGACCTACAGAGTGTCAAGATTGACTATTCTCCCCAGCTCAACCGGAATCACACCGGACAAATCGTTTGACGAGAAGTTCCTGTTTTATCGAAACATATCATCAGCACACAGAATAGAGAGAGAGAGAGAGAGAGAGAGAGACTTACAGGTATGTCAGGCTCTCTAATCTCTGGAACTCTAAAGGAATGGACCCATTCAGCAGGTTCCCATGGACATTGCTGAAAGGAGGGCCCACAAGATTAAAATCGTTCCAACAAAGTCTTACAGCAGATATGAGGCGACAAGGAAGCTCACAATTGGTTGAGGGCAGTGCAGGAGGTGATGTTCGGAGGAATGGGGCCTTTAAGGTTGTTATTAGCCAAATTCCTATTAACATGAGAAACCCACGTCATTTTCTCTATACTATTTAACGAAAATATTATATAATCCAGTTCTCACAGGTCAGACAGAAAAATAGCCGATAAAATAAATTAAAAAAAACCAGATCTTGGAAAGTTTGACTCACAGCTCGAACAGATCTTGGAGCTTTCCAAGCTCTGGGGGTATGCTACCCTCCAGCTGGTTGTTGTTCAGTTGCCTGCGATGACAGAATTAGGCTCCGAAAAATGGAAAAAAAGGCCGCATTTTCTCGAAAAAAAAAAAAACATACAAATAGCTGAGCTTGGACATGTTCCCGAGCTCTGGAGGAATTGAGCCTCTCAGCTTGTTGCTGTGCAGGTAGCTGGGGAGACGTTTAATGACAGATTAATAGGTAATTTCATGAATCATTTGAACTCATAAAGTGGTAATCAGATGCTAGAACATACAGTTTTCCTGTGTAGGATAGATTTCCGATAATAGGTGGGATGGGCCCAACCAACTCGTTTTCACTTAAATCCCTGCAGAAACAAGCAAATCAACATAAAAACAAGCTCCACTGCAATTTTTTAAATATAAATAATTAAAAAGCGGAAAAAATAGAGTAATGAGATTTTATAAATGCTTACAGGACTGCCAGGGCCTGCATCAGCCCAATAACCTCCGGAATCTTCCCCGTCAGTCGATTCCCTTGAAGGGACCTGGAGGAAGAGAAGAGGTTCATCAGTGTCAGGAGCACCAGAGATCGGGCGAAGATGTCACCGAAGAGAACCTACAGCGTGGCGACTTGCAGGAATCCGATGTTGTAAGGGATTTCTCCGGTGATTTGGTTGTAAGAGATGTCCCTTCATTCAACCCATTTCGTCAGCAAAAAGAGAAGAAATCGTCTACTAAACGAGGAAGATGATTCAGACAGAGCGACGTACAGGATCTCGAAACTGGTGCAATTGCCGATGCTCTCCGGGATCGGCCCGCTGATGTTATTCCCCCTCACGTCGCTGCCGGATGATCCAGAACAACGAAGCCAGGAGGTCGTTAATGGAGAAATCCAAGGAAGATGCTGGAACAGAGAGAGAGAGAGAGAGAGAGAGAGAGCGGAAGAACTCGAATACCCACAAGTACCAAAGGCCGGTAAGCTGGCACATGTCCGGGGACAGCGTCCCTGTCAAAGAATTCCCTCGTAGGCCCCTGCATGGAGAAAAATTAGTCGAATTGGTAGGCGGGAGGAGGAAAACGAGGAGGTTGAACCGTAAGAAACCCACAGGTACTGCAACACCTCGTTCCAGTAGATCAGTCGAGGAATCTCGCCGGTGAGCTGGTTCATGGCCAAGTCCCTGCCAGCGGACGATCTCAGAGACTCAGAGGAGGGGACGAATAACGTAGAGCCCATGGCTCACGATCGTACGCACGGGCCAGGTTAATCGGAGAAGATGACTCACAGGGTCTTGAGGCTGGGGATCTGCGACAAAGTTGAAGGGATGGGGCCTGTGAGCTGGTTGCCCTTCAGGTTCCTGCGGATGAGACAAATCTGGCGGTGTTTAGCAAACAGAGAGAAATAGTGAGATAGATGGAGGACTTACAGCTCCTCGAGGTGCTTGAGCTTGGATAGGGAGAAGGGAATGTCTCCGTCCAGGTAATTCCCCGACAGATCCCTGAAGATTGACGTACTTTAAAATGCTAGAATAAGAAAGAATATTTGGAGAGGAGTATGAGGAGAGAAGATTACAGGCATTTCAGTGAGGAGCAGTCGCCGATCTCATCCGGGATTTGACCCGTCAGATGATTCCCTCTCAGGTCTCTGTGGTCATGTCAAGGATGGAGCGTGGGTAAGCTTAGGAGATGCACAGGAGCGCGGCGTGGTTTTGAGCAGCGGTGGCTTACATGAACTGCAAGAAGTTGAGATCTCCGATCGCCGAAGATATTTCTCCGCCCAGATTCAGGTTCGAAAGGTTCCTGAGGAGAAAGAAGGAGAAAGAAGGAGAAAGTTGAAATCCATGAGTTCATGGCCATGAGATGCAGATTCTCAGGAGGGAGGAGGAGCCGTACAGAGAGACGACGGCGAAGGAGAAGTTGTCGCAGGTGACTCCCCGCCAGAAGCAATGGTCGTCTTCTTCCCCTCCGGCGGCTCTGTGTTTTCCGGCGTTCCAATCCGTCAGCACGTTGCCCACGTTAAGAAACGAGGCCTTCAGGGCCATGAGCGCTTGACCTGCACCGACGACAAGCAAGCAGCGGCGGCGGCGGCGGTGGCAGGCACGAGTGAAGTCAAATGAGAGAAGAGAACTTCCATAACGCAAGGCACGGGGAAGACGGAGAGGTCGCATGGTTGCAGAGCGGAAAGAAAAAAATGGCGACTGTCACGAGGTGGAAGACAGCAAGCTTGGACAGACCTTCCCTGGCTATCGGTGATGCAGCAGGAAGGAGCATCAAGAACAGTATGATTGAAGCTGCTGGCGCCATTGTCACCTGCTTCTCCATTGTCCAGGGCTAAAGAAGGCGGGAGAGGTGGACACTTGCCCGCTCTTGTGCTTCAGCTGTGGGGTGGAGGCAGACGAGGAGGGAGTTACTGGGTCTGCTACATCCTGAGAGGGAGAGAGAGAGAGAGAGAATCCTGAATGGGAGAGAAGGGTTGAGACAACAATCTGGGGGAATCGGAAGGAGAGGGGGAGAGAAAGAAAGGGAGGGGGGAGGGGGAGAGGGAGCGAGACAGCGAGAGAATGAGGAAGGGAGGTTGCCGAAACGGAAAACGCGCAGTTGGCAGTCGGCGATGTTGGTTCAGATGAACCAGTAGAGAGAGAGAGAGAGAGAGAGAACGACAGAAACGCCGGGAGGAGACTACCTTCACCAGAAGCACGGTGGCGAAAGGGACGTGACTGTCATTTCCCGAGCTGAAAGAAGCAACCGCACTCTATCTCTCTCTCTCTCTCCCTCTCTCTCCCTCTCCGTGTTTGTCCGCTAAACTTCCAGTGTACGGCGTCAATCTCCGGAGACCCGCCTCCTCCACTTGCCTTCCACAAAGGCGACAGGATAACAACAACCTTCTTTATGCCCCTCTCGCGGTGATCCCAGTAAGTAGAAGAACCATTACCAGAAGAGAGAGAAAGAGAGAGAGAGGAGTGAGGTCCCCCGGGCCTTGAGATTTGATCTGCACCGGTGGGTCACCCTACAGCAAGATCGTCTCCTCCGTCCCCCATCCCAACCTCCTCGGGAACTCCGACTCCTACCTCCCCCATCACATCGCCGACCCCCGGTACCCCGCCCGCCATTAAAACCCCCCCCTCAGGCCTCTGTTGCGGCAATGCCGTCCGCATGGGTCTCTCTCTCCTCAGAGCTCTGCTAACCAGCCCCTCCTCAACCATCGCCTTAACCCTCCTGGTTAGCCCTCCTCCACCCACATCCATCATCCTCTGTGCCGCAGCAGCCCTCGATTACCAGAGAACAGAAAACAGACTCTGCAGACCCACAAAAAGGAGCCCCCGTCATGGACAGACATTTCGGTGCTCCCCCCTCCCTTTTCCCCCCCGGTTCTCCCCTCCCCGGAAAGGCCTTTTCCCACCCCCACACGGCCCCCCGTCCCCATCGTTACTACCGAAGAGAAGTGACAAATGAGAGATGGGCATGCAGAGATTCAGAGAGAGAGAGAAAGTTGCAGAAGGATCCGCTTCCGGGGCCTTCGCCGTCGCCGGGGCCTAGCCTACCTCCAGCTGCGGCTGTTGCAGGCCGCCATAGCAGAACCTAGCAGAGACCTCCCGCCCCTATCTCTAGTACGGCCTAGATGAGCTATGCAAGAACCAGCGGACATTGCAGAGTGATGTGACGCCCTGCGGAACCCTCTAATGGCTCTTCCTCGGCCGGCGCGGCGGCGGCGCCACCCAATCGTCTGGGGTGGCAGTAATAATCCGTTCAAAATATCATTAATAATCCAGTAATAATTACGCTGCCCGATAATTATCCCCACCCGACAAAGAAGAATGGTCTGGGGTTGACCCGTGAGTGAGTTGACGGTACTATGGATCGCCAGTACCACCGTAGAGAGATAAAATATTATTACTGTGGTCACCTGAGAAATTCCCTCAAATGAATAAATAAAGTAATAAATAAATACTTCGTCCCTGACGCCCCAACCCCCGGCTGCTCTCCTTGAAGCCTCATAAATAATACTAATTATATTAATTACTCCGATTAATCAGGGATTTTTGAAATTACTAGACGATATTTTAACTGGGGGGTGGAAAAATAGTGATATTCCTCGTAAAAAATGAGCCACGCGCCCGATGGAGGGGTATTTCCGTCCGCAGGGAGGGAGGAAGACGGGCGGAGAGGGTACGTGGCGGCACCGGGCTAGGATGGGAGCTGGTCCCGTTGGGCGATCACGAGGGGGGACGACGGTCCCCGGGAGGACAGCAGCGGGTGGGCCCGGGAGGTTAATGATGGGTCCGGCCGGGGCTCTTAATTAGGAACGTGAGGACGGATTGATTGAACCCATCATAGGATCCGTGACGGCTCCACGTGGATCGCTCGCATGAGGCCGGACTGACGGTATATGCTGACGTCGCGACAAAATGGGGGACACTATGTGGGTCCCACCCCCACACCTCCCTTCCCCGCCCATTCTTCACTGTTCACGTTCCCATTGTTCCTTTCATGCACACCCCGTCACAACAGTACCCTCCCTCTCTTTGTCACAACTACTTCCGGACCATCTCTCTCTCTCTCTCTAGAATCAGCCACGGTATCCCACTTTCCGCATAATTATTTCGAGATTTTATAAGGTCCTGCTATTGTGGGGCTATAAAAAATTAAGTTAAATTAAACGGGGTGGTGCAGTGGTGGCGCTGCCCACCGGTCGGGCCGTCGGTGCAAGTGGCAGCTCCAGTTGCGCTCCTGGGCCATTCGGCTGTCTCTTCCCTCGGGTCAGTCGCGAGCAGTCGATCGTATGAACTGAATAAATGACCGCGTACAACCAAGATTGCACACAATAATTGAACCAGCGTATGGGAAAAAGATGGCCGTGGGCCCGGCCCAAACAGTTCTGGCCCTCTCTCTCTCTCTCTCTCCTCTCACCAGTTAGAGAGAGAGCCGTTTTGTTAGGCAGTGGTGCTAAGTCGTATATAGGGATTGGGGTGTCGATGTCGCAAGTGCGAAACAGTTGGGCCCGCACGTGATTCAAGCGGATACCGACTGTGTTGGTGGACTACATTTGGACATGAGTTTGTGATATTATTACCAAAGATTATCAGGACGAAGAGGAGGGCCGGCGATGCTCGATTACGGCGGTCAGCTGGACTCGGCGATCAGCAAGGCAACGCCACTAGGTTGGGATTCGGAGGCATTAATCGATAGAACCAACGATAGGATGACGATATTTTTCCTTATATTGCCGGGAGCTGTGCTTGCCCGCCACGTGGCAGATTCTCCGCTGGCCCTTCGTTCTAGGAAATAGTTCCATTCGATGCTTACTGGGCCGCCAACGCGTTCTCGGTGGTTCACGTGGTAGATTTTCCGCTTGCCACTTTCCCTGGATGCTGCTTATTGGGCCGACAAGGGAAACTATAGGGCCGTTGTCGGATCCACGTTATCGGTACCGGGAACCGTTCGTGGTCCGAGTACGGTCCATTGCTAGATTTTTATTTTTATTATTCTTTTTTTGTGAACCCAGACCTTCGGTCACCTGGTTTCTGCTTCTTCCCCCGTTCTTCCACCCTAGAGGTTTGACCGACAGAGGGAAGACCGCCCCCTCGTTTACCCTCCCGGAAGGTCTCGAATGATCTCGGCTGTGATCTCATGCCGTCGTTAGGTAACTTGCTCATTTTTTATCATTTTTACAGATTTAAGCACGAGGTTGGGGAAATTCCATTCAGAGTCCTCGCTTGCTTCTGTGTCGCTTGTGTTTTGAAATGTTTGCCCGCCGGAGTCAAGAGTGTCAGGGTCCATCTCCGGTTTCTAGGGGGGATGTTGCTCACCTTGGTTTTCTTAGCTTTTGTCGCGCCTTGCTTGCCGTGTGATGCACAGTTTTCTCGCATGTGTCAAGACTTATGAGCAGATTTGTGTAGCTCTCTTGTTTCTCAGCAGTGTTTAGTTGGTGAGAATCTCGACGGGAGTTTTTCTCTCGGAGCACGAGTGCTTATTGCTACTTTGCTTGACCTTCGCCTCGCTGTTACCACGCTGTTCGTTTTCCCTTCGAGATTGTCATCGTTACATTGCCTCGTCACTCACGCCGTAGACTTGTGATTGGTCTCAATTGTACTTTTGGGTATTGTTCGACTTGATTTTGCAGAGAACTAGCAGGGTTCCTCATACTTTGCTCTCTTTCTGAAGCAGAGTGTTTTTGTGATTTTCTCTTTAACGGACCATGCTCACATAGATGGCGCCGTTGTTCTAAGCTTTCTGATCTTGTTTTCTTAAGATATAGCCGTTCAATGCACAGCAGCTGAGCTGTGCGTTTCCTCGTCTATGTTTGGATCGCATCTTTCTTTTTGGCTCTCGTATTGATGTTACGCGCGAACACTATTTGGAAAATAGACAAGATGCCGTTTTTTCAGAGGCATTTATAATTCTACTGAGAAGTTATCATGATCATGAGTCTGTTGATTTCTTTCCCAAATCTCATGAGCACTCAACTGAAGTTTTGACCAGGCCTCCCTGTTCATATAGCATTGTAACTCATGCACACTGAGATATCATCGTGGAATATGAATGGTGGCTGCATGCTGTTGGTAGAAAAGCCATATATCACCTGCCCCGCTTACCCATCTGCTTCCTGTGGCATGATCATCTATGGTGCCTAGAAAGGGGAAGAAGAGGAATTAGACACTTTGAACGCATTTGGGATGGTAAATGAGCTCAAGACCAATGTCGAAAAGCAGGTCTGATAAAGATGGGCGTGTGGATAAGTTGCTATTGGCCTTTGGTTGGGTTTTTGGCTGAGGACGATTTTGGGATTATGTCACTGCTTTTTGGAGCAACTCTTTGAAATATTATAAAATTGAAGAATGGCTGAATCGACTGTTATCTTGCGAGATTTGGCAAGTCCATAAACAAGAATAATCTCATTTTAATCCTGGAATCATCCTCGATGGATTGCCTTAGTCCATGTATTCTGCATCCTTTAACCTTGCACAATAATGATAAAGATCCAAATTGTTTCAGAAAATGGATTGCAGCCTTTCGTGGAATACTATGATTTATAGCCACCAAATGGGCATGATTAAATTTGTGTGGAAGATCTTCGCACTTACGTCCATAAAACACAGAAGTCTGAGGTAGGACAATTGAAGGTGCATATCATGCACCTATTCTCCCTTGAAAATGAATTGTTGCGTGCGCCAACACCTTCATCCCACGATTTCATCAAGAGAAGGGCACTGTCATGTGGACGATTGTGTGCAATAAGAGGGAAGATGAAACGAAAAACGCTCTTTTCTTGTTTATTTCCGAAAAATGTTGGTGGTGTGTAGCAGGCGATCTTGTTGGGATTTGTGCATTAGAGGGGTCAATATTAGATGGCTTTCTTAGGACACGGTTAGACGGAGAGGGAAATATTTTGAGAAGAAATTGGAAGGGATAAGCTTTGTGTTACATGTATGGATGCATAGTAGGTTTTAGTTCAAGTATGAAATTAGCTGGTTCCTGCTTTTCGACGACAATACATAAGAGAGAGTATCTGGGAGGGAAGCATTAATAATTACAGCTGATGAACAAGCATTTTTCTGCATATACGTTGAGTTTTCAAAGAAATTTTCTTGAATTTGAGATTTAAAGAGTTTTTTAGATGCCATAGGAATAGCATTATCAGGGAATATTCCTTTCTGTAGATATACCACCGCAGATTCTTATTTGCCAGATCTAGAAGCATGGAAAAGGAAATGTGAGTTCCCCTTCCACATCCATGGTTAGGTACATACCTTTAGCAAATTTACTTGCAGAATGAATACTTGTTGATGGCTTCAGACGCTTTCAACTAGGCTTGAGAACCAAATTCCAGTGTCGATTAGTGGTAAACGACTAGGGGGTAACGACAATGATGGATTGTCTCAATTTTAAGGCTATTTAAAATTGAAGGCTATTTACCTTCCTTTTCAATTCGTCCTTATGGGAGTTATATGATGTTCCTACTTAAGTTTCTGATCTAAATGTCTCTTGACGTTACTGGTTGGAAATTGTGTCACAGTGAATAGATGATCACAATTCTCATCATATTACTCATAATGCCACTCGTGATTTCACTCCTGTGGGTCTCTTGATGACAATCTTAAGAGAAGATTATTTCCTGAATATAAATATTTAAGGTAAACAGATGGAAACAAAAACCTGTTTTTTACATTGAGGGTTCTAAGCAAAAATGACTTTAATTTCATTAATTTATTAGGCACCTAAGCTTTTTTACGAAATGAATCTGGTGTTTGCGATATTCGATAAGGTAGTAATCCCTTCTGTCAGAAAATAGTTTAGTTATTACTATAAACTAATTTTAGTTGTTAATAAACAAATTTTCTATTCTGTAACTGTAGAGTGATAAATAATCATGTCGAGAATGTTCATCTCACATTTGTTTACCCATCACACTCTTGTTTTTGCTCATGTGTCGTTTAGTGATTTACTGTGCGATACTATTTATTCCTTGCAGATATTGTTGCTTCACAATCATCACATTGGGGCGATTTAGGTTCACCTAAATCCCAGTTTCCTGGTAAAATTTTCTGCAGAAAAGGCATTCAGAAGGGTAGAAGGTTAGAGTTTATGTGGAAAAACCCCATTCGAACCCAAAATAATGTATTTCTTAAAGGCACGAGTCATCATCAGCAGAATAAATCTGTTAGCAAGTCCACAGCTACTATGAAGGACCGTCATTCTATTGACAACAACGATGGCTCTAGATCAAATGCCAACTTGCATGAAGATTCGATCTTTCCAAATTCTCATCCTTTCACTCAGGGCAGCCGTGAAATAGATGAGAAGGAAAAGTTAAGACGTATGAGGATCTCAAAGGCAAACAAGGGAAACGTTCCCTGGAACAAGGGCGGGAGACACAGTGCTGGTGCAAAGCTTGAAAGAATCATTTACTTTGCATTATTTTCCATTTGAGGCGGTCTTTTTTTATACGGACTCTGCTCCCTATTTGTTTTCAGAGACACTGCAAAAGATTCGTGAACGAACAAGAGCAGCAATGCAGGATCCCAAGGTGATGCGATGTAAGAGTAATTTATCTTTTTCTCTTGTGAAATGCTAGATGAAACTAGATGTTTTATGTTGTGTTTGCACAACATATTTTGCTTGAAAATGTAACGTTGAAGATGGGCATCCTTGTGGAACATTGTTTTTTGGTCAGTTTTGAGCAGGCTTGAAATTATTTTTTCTCATTTTTTGTCTTTTTTAAGCCTTTCTTTTGTTGTTTAGTGGGCTAAAGTTATCGTGTCCTTAGTGGGCTATAAGTGGCCAGTCCATTTAATGTGCGTGACTATAAATACTCCTCTCTCTCTTTATTTTTATTGATGAAAAACGTTTTCGTCCTTTTCTAGGATTTGTGAGCGCACGAACTGTTCCCTTCCTCCCTCTCTCTCTCGTCCATTTTTCTCTCCAAATCATTTGCTCTCCATGATTTCCAATAGGAAACGATAAATGATGTTGTTTGCGATAAACACATCCTTCACATACTTTTAACATCTGCTGTATATCAAGTTAGGTTTTTAGCAGGCATGAAGATAGTTTTTCGATCGCTGAAAAATGACTCAGTTTTTCTGCCTCCTGTTGCCATCCATTGGTTCTACTGTGCCGTGGTTAAGAGTTCAAATGACTTTGTGCCCTCGATCACAACGTAATTTTCTGTACCATTTTCTCTCACCTTCTGATGTGGTATCACCTTCATTTTCCTGCGCTACACATTGTCTGCACTGTGTCTCCTATGCAGATCCACACCGTCTGGCACTGCCCCCACCCCGAAGAACAATAAAAAACAAAAAAACAAGTGCCTCCATTATGTAGCTTTCAACTCTCTATGGACAGTCACCAAGGCTGTGCACCTACCATTCCACTCTTTCGACGTCCCTCCACATTCTCCTCTCATAAAGATTAATTAGAGATGATTGGTTTACTCTCTGCTTTGTGGATATGAGGCACGATCAATAGAGCTTGCCTTGGGAAGTGAGTTCAACGTCCAGATATTCACAGAGGCGGGGAACGCATATTTGGGGGTAATTTTCAAGCATTCCCTAAGATTTACTGATGGTAGTTATATGTTTTCTTGTCCAAAAGAAAGATGGCACTTTTTCTGTTACCCACCCTTAGGGTCAACTGAATTTTAGACTGTATAGAGCTTTTAAGGTTTAGGGTTTTTTGCTCATATGCGACACATTTGGCTCTGTTTCTATCAGCTTTTACCTGAGAAAAATCTACATTCATTCTAAATATAACATGTGCATGTGTATGATTTCAAGATTGTTGTCTTGAGTTTTTTTGTCTCCTTGAAATTTAAGGCAAACTTCCTCTAACAGAGAATCGGATGTGCAGGTCAAGATGAGGTTGGCGAAAGTGGGTCATGCACAGAGGTAAGGAAAAGTAAATTTCCCTCGAAGGACATAAATAAGTGTGCTTTGGATTAAATTTTTTTTTGCGGAAATGAAATGGAAACTAAATGACGAATCTCCGATTCCATGGACATATATACCTGCATGAAGCCATTGATTATTTTTATTTATACAGATGAGGATATAAATGACATGATAAGTTTGCTGATTTAATCCTCCCTGGGGCATAAAGACTCTGAATTCTTCCTTGCATCAGGACTGCTACCGCTTATATATCATATTTTGAATGTATAGAGATGTTAACATTAGTTACAAACACATGCAAGTTGCTACTTCAAGGGGCTGGATTCAAAGATTATTGATCAATTTCAGTTTTAATGCGATGTTCATGCCTATTTTTGACCAACTGTCTTGGTTGAAAGAAGCCTAGGAGGACGCGGAAGGAGGTGGAGAGAAAATGAAAATCGCCCACTTAATTCATGTTGAGGTCTGGTATTTACACCAGACCCGCATTTCAGAGAGAGACCAGACCGGACTGGGCTTGTTCTGAACCAGTCTGAAGATAAAATATAAAAATACAATAACCAGTTATGCAGAAAATAATAAATAGAATTTAGTACATTCCAACACCAACAATGGTCATTAATGATCTGAAAAAGACTCAATATAGAGAAAAAAGAATATACTGTGATTCAATCATTCTTACTAATTGTTAGTCACTTATTTAATATTCAGTTGCGGCATCAGCATATGCTACTGAACATGAAAGGCGATGTGAATTAACCGTGACCACTAGTCCTTTGCTACATTGATCATTAAAAGCCCATCTAGTTCTCATGCTTGTTCCTCATCCAACATATTATTCTGAACTTGATGTTCAGCTTGTCCATCAATAAAAGTTTCACACTAAATCGGGTAAAATTTCTGAGCCCAGCTCTGAGTGCGTTGCAAACCTGATTCATATATTTCCTTTTTGGCTTATCAACACAGCTCTTTCTTTTCTTTCCCTTTTGTTTTAATGGATGGAACCGCACAGTGAAGAGACGAAAATGAAAATTGGAGATCGAGTGCGGCGAGGTTGGCAGCGGCGTCGTAGAAGGTTGGTGGTGCAAGAGACCTGCTACTCTGGGTGGTCAAACACCATTGCAGAAGCTTCAAGGAAAGGCTATGGCCATGACAGTGAACTGCAGTGGGATTCCTACAGCATCTTGGATGAGCAATTGAAGACGGAATGGCTGGAGAGTGTTGAGAGGAGGAAGATGACGCCCCGGCTGAGAGGCAGCAGGAGAGTGCCAAAGTCCCCGGAGCAGCGAAGGAAGATCTCAGAGGCAATCTCTGCTAAATGGGCAGACCCAGTAAGAACGAATTCTGACGACCCTTAGACATATATACTTTGGATCATTATCCTATATATCTTGAAACATTATAGATTTTTTTTTTCCTTGTTGGTAATATTCCTAGGAGTACCGCAACAGGGTTTGCAGTGCATTGGCCAAGTACCATGGAATTCCTGAGGGCGAAGAGAGGAAATGGAGGAAGAAACCCAGTCGACCTCAATCTCTGGACCAGGGATCGGCAGGGAAGTTAGCTCTGGGCACGAAGGGCCCTGACATGGAGTCAAAATCAATAAGAGAAGTCGTACAGAGGAAGAAGGAGATCTCCTCGTCTTCTTCATTCAAGGACCCCAAGGCGCATTCCAAGCTAAGGATGCTCAAGAAAATCAGAGACCAGAGGGCGGCCATGGCCACTAAGAAGCGGGCAGCAACCAAGAGGGCAATGTACACTCTCTCTCAAAGGATCAGTCTTTCCTTCTCTCCGCATCTCCTCTGGCAACGGTGACTTAACTTGAATCTGATCTCCTTGTTGGCAGTATCTTGATAGCCAGAGCAGAGAAGGCAGCAAGAGCCCTGGAGGCAGCAGAGCCAAAGAGCCCCCTCACGCGGGCTTTGCTCCAAGAAGCTAGGGAGCTCATCGCTGAGGCGAGAAGGTCGGTAGAGAGCATAGAGAGTGGTCCATGGGCCACCTCCCATGAGGCTGTGGACGGTGCTTCTGCCATCAGGCGACAAGTAAATGGCGGCCTCAGGTTGACCAACTTCATGGGGCAGACTCCACGGCTGGCGGGGCTTCTGCCTGAAGTTAAGGAGGGAGGAAGCAACGGGGGCATGATCTCATCTCCATTTGGGGATCTGGAGGAACGCTTGGGCGTTGACCCTTCTGTGTGCAAGGGCAGACCAGAGGAGCAAGGATCTTCGGAGGTGGGGAAGAAGGGCAATGGGTCGATCTCTTCTCTGTCTAAAGCCAAGAAGAGATGGGTTCGTGGGAGGCTGGTTGATGTCGAGGAAGACTAGCGAGAGGGAATGGGGTTCTGCCAAACTCTCTTGATGCTTGTGTTGTGGTAGCACTCGCGATCTTGTAAGTTGGTCGGTGCATATAGACTTGGAATGAAATATGGTGTTGTTCTATAAGATCAGCAATTTTGAGGAAACCTTTTCATTCGTTTCAATGAGATGTAGACACAGAAAGAGTCTCTTGCGTGAGTGCACATGTTGATTGATGTAGGAGAGAGGCTTGGAAGAAGATTGAAGCTGGAATGCACGACAATAATAATCAGTCTCTTGAATCTAGAGATAGATAGATAGATAGATAGATAGAGAGAGAGAGAGAGAGAGAGAGAGAGAGAGAGAGAGAGAGAGAGAGACCTTTGCTAATTATCAATTCAAGATCGAACTCTTTAGATATAGTGTTATTTGCGTTGGTTGAGTTTAGGCAACGCTAAAGCTCAAGAGGTGTGTGAATTAATGTTTTCATTTCCTTTATAACTAATTTCAGCTCAAAGAATCTTGATTCACACACAAGATTTATAATGGCCTGGTCAATTGAATCTACTTTATTCTCTAAAGAAAAAATCATTATATCTCATTAAATTATGATTGAAACATATTGAATCTCAACTTTAACAAACCTCTACTTAACATACAAGCCTCAATGAGCTGATGTGCTAGATTATATGGCTCTAATGACTAATTACTAAATATTTGTCATAATAAATGTGTTGAAGAATGTATCTATCAACTATTGACAAATGTAGGAATGATTAATTATGTTATATCATTAAATGAATGATGCTTTGATGATAAAAAATTATAATAAGATCAATTAAAAAGATCTAATTATGCCTAGTTTTAAATATGTATAATCTGAGGTTAAATATTAAATTGTTAAAATATAATCCAAAATAATAATATTAATATTTATATGAGAATTCACTGAATATATTCATGACCCATGATGCTGAACTTATTTAATTGTAAATTATTATTTCATCTATTATGATGAAAATTAATAATATTTACATAAACTACCATAGCAAGAAATAGATTGATTAAGGCACTCAAATCAATGAGATTTTGTGAAGCAAAATTTTGGTATGAAAGCTTAGTTATTCATGAACTCACATTTTTACATTGTTAGTTTCGAAATATTTTGTTATTAAATTAAACAATTGAATTCAATATACTTATATTACTATACATGATCTTCTAGATATTAATAAATATAATTTATAAAATTATTTTAAATATATTGAATCACTAAAACCATCACAAGAAATATTGAGATCATTAATCAAGATGTTTACTTGAAACTCATATTTTATTGAGGTGAACCAAATAAGATTTTATTGTTAAATCACCATCTTATCTAGATATATAATGTTGGTTCTATTTTAATGGTATCAAATTCATACCAATTTTAATTGAACTAATATTGTTTCGATAGACACATTGTGATTTAGTAGAACCATGTGCTTGTTTCTCATAAGAATGTCATAACCCTTAAATGATATTTTGTCATTATTTTGAAATCTTTTAAATTTTCAATTATAATCATTGTGAGATGATGAAAAATAGAGGATAATTTCCAATTACTAATTTGATATGAATGATTATCCATATAGTTGTGAATCAAGAAGATAATTTGAAGTAAAATTCTAAGGAAGGTGAACTTGACAATCAGTGGTTGTATCATGTCATTCAATCTTAGTAGACCTAAGATCATATATTGTTCCTATAAATTAGACATAGATCAGGGGTCAAACCATTACAAAAATCTTATACTGTTTTACTTTTGGAACACATAAAATTAAGATATTAAGATTTGAACAAATAGTTAAAAAGAGAGGAGAAATTAATGTAAGTTAAAGATTAGAGTTGATCAATTCAATCCCCCCTCCCCCTTATTGATCTAAGATTATTTATTGCATAGTGTTGCTCTTTGAATAAGCTATATAATGAGTGATAAGCATATCATTAGTCTCATCTTGTTGCTAAAAATCATTTGTCATATGATACAAGAATTCAGAGTATTTTATCCTTTAGTAGTTTTCACTTGATTTAGATACCTAATTTAAACAATGACAATTCATGTGTATTGGCCCATGTACATAGGGAGAAAATATGATGAGTTATTTATGGTCAAGATAGAGAAAGTGTAGACTTATCTTGACATAGTCAAAGTGAATGGTTTATAGTGAAAAGTCAAAGAGAGATAATTTGAAGAAAATCTAACAAGGACAATGAATCTAACTAGACACATGATACATGAATTATGACATGGCCAAAATATCTTGACAAGTGGTATCAAAATCTTTGACAATGAGAAAAGTCCTAGCATACGATAAAGAATATCTAACAAGAACAACATATTTTAACATGAAAGAAGAATATCTAATAGTTATATCTTATCTTAGCACGTTGTAGAAGAATGTTTGATAAGAAAGATGTATCTATACATATTAGTCAATCTTTGAATGACTTGTCTCTAGTTCAACTTAATCAAAGTTTGCCAATTTGACAATTTAAATAGTATAATTGGGCAACATGTCAATGAGTCTATAATCTGACCCACATGTTGAACTAGATGATCTTTAATTGATCAATTAATCTCAATGGTTTGAACCTCAACGATTGAGATTTTTGGGTCCTTGCACGTGGCACTTTAATTAAAGCAAATCTTATCATACTCATCCTTCAAATATCTTAGAGAAAATTTTGCCATAAATTCATGCTTTAAGTTGCATTCTAAAGTAAAATGTTTATAGTAACAATTAATTTATTGATTCAAAACTTCACGATTATAAGTTAATATTATATTATTTTGTATGTGAAGGCACTCTAGAGAGTATTTTGATGAAAGTAAGTAGGTAAGATGACGCTAAGTGTCTATTGTGGAGAGATATATTTGGTAAATCTTTTGTGTAAGGTCCTTGTTGATCACATGAAGTTTAATTGTATTTATCTAGAGAAAATAATAGAAACTAAACGAAAATACCTTAAAAAGCCAGCATAGACTAAATAAATGATGAACCATTATAATTTATTTTATTATACACGATTTAAAACTTAGTGTATCAACCTGAAAAGGTTAACTAGTGCGTTGACCAATTGTTTTACCAATTTCGTAGACTAGCTCAAGAATGTATCAACCCACGAAACTTAAAATTCACATAAATATATTTTAAATAGTTTAAAATATTATTTTGTTGATAAATAATAATTCACTCCCCCTCTTAGTATTCATTTTAGTCCATAGTGAATCAATATAACTCACTTTCTAAGGCAAGCTCTATTGATCATATTCCATATCCACAAAACCCATATTAAAACAATGGCCTCCAATTAATCTTTACCAATGTAGAATGTGGAGGGGTATCGAAACATTGGAAAGTTAGTGTATTTCCTCTTTTTTTTTTTTTTTTGAGTCTCATAATACATCGTGGGATGGTCGTCAAGACGACTAGTCCGTTGGCGCCGTAGATTCTCCGTGACGGAGAGGTTGAGTCCGTACGAGAATGTGGAAGGCTATTTAAGGGCCAAAACCCTAACTTGCCTCCTCCTCTTTCGACCGCTGCCTCCTGTCGAGAAAGGAGCTTCCTTTTTCGCAGGAAGGCGCTTGCGGCGGGTTCTTTCGTACATCATCCTCGTATTCCCTGTTCGTCATGCCTGCGCTCGCCATCGCAGTCCCCCTCTCCCCGGAGTCCCTGGGTGAGAAGACGAAGAGTAAGAAGATGAAGAAGGCCGACGCCGAGGCAGCGCCGGTACTGGGAGATGTGCTCGACTCTGTGGAGAAAAAGAAGAAGAAGAGCAAGAAGGTCGAGGCTGATGATGGAGCTCCCGAGGGCGCTGCCTTGTTGGAGAAGAAAAAGAAGAAGAAGGCTGGTTCAGATGATAATAGTAGCGTGAAAGAGAAGAAGAGGAAGGCCTCAGACGATGAGGGTGACAAGAAGAGTGCCCAAAAAATAGCCAATGGAGGGCCAGCCGCCGTCTCCAATGGACTTCCTGTGAAGAGACAGAAGATTGATGGGAAGGAAAACGGGGAGCTCGCCTCATCTGACGGCGCCGATGAACAAGTTCCTGCTGATCCGAACGCAGTGTCGAATTTTAGAATCTCGGAGCCTCTCCGGGCGGCTTTGAAGTCCAAGGGGATCCAGTCACTATTCCCGATCCAGGCCATGACTTTTGACCTTATTCTGGACGGGTCTGATTTGGTCGGCAGGGCACGCACTGGCCAGGTACAATCTCTTTCTCACGCGCTGATATCTTTTTGATGTTTAGTCCTCACCCCATGAAAGGATGGCCGACGCTCATACACGTTACGGACAAATCAGAAAGAGACGAAGTATGCAAATACAGTAAATCTATGTACAGTAAAGGAAGGAAAAAATCTCGATTATTCAGCTTTTTTAATCTCGTTTAAGGTTCTGTGAGACTGCGTAGAGACAAATTAGACAATAGCTTTGTGGGCGAGGCTCTATTAAAACCTTTACTCAAGGATGGATTGGACTTGGCGTTGGAACTCTCTGGTTTAGATAACTGAAACTAAATCCGGTCTTTGCATATCCATATATGTATATATGTATATATTTAGTGGAATGATTCATCTTCACCATGTCATTAGTTTCCTTCATCGTGTAAGATGAATGCGTGATGATTTTCGTTTTTTGAAAGTTTTCTTCGTCAGTATGATAATTTCACGTTAATAACAATAATAACCGGTGATTGTTACATTTCAATGGCTGAAAACTCCATGCTAAATATTGTAAAATAAGTCTGACAACTAGAAAATGAACCGTTATGTTGAAAGCTAATCAAAATGTGTAACTCTCCTATTTTTTGTAGCTCTTTCATCTTTCATTACATTATGCAACATCATACTCTTATCTTCCATCTATCTGACCTTCAAATTTCTGGCCGTACGTATGCTTACCCCAGTAGATGCTAAGATCATTTAATGATAAGCATTCTACGATGAATCTAGGGATACACTTTGTACCTGAAATATGAGCACGGGCATTAAATGTATCTGTAGTTTTTGTGGTGTAAATCATAAGGACGTGAGGCTGCTGGTTTGTTAGATAATTTATTGGAGTCGTATAGCTGCTTCCTTTGTCGACTTTGCGCTTAATTGATGCATTAATTTGAAATGGTACTTTAAAATATGTAAGCTTTGCAACTTTTCCAGTTCTTACTGATTGATGCCCATCATGAATACCTGTCAGCTCCTGCCTACGCTGATGCTCGTTAAGTTTTTCAATTGCGGCTCATAGATACCATTTCTTGTATCTCTTTGGTGGGTCCTTGATTGCGAGTATGTTTTTGATTTTAGGGTAAAACTTTGGCTTTTGTGCTGCCCATCTTGGAGTCGCTGATAAATGGCCAGAACAAGGAATCGGGGAAAATGGGATATGGAAGAACACCAAGTGTCCTCGTACTCTTGCCTACAAGAGAACTAGCAAATCAGGTATACTAGGATGCGTGTGCTATGCGTACTTTGAATGCCCAGAATATGTTCTTCTCTTAATGCAACCTGCAACTTAATCTTATATTAGGTATATTCGGATTTCGAAGTTTATGGTCGGGCAATTGGATTATCTGCTTGCTGCTTGTATGGTGGATCCCCTTACCGTGCTCAGGAGATGGCTTTGAGACGAGGAGTAGACATAGTTGTTGGAACACCAGGCCGTGTTAAGGTAATGACAAATGACTCTGTTCCACTTCTTTAAGTCATTTAATATTGGTGCCCGTCTTGGTGTAAGTGAAAGCTTTTCGATTGATCCGTATTCATTTTGACATTCATCTTGTATAGGACCATATCGAGAGAAAGACTTTAGACCTGAAGGCACTAAAATTCCGTGTTCTTGATGAGGCTGATGAAATGCTGAACATGGGTTTCGTCGACGACGTTGAACTTATCCTCGGTACGTGGTTACCTTGGTAACTCAAGTAAAACAACTTGGAATTGTTTGAATGTGTTTCGAACAGTGCTGAAGATGTTGGAGTTTTCTGCTTACTTTTTCCTTTATTTTTCCCTTCATACTCTAGTATCACATTTTACCTACACTTCTATCGAAATGGATATTGTCTGCAATTCAGTGGAAGGCAAATAGAGTATTATATTTCTGTATTTTCATATCTGCATTGTACGGAATGTATCGAAAAACAAAGAATAGTGTTTGATTGTTATGATATCATTGAACAATGTATTGTATGTTTCATTGAAGTTAAGAACTAAGCAGTCACTAGAGCTGCCGAAACGGTGTTTCTTATGGGGCTAACCAGGCACGATAAAATCATGCCAGTCTCAGGATATATTTTGTTGATTCCTGGTGTTAAAAGAGCTACAAATTCTAAAGAAGTTTCCATTTTCTCTTATTCATAATGCCAATATTTTTGGGATAGATGCATTCTACTTGTGCTTTAGTCGTCATTTTTGGAATGTCAGCAGTGGATATTCACTGGCTTCATCCGGTTAAAGATTAAGTATTCACTGAGATTTTATTACTTATTGTCTAGCTCTAGACTGAACCTCGGTGGTGTATGTCATAACCTTTCATGATGGCTACGACAGATCATGTTGCCTAAATCATTGATGTTTTCATACTCTCCAAAATATAATCTCAAGAATTTTATTATCTGTCTTGGCTTTACAGGAAAGGTCGAGGATGTGAATAAAGTCCAGACGCTTCTCTTCAGCGCCACATTGCCTGAATGGGTGAAGAAGGTCAGCTGTTAAATCATCTTATCATGCATTTATTATTCATAAATGCCTTGTTTTCACCCTATGTTCTGATTCAAATTTGAAATTTATTTATCGTCGTCCAGATATCCACCAGGTTTTTGAAACCGACGAAAAGAACTGCAGATCTTGTTGGCAACGAGAAAATGAAAGCTAGCGCCAATGTTAGACATCTCGTTCTCCCCTGCACACGTGTCGCTCGGAACCAGCTCATCCCAGATGTTATTCGTTGTTATAGCCGGTTTGCTTATTTTCTTCCGACTATTATCATATATTTTTTGTCTTCTTTCTCACTGTCCCTGAATGATTCTGATATGGGGATTTTTTTTATTCAGGGGAGGTCGGACGATCATATTCACTGAGACGAAAGATTCAGCTTCTGAACTCGCTGGGGTGTTGCCTGGCGCACGAGCTTTGCATGGAGACGTCGTACAGGCTCAACGTGAGGTGAGAAGAGCGAGGATAATGAGCATACAATTGAAAATTTGAAACCTGGGTGCCAATATATGAGAGATAATTTGCCCTCTTTTTTTGTGGATCTCTCTCAGGTCATACTTGCTGCATTCAGATCAGGCAGTTTCTTGGTGCTGGTGGCGACGAATGTTGCTGCTCGTGGGCTGGACATTAATGACGTCCAATTGATCATCCAGGTTACTGTTTTCCCTTGGGAGAAACCTCTGTGCTCTCATATATTTCGTACTATTATACTCCATCAAATTGAATGATATCGAGTTTCTAAATACGACTTCATGACGTTTCTTATTTCAGTGTGAGCCTCCCAGAGATGTTGAAGCTTACATTCACCGATCAGGGCGCACTGGGAGAGCTGGTATGGTCTTATCATTGCATATTTAATCGACTCAACCATCATCTGGTCATACTTCCCCCGACTGATCGAATGTTCCCATTGCCAGGCAATTCGGGAGTTGCCATTCTGTTGTATGAACCAAGATACTCGCATAATATCTCGAGAATAGAGAGGGAATCTGGTGTCAAATTTGAGCGAATATCAGCTCCCCAACCAGCTGAAGTTGCAGAGACAGTTGGCTCTGAAGCAGCCGATGCTATCTCAAACATATCCGACAGGTACGGCCGGAGAAGATGACAACTATTTTGATCGCCTCTTTTTCTTCATTCGGTCTCTTATAAACAATTGGTTTTTTTCCGTATTATGGACTCTTTTATGTGGTTTTGTACATTCTTTCTGTATAAAAGAACAATTATTTGAGGAACAACCCAAATTACTTAGCTTTTTTTATGTCTACGGTCCAGTTGACCCCAGAGGGATAGAGATCCTGACCCATTTGGATCATGGATGGAGAGAATTTTTTATTTTCCACGAATGATGAATTTCTTGGTATGCAGTGTCATTCCCATCTTCCGATCACGTGCTGAGCAGCTCCTAAGCACTTCAGGTCTATCAGCAGTAGATATACTCGCAAAAGCTCTTGCCAAGGCCGCTGTAAGTTCTTGCCCATGTTCATGGAAGCAGTTGAATATTTTTATAATCTACTCATTTTCTTAAATGTTGTCTGATGGCTTTTGCAGGGATTCACTGATATAAGGAAGAGATCACTTTTATCTTCAAAAGATAATTACGTGACCTTGCTCCTTCGGATGGGAAAGCCCATGTTTTCACCATCGTAAGAACTGCAATACTACTCTACCCAATCCTTTGCAATTTAAGAATTCTTATGATATAATATAATATGAACCAGCCTATGTTTATTGTGCATGATGAATTTGTTCGGCTGGTTTAATATAAACGGTAATGTGTTTATCCTCTGTCTCTCGTATGTAATGTATGGGCTAGAGGTCAAAATGCTAATTTATTTTTGGTGGTTTACATTTCGTTCGATCAGGCCATTTTGGTCACCGTTTACTTAAAGTTGGGCTTTGTTTGAGTTTGCTGTCAGGTCAACCCCAGCTCTCCCAAGATCACACAGAAAGACTTGCCGATTTTATTGAGATCTTCCCGTTTTGTTTGGATGGTCAAACCCGTTTCACGTTTCTGGCTAATCTTTGTTCCTCCTTGATGCCGTCTCAGGTTCGCTTATAGCGCCTTGAGAAGGTTCATCCCTGATGAGAAGATGGCGGGTGTGAGGGACGTCTCTCTTACGGCTGACGGAATGGCTGCCGTCTTTGATGTACCTGATGAAGACGTGGAGTTGTTCATTGCTGGTACAATCCCTCCCCCTCTCTCTCTCTCTCTCTTTCTCTCTCTAGGGGGCTTCCTGTGATGTAAATGGATTCTTGATGTTGTTCTTGTCATGCAGGCCAGGAGAATGCGAGCATGGTGGAAATTGAGATACCGAAGGAGCTGCCTCCCTTGCAAGAGAAGGAGCAACCGAGGGGCGGCTTTGGGGGCAGGGGCCGATTCGGAGGCAATAGATTCTCTGGCGGCAAAGGCGGCGGCTTCGGTAGGAGGGGTGGAGGAGGCGGTGGCGGTAGCGGTGGCGGCAGATTCAATAGGAGGTAGTGCGTCAGCTTGTGGAGAGCAACAACACAAGCCACAGTTTTGAGGACATGGAAATCCGAGTATACTGTACCATCTAGTTTCTCCATCAGTAGGATTTCTCTTAGAACTCGACAACAAATCTTAAGCTTTGTGGGTTTTTCTACCATTTTCTCAATGTTATGTGCGTTCATCAATTCTGTTATTCCATATTTTATGTGAACAACAAGTTATACATTTAAGGCAAATATCCTCCTGATCATCACCTGTTCTTCCTGAAAACGAGAAAGAATTCTCTCCCGTGCGGAGGATGAATCTGATCTCTAATCGTTTTGAATCACTCGTCCTGTTAATGGGTCGCATCAGATCTCTCTCTCTCTCGGATACTGCATATAGTGGACGGGCCAGACGGGCCACCAGGACGTCGGGTATGGGGAGGCCGTCATCTTGTCCAACTTCTCCCATAGTGAGAAAGATTTAGTAGCAGAGGGGGGAATTCTGAGCGAGGGAGATGGCGTCCTCGGGCTGAATTTTATCGGCAGGAGGGAGGTTCGCTGTGATCGGTCTTGACCTAGCAGTCGGGTCCTCGCTGTGATGCAATCGCAGACCCCGTTCCTCGAAGACTGGCTGCGAAGCTGCAGCGGGGGCGGCGCCGGCGGCGAGCCACCGCCGGCGTCCCATACTTCCTCCACAGGCCGGAGCATCCTCCACGCATGGGCTATCCTCAGAGAGGTGGCCTCCGCCGCTCCGCCGCCGGAATCGGGCGAGCTCCACAGCCGCTGCCTCAGCGCCCTCCAGACCCTCGTCGACTCCCGGGCCTCTCTCCACGTTGCAGACCCCCAGGTGAAGCTCCTGCTCTCCATCCTCTCCTCCCCCTCTCCTCCTCCCCCGCCGCAGTCAATTCCGGCCATCTTCCGCCTCCTGTACATATGGGCTAGGAAGTCCACCAGGCCGTCCCCTTCCCTGCTCCAGTCCGCCGTCTCCATCCTCTCTCGCCTCGTCGTCTCCCTTCCAGGGGAGCCCTTCCCCGCTCATGCCGTCCTCCTGCTGGGGGCCCTATCGGCGTCCCCCGCCATCGCCGAAGAATCTCGGCGGTCCTGCCTGGAGCTCCTCTGCCGTCTCCTGCAAGAAGACCTGGCTATGGGCGGCGGACTAACCGAGGGGCTCGTTCCAGAGGTCCTCGCAGGGATCGGATATGCCCTCGGCGGGGCCGTCGCCGGGGACTACGCCGGCAGAATCACGGCTTCCTTGATGGGTATTTGGTCTGTGGCTGGCGGGCCTCGCGCTAGCCTCCTCCATGGTCTCATGATCTTGAGCTTGCTTGAATGGGTGGTCGCCGGTTTTATCACTTCGAGCTCGATGGGCAAGATCGAATCCCTCTGTGGATTCTTCGCCGAGAATCTGGATCCCGGCAAGTTCCCTGGGTTTGCTGTTATCATGGCCTCCGCCGGTATCCTGAGGGCTTTCCGTCGGGCCTCGCCCAACAGCAAGCTCAAGCTAACTCCTCCATTGAAGAATTCGATCGAAGGCTCCATTGCCGCCGTCGCCGATCATCTGATCTCCAGAACGGCCGATGAATCCATCTCGGGCGACGACCCTGAAGGCCATCTTCTTCTCCAGTGCACCGCCATTGGCCTAGCTCGATGCGGCCCATTCAGCTTCCATGCTTCTGTGCTTAAATGCGTCTGCTCGGCCCTTCTCAGCGAGGTCTTCCCTCTGCTCTTCTTCTTCGGAAGGATCCTGCAGAGGAGAAACACAGACGCCACCGAGCTCACTCTCGACCAGGTGAAAGCTCATGTGGGCGGCGTCCTCTTCAAGGAGGCCGGCGCCGTCTCCGGGGTACTTTGCAATATGTACTCCGCCGCCGACGAGGCAACTCAGAAGGCGGTGGAAGACCAAATCTGGAGCTACTGTGAAGAGTTCTACAGGAGTCACCGCTCGGTCTCATTCCAACTTCGAGGTGGGGAACTGGGCAGCGCTCTGGATGAGATCGCCGAAGCTTTCTTCCTCATGGTGGTGCTCTTCTCCGCGGAAGCAACGAAGAAGAAGTTGACTTCAAAGCTCCCCCACGGGGTCCACTCAGAATTTTCTGTCAGGGTCTTAGTTTCCTTTTCCTGCATCGAGTATCTGCGGCGAATTCGCCTGTCGGAGTACACAGACGCCGTCCGGGGGGCTGTTCTTGCCGTCCAGGAAGATCCCGCGGCCTGCACCTCATTCATCGCCTCAATGCCCCCCTACTCCGAGTTGACCAACCTGCCAGGTGCGCCATCGATTCTTCTTGACGTGGGTTCTCTCAATGATCAGCATCTCATTCGGATTGACAGCTTAAAAAATGGTGTTCTAAAGGGTCTGACCTCCCCGCGGGGGTGAGATACAACTGGGCAGAAGATGAGGTTCAGACTGCCCGAGTGCTGTTCTATCTCCGGGTCATCCCCACCTGCATCAGCCGCATTCCGGGGGATATATTTGTGAAGACAGTCGCGCCGACCATGTTCTTGTATCCTCGCCGACGTGGAACGAAAATATATCTGATTTCTTAATTTTCTCCCTTTTTTCTCACATATTTCTCCCCTGGGTGGGGTTGACCCTTAGCTTGAGCCGCAGATACATGCACCACAATCTGGAGAAGGTGGCCCGGTCCTCGCACTCTGTCTTTTCGGCATTTGTCACTTCTGGAATAGATTCTGATGAGGATGATGATCTGGGTTTGAAGGAGAAGCTTGTTTTCTACTACATGCAAAGGTCTTTAGAGGTACACTCGACCGCAACCCTTAAAGCTTAAACCCTAATTTTTATTTTTATTTATTTTTCTTTTCTGACTCTATATGAAGGCTTATCCTGAGAGAACACCGTTTGAGGGGATGGCTTCTGGGGTAGTAGCTCTGGTTAGGCATCTTCCTGCCGGTAGCCCAGCCATATTCCACTGCATCAGCACTCTCATGGAGAAAGCATCCAGTCTCTGCGGCAGGGCCATGGCCGAAGAAGAGGATCTTTGGAAGAACTGGCAAGGAGATTCAGAACCCTGCAAGAAGGTATTGGATTTGCTTCTGCGACTAGTCACCATTGTTGATATTCAGGTATGATTATCTTATGAGTTTGGGTATTCATCTAGTCAATTTCTTCTCATATGTAATTGGAAAGTAACCAGAATTGGATAGAGCAAGCCAAAATACCCAAAGAAGGGACTGAGAGCATGAAGAAAACATTGCATTATTCAATAATATTAGTTTCTTGGGGGAAGAACCTATATATATATATATATATATATATATATATATATATAGTCCTTGAAGTGCTGAATCTGTTCAATTGTTCCTCTCTGGTTTTTCTTTCCCTCTAGGGTTTGAGAGCTTTCTTAATTCCTCTTGAACAGGTGCTGCCGTACCTGCTGAAACAGTTGGCTTGGTTCGTCGGCCGGCTCCCGGCGGAGGGCCGGAACACCATACTCGGCGAGCTTCACGCCCTCGTTGCGGAGTCGGACGACGTGACAAGAAAGCCGACGCTGGTCTCATGGGTGCAGTCCCTCTCCTACATTTCCTCTCAGACGGAGGCTGCCACCCTCAGACAAGCTTCCGGAGCTTTAAAGAACGGGCTATTTGATGCCCATTCCAGGCTCTGAAAGAAGGAAGCTTTTGTCCGGCAAATTCGTGGGGCAAGACCGAAACCCTAATGCGTCCTCTCTCTCTCTCTCTCTCTCTCTGAGTAGAGTGGCCACTCGTCTCTGAGTATGGGTACGATAAACATGGACAATTGAGATATAGTTACCCTAATTCGTTTCTGATTTTATCCCCTCAGTACCATGGAATTGCTCATCTTTTGATGGAATTTGGCTCAGATGCACTCTAGGGTTTTGGGCACAGGGTGGGGGTTTGTCAGCAATATACATGTTTTCCAATATCTTAGTCACGAAGAAGGCATGGAATGATGATATTTTCGATAAGATACAGAGATATTATGTACAAGATTGGGATAACTTGCCAAACCAGAGATCTGAGCTTCTTTCAAATAGGAACTAATCAATAAAAAGGAAAAAAGTGGTATGGCCTCACAGATTTCTTGAGCTGGTACAGAGGCTGGTTCATGTCCTGCATCAAAGTCTGTGCATGAAATGGATCAACTCCAGGCTCAGTGATTGCCCTAATTGGAGCCAAAATCCTTGTTCCATTTCTCGAGTTCTTCCCACTTGCTCTTCTGGTAACTCGGTCTGATGACGGCCATTGCTTTCTCAAAATCCTGATATTTCAATGCTCTCACCTGTCATCAGGAAATACCATATTTATTAGCCCGTTGTGCCCCATTAAACTACTTAAAAAGTAAATTTCTTCAGTCAACGCCGCCGATTAACAGACAAAGAGAATGACCAAAGGATAAACCCAGCAGAGGGGAAGGTAATGTCGACGAACACTTTCATTTCCCAAAGTTGACAGGGCTATCTATAGAATGGCGCCTAATATGGTCAGATATCATGATAACTCGATCCAGATCAACTGTAAAGTAATGTTCTGCGGTAGTGCAGGATGAATACTGCTAACTAATTTGTCTGGCGACGCAAGAAAAATAGGATATCGTGTTGCGCAGTTATCAGCTGATGGGTAACTATATCGCTACCGATTAAACCTATATTTATCTTCCTCTAGGGCAGCCACAAGCCTGAATGAGTTGTTGCACAGCAGCTGAGTCCGGGGAACTTTGGTTTTACTAAGGCATTATTACCAAAAGTTACATGTTTGCAAAGAGTGGACAGTCTAAAAGGTTGTCGATCATATATAAGCGATCATCAATCAATCATCTAAACGCGAGGCTTATCTTCATTTCTCCCTCACAAAATACCTATAAAAAGACAGATGATGTAATGGCGAACCTGATTGGCTTTAACGGTGAGAATTTGTTGGCCAAGCTCCCTCAGAGGCATCATTGCAGCTTCTTCACACAAGGCTTGTAAATCACTTCCAGAATACCCTAACAGATGAGAGAGGGAAGGGGGTGCTCAGATGTCAGACACAATGAGTATGTAAGGCATAAGAAATCATTTTTTATCACGTATATTACCCTCTGTTTCCCTTACAAGTCTTTGCAAATCGTTACCTGCACAGAAGCAGACAACATGTTACACCATTAGAATACACTACAAGAAAGAATGGGCCGAGCCCATTTTTTACAAATATTTCTAGCTTTCTAAGAGGTAATTGAAAGCGCCGATATCTACATGGTTTATAAAGTAGAAAGTTTGAAACAGTAGAACAATAAACCTTTAAGCATGTGTTCTCATAAAAGGCGTACCAGGTAATGAGAAATCTCGACCTTTGAGTTGGTTTTTGAGAAGAACCGTCCTTACTTTTTCATCAGGAAAAGGTACATATATTCTTTTGACCTAAAAATATTTCACCTGATTTAGAATAATATAGAAGCCAAACAGCATTTTCATTTTCCATTGAAAACAAAAGTTCGGCAAAAAATTTATGATAAAGAGCATAATTTAGAATTATAGAAGACATTTACAAAAGAAAATGAACAAATCAATACCAAGTTTTCTCTGGAGCTTAGAAACGGATAGATCAAATCAAATTAAAAATGATGTATTCTTATTTTTCTGTGGCCTGGCTCTGTTGCTCGATGCGGCATTTTTATCGAACTTTCACGTATAGTGTAGGCGAACTGTAAACTATAGTTCCAAAAGATAGGCATAGCATAGAAATATGCAGATATATGCAGCAAATGCTCACCAGTCTCCGTATAACAGCATCATCCAGTTCTTGAGGCTTATTAGTTGCACCTGTATGGATGTACCTATCTGTCAGCGAATAAACAAATTTTACGAATTTAAAGATAATTGTCATCGAATCAGCTCCCGAATGTCAGCGACCTCAATGCTAAAAAGGCAAGTAATAAGGAAGTGGGCGATTAAGATTGTAGGTGTCATATAAACTGCCGGCTCACCCAAACGAATCTATAACATTAAGTTGCCTGATGAAATAGTTCAAAAACCGAAACCCTCCAAAGAGACCCAAAAGATGTCTTCCCAACAGTAGCAAGATTTCAAATTCAAACAGTAACAGATTAATGATATTCCAGTATATATTAGACTGATACCTTAAATAATTAAGTTATGAAAGTCCCACAATTAAGCAGTTGAGAGAATTAGAAACCAGATACCATCAGACTACTATCTACATGATCACCTCTTTAAAAAGCCCCAAAGAATGCATGATTCAAAGCATAGGTGAAAATATTTATTTGGGGTTCCCCAGTATGACTCAAGTCCGTTAAGTGACTGTTCAGGCGTTTAAATGCTTAAACATTTGAAACACGACTAGGAATTCGATACAAAGTGGCGTTCCAACTACCTGTTTCTTTCACTATACTGTTTAGCCTGCTTTCCACTATATTTCGCTTCATCGCTGTTCCCTACTGAAGTTTGATCTGTAGGAAATGCAGGATTTAATTTATTACATCTTCCTTATTCCCTGTTATATCTGGTCAACAAAGTGATTCACGATGGGTCTGCTCTAAGCACATTCTACGCATTTACTTGTCACTTTAATCATGTCACTTAGTCCAGAGCTTCCTTGGTCGGGCACATTTATGTAAATTTAACGATATGCCGTTCACTCTCTGTTTTCTATGCTCATCACTAATAAGTTTTTAGATGATTAGTCATGGTTTGTGTCATATCAAAAGGAGTTCAGTATAAACTATGATTCTCTATAGAAAACTATTGCTGGTTAAACTTAACAAAACATCACAGTTATGTAACATCATAAAGCAACATCGATTTTAATGTCACCAAAGAAAATTACCAATGACAATTACTAGATCATTAGGATTTGAAGCAACTCCATCGAACTGGACAAGAAACTCTGATTTCAGTCTTCTGCTCGAATCATTTTCGCTAGCTAACCTTGTGGACATTATGCTATCAATCTGTTGAAATGATAAAATGAAAAATAAAAAAATAATATGTATGCATGAGTAACATAAAAAAATCAAGATTTTTTTTCATAATTTAAATTGAAGCAGTGCCAATGACACAAACAATACAAGGTTTAAAAGTCGAGAAACATCTCTTCTACTCTTCATATCATAAAAAAAAAAAGAAACTACCTTGGTAAAGGAAACCGACAAACTAAGAAACTGTTCTCAACTAGGAAATAGACCAACAAAAACTAACTACTAATTACACGTTTTCCCCACAGTCAACGAGAAATAACTCGAAGATCAAAGTTATTTCTCCTGAAATACGATAAACACTGCATATATCAGATTTAACACAGCAGAACATTTCTCCGTTTCCATGTTTTGAACTGAATGAATGGATTAGTACTAGATATTAGACGATCCCTGGCACAGCCAGAGAAAAGAAATGAAAGCTACATCTTTTTGAGACTCTGAGGATAGCCCATCTTAGTGCTGGATGTTTCAAGGATATAAAGTGAAATATTTATTTCTAAACGTTAAGCCAGATTATATTTTACAGCAGGGTCGGGCTGAAAAAAGTGAGCTGCAATCGTTTTTTTTTTTTTTTCAGTTTTTTAAGAAACTAGATAACTTGAATCTGCTTTAGGAAGAAATGCTCTAGATAACTTGAGAAGTGCTGGCATCTCTTGTGCTGAAATGAGTCCCACAGCGACAACACGCACCTCTCCACCAAAATAAAATAAAATTACATCCTACCTACCATTCCCAGAGTCAACCAGGATTTTCTAATTATTTTCCATTGTATCACTCCTTTACCAAGAAACAAGACAGCGTGTATTCATTAACATCCCTTCCTTTTTTTCTTTTTTTTCTTACCTGGCATTACAAAGGCAATGGTACTCTGTAATCCCATTCCCTTTTGACCCTCCTTTTTACGCATGATCTCTCAATCATACACCCAATTACCTGTGCAATTTTTTTGTTTAACTCTGTAATTTTGTTTAACCCATCTCTTTCCCAGCTATAGGCTACCAATGATTGGTGAAGGCAAATCAAATCTAAATTGGCCTTGGATAGGGAAAGTCAGCAAATTCTGGGGAAGGTTTCCGCAGATAAACGGATATTTTACATTTTTTATTTTAAACGCCGTCTCAAGGATTGAATTTCCCCCATGGAAAGAAGATATGGAACGAAGAAGTCAACCCTAATTAGATGACCCAAATCACTAGGCCATTCCTGTAACCATACCTCAGAAAAAAGTCAAGGAAAAAAATTCATAACTGAATAGATGAAAATATAACTCGTTTGACAATACCATCGAATATATTATAAAAATAAAAAAAGAAACTGTGTAGTTCCTTGGCATGCCGCCTCTATCTTAGGTGCACCAAAAAGGGGAACGAAAACCACAATTAGACAAGCCAAATTGTGAAAACTGGGAACCAAATTTAGGCTCAATTGATATTTGCCAGAACTGCAATGAAATGAGAATAGAAGCTAATAGAATAGCATATCTAAGGTATTTGTTAGAGCATCGGAATTTTTATGCCTTCAATCAAATATGAAATGAAGCATTATACTTTTGCAAATCCAACCAGGATATGAACCGAAGAAAACTATTAAAAAACTGGAGGCGCTTCTAAAATGGATGGTGCTTCATGATCGGGCAATGTCATGTGGCTCGAAATAAACTGTATTAAAAGTGAACAGGACACAACAAGCCTAGAAATCGGCATAGAAAAGTGGGAACCTCATCCATGAAAATTACAGATGGTTGTCTAGAAACAGCAATCATGAAAAGTGTCTTAACAAGCTTTTCGGCTTCTCCCACCTGCACCAGATAGTACAACATGCTGGGTTGTTTGATCAAGATAAACAAGAAAGAAGAAGAGCACACACTTTCAAAGTCACATGCTTGGAATTTTGAGACCTACCCATTTTGATGTCAAGGAAGAGGCAGAAACATTAAAGAATGTTGCCTCTGACTCTGATGCAACGGCCTTTGCAAGCATCGTCTTCCCATTACCAGGAGGCCCGAATAAAAGCAACCCTGAACTTAAGACAAAATTTTAGGGCAGAAGTTAAGATGAGCTTGATCCGCAAGAAAATAATCCAGAAAGACACTAGGCATCTAAACAGTCACCTCTAGCAGGGCGTCTGAGACCTCTGAATAGATCTCTTCTCTTAGTAGGTAGGATAACCATTTCCAAAAGAGATTGCTTCGCTTTCTCAAGGCCAGCTACATAAGGACAAATCCAAAAAAGTTCATGCAACAGTTCCTTAGACATAACACGATGACGAGATCATTTTTCTTACCAACATCATCCCATCTAACAGCAGGGCTTCTATCTACAATGGAAGTATTTATTATTTCAACCAATTTGGCATCATAATTTTTTAAATCTTCTTGACTAGATTTCGAGTTTCCAGCTGAAATTAACTGCTTTTGTGGTGTCGAACTGCTTCTTGCAGAAAGGGAACTCTCTGACACAACTTTTCGAGAATCAGAAGCTTTTGGAGACGTGATTCGGGTCCGAGGGGAAGCTGAATCAATCTGCAGAAGACATGCATAAGCCGATCCAGAAGGGTAACAACATAAATTACCGTAATTATTTCATGAGTAAAAGTTTAATAAGCTAAAAGTTACCACACGATCGAATGATGAAAGTAAAGGGCATGTGTTAGAATTAGTGAAAAAACATATCCATATCGAAGGCCCTATCTGTTGATCTAACTGCATCATCTGTACCAAGAATATACCAATAGATATACTTACATACAGAAATTACAAGTGAATAACAGCAGATATAAGTGTCAAGTTAACTTAGAATTGAGGACTTTGAAACCACGTAGATGAACTTGAAAGTATCATAGAACTAATTATCCGATTCAAATTGCCAAGATGTTAATGACAACATAGTTCACCACGAAGTGAAACACAAATGAAAGTTTTCATGGTAGCCTTTCATATTAAAAAAAAAGGCCTAACCAATAATGATGTCATATGCCCTAGGAAGTAGGAAACATACCTACTGTCGAACTGTCATTTGTCCTCCCAAAATCTCAGCTATATTCCATATCCAACTTAAGGTTTAATAAAGCTCTCAATCAAATCAGCGATAATGGTCGTTCATCTTTATTACAGGGATAACAAAGGCCGGAGAGAAGATTTGAAACACCATCTGCCACGATTCTTTTCATATTTGCTTTCACAATTTCCACCATGTACCTTTTTCATTAACCAAGCACCACATCCTCTTCCTTAAAAATACCTTATTAAGGACATCTGTTAAAAATGACACCTGGCTATTATTGATAGCTTTGCTCGCCAAACGAGTCAATCTTTCTGAAATCACCTTGAAAACTATTAGGTAGGCACTATAATTTCTGACATCCTCCATATTCTTCTGCATAAATGCAGCGATGAGGAATTCTTGGGTTGATGGTAGATCTAGTATCTTCAAAATCCGCCGCACAAGACACCAGACCATTCGATGCAGAGAAAATCCATTGAAACCTATAGAGTTTTGATATCTATCATAACCACGACTAATGATGATCCGGCAGTAATGTAAGCAGCTAAATTAGATGGTTCAGGGCATGGGAGGATGATTTAGGCTGAAGGAGTCCAACTTCAGAAAAGCAAAATACGAATTCGACCAATAAGAACAAGTCCAATTCATGCAAGGTGCGTGATTCAACCCATAATTTGCGCTACATGCAAGTTGCGTGGGAATCCAGAGGTCAGAAAAGGCAATGGCGGAAAGCACTGGCGAGGAACAAAAAGAGGGAAGATGAAAAAGGGTGAGAAAAAGGAGTAGCAACAGGAAAGCAAGAAGCATGTAGCGCATGCCAGTAACTTCAATAGAGGCAATAAAAATAGGGTTTTGTTTTATGAGCCAGCTCAAGTTGAATGGAATGAACGTATACCTTGGTGGAATGTATCAGGACAAAATATTGATAAAACCTTGATGAATGAAAACGACTATAGATTTCTCTATCAGTTCCAGTTCAAACTAGCACATCCGGGCACAGAGAGTAGATTGAGTTGCACCTGAATTTTTTTCTCTCTTTTACTTTTATAACGTAATGGAATTTTTCTACGTTCCAGTACAGCACCATACCAAGCTTACTAAATCAATGGCGCTTATACACTACAGAAAAGGCATCAAAGTACAGCACAGACAGTAAGTATCGTTGAGAAAATGATCAGATCTTGAAACGATAGTTTGTACAGTCGAGAAGTATATCATAGGCCATAAAAAAATCCGCTTCATATTTAAGGAAAATCTTCATGTTTTAAAGAAAAAAAAAAGGTATATAAGAAATATACAATAACCACAACTCCAGTGATCAAGAGAAATTCGAAACATGAGTTATCAACGACAGGAAACTGAAGCTTTGGCATCAAAATACTACAAGTGAAATAAAATCTAAACACAGAAATAATGCAAATACACCAATAACTTTTTTGAATAAGGGATACCTTCTTCAATGATGTCCCAACTGACAAAAAAAAAAACATACATATATCAGTTTCGTTTGACAATGCATCAATCCACAATAAACTTAATACTGTTCATCCATGCACCTCGTTGATCCAACACTTGTAATCTGTCGGATACTTGTCCTAACCATTTTGATATCTTTTGATGGTAAGATTTCACTTTCTCCTGCTCACTGTTAAAAACAGATTGAAGATGACATTAAATTTTTGAAGGTTCAGTTTTACAGACTATACAATACCTAGCAAACTGCTATTTCAAAGAACCTAATTGTATCCAAAATTGTAATCCTTCTGGACAAGCCATTTCCTCATCCCTTATTTCCTTCTAGAGAAATATGTATGAATGGGACGAAATTATTTCCAAAAAGTTGGAAAATTTATTCAAAAAAATGTGAGGCATACTTTAAAAAGTTGATGATACGATACCGGGCCCAATTGCCATATTTTTACGGGATGAAACCTGACGCCTGCCACTATGTTAACGAAAATAGTATGTCGTGCATACAAAAATAATATAAAATTTCCGAAAAATTAACAATAAAAATTTCGAGTGACATGTAATACAGAATATTTATACACAACTGCATTAGAGATAGTCTCAATGTATTATGGATCGTGGCACTTGAAGAAAATTCAAATTACTCCGGAATTAAAATCCTAGTGAAAACTGTAATAGAGAGATGATTGAAATTTCTGCTGATACATAGGCTTAATCCAACAAGAAAAAAGAATCACGATGGAAATTCTGAAATCCTGTCCCGCGCACGACCGGTAGATTACCTAGAGGGAATTGCATAAGGAACTCTGGTAGACTTGGCCTCAATCAGGATGCGGTTGGCATTCTTGTAGTACGCGATGGCATCTTCAGCCAGTCCCCACTCCTCGGCCCGCACAGCCTTGTCGATTTCCTCCTTAGCGAGCTCGAAGTACCCCTTCAGTTTCTGCACAGCCCTCTCACTCACCACTGCCGAGGGTCCCCGTTCGACGACATCCATGGCCGGTTCCTCCGAATTGCGGGATGACTCCCCCGACGACGGCCGACCGTCGTCGGTACCGGACAAGAGAGAGCCGAACGAATCAAAGAACGATCTGAGGTAACTCATTCCACCATGAAATCGGAGTCGTTAAGAGGGATTTCACGGCCTCATCGATCAGAAATGGGCACTTTCGCCGGCGAGTGATCACGGTGGAGCGCCAGGACGCCGCCGTTCGGACGCATCTCGCCGGAGGTCTTCCGCCTCACTATGTACAGCATCGCCAAGCCGTACTCGCCGAGAAGACCGCCTGACAAAGAGAGGAGGATCACACAGAAGAAAACCCCCCGGTGGGTTGAAAATTACAACTTCACCACCGCCGTCCTTGAGTACGACTCCCCATGACGACGACGGAAAATGTTATTAATAATCTCTTTTTCAGATAAACTGTTTTTGTTTTTTTTACTTGGCTCTCTTATCTCCCCAAATATCATATTAATTAATTTTTTCCTTTTCATAAAATATTATTTCATTTTAAAAATAGACATGCCTACTCAAATAATTTTTAAAATATTTTTTTATGAATATTAATCTTAATTGCGTATCAAGTTAATTATAATAATTACGTGAATAAATCCCCAGCTGACGTAGCACAGGCTATAAAAAAATAGAAACCATGTATGAAACCATGCTTTTGAGTCATCAAGATTAATGTAGCAAAAGTTGTTGTAATAATAATAGTTAGCACCTATTGAGGCAGATGTGCCTATTTTATTATACCTTCTGGTCAAAGCAGAAGGGTTGCACGGAGGAGACCATCATGGCCGCAGGGGAAAGGTAGGAAGAATCGCTGGCAGTTCTCACCGATGGAGCACTACAGGGGGAAAGACGACGAGTGGCCGACTCAGGCCGCAACGGGCGGTGCCGCCTGAAGATGGCATGGCGTCCTCTAGCGGCGAGGGGGTTAGGAGGGGTGGGAATGGGTGGCGACGTACTCCCCCCACCGGCCGCTCCAAAAGGGGTCGTAATGGAGGCCCACGGCGGAGAGCAGCGGCGGGCCGCGGGACCCCACGATGCGTATCCTCACCCGCCGCGCGCGCACGGGCTGCGCCAGCCTGTGCAGCCGCTTGTGCCCGACGGTGGTGCCATCCGGCACGATCACCCTGCCGTCGGCGAGGACCTCGTGTCGGGTGATCCTCTGCCCCATCCCGATGGGCTCCTGGATCCTCACCACGTTGAAGGCGACTGAATCGTTCATCTCTCCGAGCTGGATCCAGTGGATGACCTCCTCGTCATCCCCTCCCCTGCCGTCCTCCGCCGCCCAGTACGTGCCGTCGTCGCCGTCGAGGACGTTCCTCGCCGCGAAGAGCCCGTCCTTGCCGCCCCTCTGGCTGCTGGCCTTCGCCGCCGCGGCCTTGGCCAGGTCGGAGGTGAAGATGGCGTCGACGGCGCCGCGGAATTCCCGCAGCCTCCTCACGTCGGCGTCCGCCACCAACCCCGTCGTATTCGGCGGCACGTTGAGAAGGAGCACGCAGTTCCTCCCCACAGACTTGTAGTACACGTCCAGGAGCTGGTTCAGCTCCTTCGGTCGCTCGTCTTCGTGCCAGAACCAGCCGTCGCGGATGGAAACGTCGCATTCCGGGGGAACCCACTCCGTCCCCGCCGAGTCTCCGCCGTTCAGGTACCTGAAAGCAGTTGAATGAGACGTCCGGAGGAGTATCAGGAAGTCAAACAGAGGAGGCTCTACGGATCGATGCTTACGCTTCGAGGTTAGCGTCCCCGATTCTCAGTCTGGTGCGGTTGATCGGAGACCAGCAGGTGCTTCCGGCGTAGCCCGCCTCGTCTCCGACCCACCTGATGTCGGGCCCGGCATCAGAGAATATGTTGATGGAGGGTTGGAGTTGCTTCGTCATGGCGAACCAGTCCTCGAAGTAGTACATCATTTTCTTCCCCTTCTTCCCTTTCGCTCCGTCGAACCATATCTCCGCCACTCTCCCGTACCTGCAGTGCAAGAATCAACATAGATCGATAGATAGATAGATAGATAGAGAGAGAGAGAGAGAGAGAGAGAGAGAGAGAGAGAGATGTTCTTCGTCAACCTGGAGAGCAGCTCCTGGAGTTGGGCCAAGTAGAACTCGTTGTACTCTCGATTAAGGCCGTAGCGTCTGTCGTGGAGGTCCCAAGGGGAGAGATACAGACCCACATCGACGCCTCGGGCGGCTGCGGCGGCGGCGAGATCGCCGACGACGTCGCCCTCACCAGCCCGCCAGGGGCTCCGGGCGACGGAGTGATTGGTGTGCCGGGATGGCCAGAGGCAGAAGCCATCGTGATGTTTAGCCACGAGGATGACGAGGGAGACGCCGGCGCCCACGGCTGCGTCGACCCACTGGCTCGCGTTGAGCGCCGCCGGGGCGAAGCGGCGGGGACTCTCCCGCCCCGTCCCCCACTCCGAGTTGGTGAACGTGTTCATCCCGAAGTGGAAGAACATGATGACCTCCCTCCGCTGCCATTTCAGCTGCGCCGCCGTGGGCAAGGGGAGAACCGGCAGCGGCGGCGTCGTCGGCTTGGCCATGCCCGGCCGCAGGAGGAGCTCCACGAGGATAAGAACCCAAAACCAGGAGGCGCCCGCCATCTCCTCCTCCCTCTGGTATCTTCTCCTCTCCAGCAACATTTATCTGAAGTGACGACGCGCGGCCCCGGATGACGCCGGCCTGGAACCGGAGGGATAAAACTGCCATGGTTGGAAGAACAGAGTTCACGGGCTGCTTCGGGCCTCCCCGCTAGTGACAACAAAAGGCGACGCTTTTGGCGTTCGCTTTCACCAGCGACGGCGGCAGCTCAGGCAGGGCCCTGCCTGGTCGTCCGCCTGCCGTGTGGAGGAGGGTCTTAAGGAAGAAGACAGAAGGAGATCAAGAACAAGCACAGAACCAGTCCTGCAGGTCCTCTGTTCTTCCTGCCTGCGCCCATTCTCCTTATGGGTCATCAGATAGAAGATATCCCACGACTTTCTCTTATCAGCCACATGATCGGACTCCATAGCAGAATTTCATGAAGCAATTAATAGGACCCACATCGGCAAAGTTCTGGAATAATTATCGTATCCAATTTATGAGGACCAATCATGTGCGTTACTTACTATAAACTGCCAATCGGAGCATAATTTCCATAAATGTCATGAGCCGTCAATTATAGCATATTCGTATATGGGAATTTAATAGACCTGTAATTGTTTATGGGGGTAATTTTACAGCATACACAGTCCATCGTCGATACCAATGTGAGGTTGATGTCTTGATAGGAGAGGTAAGTTTTGCAAATATTAAAGATAGATTATTGACCCAGCAATCAGCGGGATCGCCGCCGGCCCAGTGACGGGAGGCGGCGAAGTCGAGGTCACCGGCGACTACCTAATGGGCCGCCGATAAATATTCCGAGCTGCTATCGGATAGGCCATTGCAGCGGGCTCATCAAGTGGAGGCCCATTTTCTTCGGGCCCGTTAAAATCCTCCCTGGAATACTGGTCCCCTGCGCGCAACCATGAAAACGAGCGAAGGTTGACCAGCGGCTCGGAAGCAGACCAGGCCGTCCCAGGCGCCGGCTTCTCGACTCCCCTCCCTTCCATGGACTCCCTGACCTTCGGCGCCTCCTCCCACCCGCCGGCGCCGGCGTACATGTGCGACAGTAGCACATAATCGCCGCTGTGGTCGGGGTCCCAATCGAGGAGGTGCCAGCGGATGCGCTCGCCGGGCTTGAGATCCCCGTGGACTCGGCACGCGGCGAGCAGGGTCCTCCACACCACCGCGTTGGGCTCTATGGGCATGGCGACTACCAGCTTGTACGCCTCCCGCATCAGCCCGGCCCGCGCGAGCAGGTCGGCCATGCAGCCGTAATGCTGGATGGTGGGGGCGATGCGGTGGTGGTTGGTCATGCTGTCGAAGAGCCTCCTCCCCTGCTCCACCAGGCCCGCGCGGCTACAGGCGCAGAGCACACCGAGGAAGGTGACGGCGTTGGGCTCCGCGCATGCCCGCGGGTGCTGCATGGCGGCGAAGAGGTCCAGCGCCTCCGCCGCGGAGCCGTGCGCGGCGAGCCCCAGGATCATGGAGTTCCAGGAGACGACGTTCTTCTCCGCCATTCCCGCGAACAGCTCGCGTGCGCAACTGATCTCGCCACACTTGGCGTACATGTCGATCAGAGAGTTGCAGATCGCGATGAGCCGCTCGAGCCCAGAGCCGTCGATGAGCGAGTGCACCCACCTTCCGAAGTCCAGAGCGCCGAGCTCAGAGCACGCCGAGAGGACGACCACCAGGGTTGCCTCGTCGGGGGGGAACCCGCATCTCTGCATCTCCAGGAGCACGCCTAGAGTTACCTTCGGCTCCCCCGAGTGGACGTAGCCGCCGATGATGGTATTCTAGGCGACCAGATTCTTGTCGAGCATTTCCTCGAGTAGGGAGCGGGCGACACTCACTTCCCTGGACATGGCGTACATGTGGATGAGGGTGTTCCTGACATGTGGGTGGGAGTCCAAGCCCTCCTTCACCGCGCAGCCATGGACCTGCTTGCCCAGCCCGGCGGACTCCGTCTGCGCGCACGTCTTGAGCAGGAATGAGAAGGTGAAGTTGTCGGCGGCCTTCCCATCCTCCCGCATGCGCCGGTAGCAGAGAAAAGCCTCCCGGAGGTTCCCCGTTCTTCCCAATCCCCTGATAATGGTGTTCCAGAGGAAGCCGTCGGGGCGCTCCATGCGTTCGAACACCTCCGCCGCGTAGGCAATAGATCCCACTTCGGAGACGGAGCAGAAGGAGATGATCCTGCCCACTACGAAGACGTGCTGGTCGAGGCCCGCCCGGATGATCTGCGCGTGTATCTGTTTCAGATCGGCCATAGAGGAGCAGGACCTGAAGAGCGAGATCAGGTTCTGCTCTCTCGAGTTGCTGTCTTCAGGGGAGTTGGAGGAGGAAGGGTCCCCTGTTCCCGGCGGCGGAGGGGAGGCGAGGCCAGTCGGCTGCGCGCTGCGGCTACGCATCCGCTCAGGATCGCCGTCCGATTCATCACAGGACCGGGACACAGCCAGTCCAGACTGTCTGCTCATCGCGGGTTCTCACAACGCTCAAGACAATCGAATGTAGCCTATCTCTGCCTTTCTATCTCTCTCTCTCTAGACGGCACGACGGGAGAACGAATAAGCTCATGTGCACGACGAAGAAGCTGACGTATTGGTTGCCAGTCGGTGGCTCTTCTTGCTTTTCTAGCCATCGCTGACTACCACCATGAGTCTCCCGGGGGAGCAACGATAGACGAGCGAAGTCCCGGAGTTGCTGTTCCTCTACTTATCGAGGATTAACAGGCTGGCTAGACAGCGGCGTAAACGGTGGAGATGGCGGCAGCACCCCGGAGGTGAATGGGCATGAGGACCACCATGGGCATTCCATTCTCATTGGAGGATGTGAATCAATGAAACTATCGACTTTAATCGTCTCCGCATTAAAGTTGAAGCTTTTTAATGTGGGCAGGAGTCGCAACTCTGGGCTCCGTCCTTATCCTCCTCACTGCCCTCCCTATTCCTAAACGGGAACATTTACTGAGGGTGTTGGTAGCATCATGCGACTTGACGTTGACGCGCCCCGTGAGGGGATTGCATGCAGAATCCGAGGGCAGTGCACGATCTTTGTGGGTTTATCCGCAAAGAGTTTCCCTCGGCGTGGCCGCGCCGACGTGACGGGGACAAGGCACGCTCAGAGATCGCTGTCGAAGTCCGATCGTTGTCACATTGATGTCCGCCGGACGTTGCCCGAGTTGACCCGAAGACCACTGTAGAGACCGATCTACGTCGAGGAGACCGGCGGCGCTCGCTCGCAGGGGGCACGCGGGCAATTGGAGGATCCGGGCACGGTGGCCCTGCCGAGCTCGGAGGTTCTCCCCGGCGGCGACGGTGATCAATGCTCTGGAAAACGCAGCGTCCTACAGAGGACGGTGGGTGGGCCGCTGGCGTGCACTCAGTTCTCTCACGGCTACATTGATTGAGGGGCAACTACCACCTTTACTGCGCGCGAAGGTCGCCGACCGGCACCGCCGCCGCCTCAAGAGCGACTTCAATTTTCACAGCGGACTCCGCAGTACTAAGTGCTCCCACCGCCGCGCCGCTCCCGCCCCCTCCTCCTAGCCGTTCTCCTTCTTAAGGCATTCGTCCCTTTTGTGTTTCTACTCTGGGCTTGTTCGTCGTGGCCATGGCTGCTGCTAGATCTGAGGAGCGGCCATGGCTCTTCCTGTGGCTGGCGGTGTGCTTGGCGGGGGTGGGTACGTGCAGGGGAGCCCAGCTGGGCACGTACATAGTTCAAATGTCCCCGTCGGAGAAGCCCGACGCCTTCGCGCAGCATCTCGAGTGGTACGTCTCCACGGTGCGGTCGGTGGCAGCGGAGGCCCGTGCGGAGGGCGATGGCGGCGGCGACGTCGAGGACGCGGCGGGGAGGATCGTCTACAGTTACGACACGGCCTTCCACGGCTTCGCTGCGCGGCTGAGTGAGGTGGAGGCCGCTCAGCTGGGGGACCAAGCCGGGGTGGTGGCCGTGTACCCGGAGAACGTCTACGAGCTGCACACGACGCGGAGCCCCGGCTTCCTCGGGCTGCAGTCGCAGGCCTTCGTCGGCATCTGGTCGAACGCCATCGCCAGCCACGACGTCATCGTCGGGGTGCTCGACACCGGGATATGGCCGGAGAGCCCCAGCTTTAGCGACAGCGGCATGGGGCCGGTGCCGGAGCGGTGGAAGGGCGCCTGCGAGACGGCGGAGGACTTCAAGAGGAGCAGCTGCAACAGGAAGATCATCGGCGCCCGGATCTTCTACCGGGGCTATGAGGCCTCCACCGGCGCACTCGACGCCAAGGAGAAGTCAGTGCGGGATCAGGACGGGCACGGCACGCACACGGCAGCCACCGCGGCGGGCTCCGCCGTGCCCGGTGCGAATTTCATGGGCTACGCCGAGGGGACTGCCCGAGGGATGGCGCCGGGGGCGAGGTTGGCCGTCTACAAGGTCTGCTGGGCCGGCGGGTGCTTCAGCTCCGACATACTGTCGGCGGTGGATAGGGCCGTGGCCGACGGGGTGGACGTCGTGTCCATCTCGCTCGGCGGGGGGGTGTCGTCGTACCACCGGGACAGCCTCTCGGTGGCGGCATTCGGCGCCATGGAGAAGGGGGTCTTCGTCGCCTGCTCGGCGGGGAACTCCGGGCCGGATCCGAGCAGCCTCACCAACGTGGCCCCGTGGATAGCCACCGTGGGGGCGAGCTCCATGGACAGGGACTTCCCTGCCTCGGTGAAGCTCGGCGACGGGGGGAACATCTCCGGCGTCTCCCTTTACAGGGGCCGCCGCTACCTGTCGGGGCAGAAGCAGTACCCCCTCATCTACCTAGGCGGCAACGCCAGCAGCGCCGCCGACCCCAAGGCCCTCTGCCTGGACGGAGCCCTGGACCCGCACCTGGTCGCCGGGAAGATCGTCCTCTGCGAGCGAGGTATCACCGCGCGGGTGCAGAAGGGGCAGGTAGTGAAGCAGGCCGGCGGGGTGGGGATGATCCTTGCCAACACCGCCGCCAACGGTGAAGAGCTGGTGGCGGACAGCCACCTTCTCCCGGCGGTGGCGGTGGGGGAGGCCGAGGGGGCGGCCATCAAGCGGTACGCGAAGGCCGACCATCGCGCTTCCGCCACCCTGACCTTCTCAGGGACGAGGCTGGGCATCCGGCCGTCGCCGGTGGTGGCCGCGTTCTCATCCCGGGGGCCCAACTTCCTCACCCTGGAGGTCCTCAAGCCGGACCTGATCGCCCCAGGCGTGAACATCCTCGCGGCGTGGAGCGACGCTATCAGCCCATCGAGCCTCCCCGTCGACCGCCGGCGGGTAGGCTTCAACATCCTCTCCGGCACCTCCATGTCGTGCCCGCACGTCGCCGGAGTCGCCGCCCTGCTCAAGGCGCGCCACCCGGACTGGAGCCCGGCGGCGATCAAGTCCGCCCTGATGACCACCGCCTACGTCCGGGACAATACCCGGCGGCCCCTGAGGGACGCCGCAACGGGCGGGGAGTCTAACCACTACGCCCACGGCGCCGGCCACATCGACCCGTCCAAGGCGCTCGACCCGGGCCTCGTCTACGACATTAGCCGGCAGGATTACATCGACTTCCTATGCACGCAGAAGCTCACGCCACCGCAGATGAGGGTCTTCACCAAGTCCGCCGGCCAGGCCTGCCGGGCTCCGCCGGGCTCCGCCGGGGACCTCAACTACCCGGCCATCTCGGCCCTGCTGTCGTCAGCGCCGCGGCAGACGATCCACCGGACGGTCACCAACGTCGGAGCTCCGGTCTCGACGTACCGCGTGACCGTTTCTCCGTTCAGCGGCGCCACCTTGGTGGTCGAGCCGAGCATGCTGCATTTCACCCAGAAAGGCCAGAAGCTGCAGTACAAGGTGACTTTCGTCAAGAAGGCCCGCCAGCCGGCGCCGGAGTTCGGAGCTCTCACCTGGGAGGACGGCACCCACTCGGTCAGGACCGCGGTGGTGATCACGTACCTTTCGCCGGCGTAGGCCGGAGCCGCCGCCGCGCCAGGGTGCTCTGTCCCCCCCCCCCCCCCCCCCTCTCTCTCTCTCTCTCTCTCTCTCTCTCTCTCTCTCCTTTTGTATTCCCAAGCTCGAACTAATAACCGGTGCTTGGAGTAGGATCTAGCGATCTTTCCATTCGCGTTTAGAGTGCAACAATCTCTTCTTAGTAGTTCCATCTCACTTCGTGGTTCAGAGAGAGAGAGAGAAGATTAGGTTTGGAAAAAATAATCGACAAGAGAAGAAGGTAGCGACGTCGATCACCGCAGAGGACGCAGCAGGCCCGGCTAAGGCGGGGGCAGGAGGAGCATCACCTCGACTCCCAAATGGTGAGCCCGTCGCAGGTACACAGCTTCTTGTAGTTCTCGCCGACGCCGGCGCTCCTCGCGATGACCGCCGCCGCGACGCCGGTGCTGGACTTGCCCTCCGTTTCGTACACGGCGATAGAACGGCCGATCAGGTCGGCGACACGGAGCGTCCTCTTAGAGCTTGAGAATTGCGCTTCACCATTTCCGTCAGCGTCCAGTGTTCCCAGGTCACCAAGTGGCTGCGCAAGCCAGCATCAGACAACCCTATGACTATTGTTTATTTCCTCAAAATTTACAAGAATCTCGATCGGAACACATTCTAATCAACTGGGCAGATCGAGAACCGAAACAGTCATGGCAGTTAAAAGGAACCAGAAGATGCTATCAGAAGGATGGTATCAGAATGTCTTCTCCAAACCTCTTCGGAAGTTGCTTGGTCTCCAGGATTGAATACTTTTCCCGTGCTGGCAACTCCTCTGGTCAGATCGCCAAACTCATTTATTGCCCATCCGTGCTTGCCGGGTGTAAGGCCACTGAAGCTCGCCTCGATCCTGGCCAGTTCCATGTTAACTTGAACCAATCGAACGATCCCGAAGACAACTGGGCCCTTGAATTCGGCCACAGCGGCTGAAATCTGGAAATCTGTGGGGCAACGACATGCTAGCTTATATACACCATACAGAGAAAGCAGAAGCCAAGGATATATTAGTATTCATACGGTAAATGAGAACAGAAATAATCGACCAACCGGGGTAAAATGAGAATGTTCGAAGGTATATCAAGAAAAGGTTAGAAAAGTAGGCTTTTTTTCTCTCTCTAAAGGGAGCCAATGTGACCTTTGTTTCGAATTTAATCATCATATAAGTACTATCTCTATTGTTTTAGGGATTGGATCCCACCCTTCAAACCACATTCGTGACGGCCAATTAGGAGAGTCAGGGCACTTCTTGATTATTTTCACTCCCAATAAAATCATAACACTTATTTATTCCCTCTGTGTTGCTGTCCCCATTTTTTTGTCGTTTAACTCTTTATTTTGCTTTTCATTACTCTTAAATGCATCAGGGATCCTTCTTAATTTTCATCTCCTGTACCACGCCACATCTTGCTAACATCTTCTTCTCAATCATGTTCTCCGACTTCACACTTCATCATCTCTTTCGTCACATAGCAGCCAGTGATCAGAGGAGTAGCAGTCCAACCCGCACACAATCACCTTATATACCTTTCACTAAAAAGGTGATCAATTCAACATATGCATCAAAACTACCAAATACCAGAATCCCATGATACAGCAGCCACAGAACAATCTTTTTCAAAAGTAAACAAACTCATCATTAGAGCCCACACTACACTGTGATTCTAATCCAATTTACGAAAATCATGAATTGAAACCAATGATATGATAATCCCACTACTTTAATCCATTATAAAGTTCAAGTTAATTTATAACAAAGATGGGAGATCAAACACCAATAACAGTGATACCACAATACATATTTTCAGAAATGAACTGTTCATTCATGTTCTTCGTTTGTCATAAGTCAGAAAAAGAGCATATGAGTGAGAATAGCAGGGAGCTTAAATATAGGAAACAAGATATAGGAGAATCAGGAATAAAGAGAGAAATTATCACAGTTGGCTCAATGTCTGTTTTTTTAAAAAAGTAGCTCATATAAGCAAAATATAATTGGGTGTGGTTTCCCCAAATTTCAACCAATAATATATCCAGAAAGACAAAAATATAAAGCGTACAGAATCCCTTGGCCCCATTACTGGCTTCCCTTCATCTGTATTCTTCCCGTTCTATCCCATTGCAGATCTCCTCTTCCAATCTATTATATTTCCACAAAAGTTAGACATATACTTCTTTATACACATTATTCTTACACATGATCTGTTTTATTAGATGGATTTATCGATTAAATAAACCCGACCTGAAGATAAGAAGCTTAGAAATGTAGCATTATCCGTTACTGTTGAAGATCCGAAGGAAATAATCAGGATGAACTGATCGGACAGCTTGGAAGATCTTCTCTCCCTATTTACAGAGGTAACAAAATGCTCACCATGGATGTTAAAGATAAACTATGAAAATGGAAAGAGACAAGTTAGCTTTCAGATTATCTTCCTAATTATTGTGGATATAGAGACTGAATATCATACACATGTCGGGTTTTTCTCTGTATTTAAGAGCCGGCTATACATATAATTTAATATCTCTTCAAATACTTATGAGAATGATGCATGATACCATCTACATTAAATATATATATATATATATATATATCTTGGGTTATACAAGGATACGCATTAAGATGGTTAAGGATACTCGAGGAGAATGATAGTTATCGATAAAAACAACAGATCCATATTCAAACTGCAAGATAACCTTTCACATCTTATGCCGTCCAATAATTTAATTTCCGGTGGTAAATGCATTACTTTCTTCCAGTGCAACAGGTAAACAAAATTTATTTAAGCTGATAGGTCATGACTAAGAATAAAAGAAAGAAGCTCAATCATGGATTTGAAAAACAGGAGCATAAAATCAGTCAAGAAAGAAAAAAGCTATATCGAAGTTGAATGTTAAACAATAATATGCCAAATCTGGGGAGTGAACAGGACCTTCAGGAATCCCTTGGCCAATCAGTCTCGCCCTTCGGCCAGTCTGTTCCATACCATCAAGCATGGCCTTCACAGACGAAGAACCAAGGACTCTAACAACTTGGTTATTCAGGTCCACGTCAACCTTCTTAACTCCTGCATGCACAAATAATTTTAGAACTAAACACCTCTGATGGACATGGGAAAACGGTATTTGTATGAGACACCGCTCACACAAAAGGAATTAGACACAAATGATGTTGGCCGTAATAAAACAACCTACCCTCAAGATTCAGTAGTTTGTTCTTTACCGATGAAACACAACCTTCACATTTGATATCCACCATAAATTCGGTCTGAAGATAAACACCAAATTCAGAAAAAATGAACAAGTTTCTCTATCAGGATAACACTGTATAATAGTGTGGAAGTACACTCTCATTTTAAAAAAAAGTGATAAAAGCTTCACATCTTTCTTCCTCAAAGCACACACAATAAGGGCCGGAAAATTTTCATTTTATAAGGCAAATTTAAGAAACATTCGGAGGTCTCTTAGTAGTCTTTTTCAAGACTGTTAACCGTCATAACAAGAAAAAATACAATATCACCTAAATTAACCATAAAACCAGTAAAAAGACCATTACTGAGCTTTTATTTTCTTGTGACTACCTTGAAAAGAATATTTAAATATCATTTCTAAAAAGAGGAATTCCAAATATTATTTTAAATTCACTCCTGTCACCAAACTCACTAAACTAAGGTTTAAATGCATAAAGGTGTGAAAAGGTATTCTTAAAGATGAACAGCGAATATATTACAAAGGCAGAGTACATGCACTAAGATATCTTGCCGATATATTATTGCGTCTGCATATCATTTCATGGACTTTTGCACGAAATCCCTCGCTGTGGGTTGAAATCACCTTCCAGCGAGGGTTGTGGCATTCATCCTAAGACATCATCAGACAAAAATGAACCAGAAACAGACCATTATTCTATAAGTATTATTGGAAACCGTTCTTTCCAAAATATTACCCTTTCCATAGGATTCTATGACGAAGATGGATGATTTCTTTTCTATCAGGTATATTTCAACACACTTTATTTTCACATAATCGGTCTAACATGTATGGTCATAAACCTGATCTTCATTTAAGATTCTTATTTCCTCAGCTGTGCTTAGCGTCTTTAAGATCAATAAAATTCATCCCATAAAAAAATTCCCTCCGTGGCATAGAGAGTGTTAAGCATAAAAAGGATTAATTGGTAAATTTGCTAATCTTTTACAGAATGTCCATATGGAAGATGATATGCAAGCAGCGAGTAAATATCATTGGACATTTTTGCAGCATCCACTTAGGCCCATTTACAAGGTTTCTCGTTGAAAATGAGTGTTAAAGTTTAGCACGAGATAAATAAGGTGACAACAACGATAAGCTCACAAATGTTCTAGAGACTTCTCACATATTTTCTAAATATTTTGAAAACCCAGCGGCCATGATCTATGCCATTAAAAATTTAGCTATTTTATGATGGTGTGGACATTATTCTGAGCACATTCGTGTGTTTGTATACTCATGACTCCTCCCAAATTCTCTTATATTTTACCTAATATGTGTCATATATATTTGGAACTTGCACTCTTCTACTTGTCTCAAAGATTTTGGATAAAAGAATGACACTTGTAGACACAAAAAGAAAACTCACATAATCCTCTCACATAATCAACGCATCAAAGATAAAGGAAAGTGTGAATAATATTCAAGCATACAAAAACTATGAAATATGGCATTATCTTCTCCTCAAGAAAGCAGAGGTCAGATTACCCCCGAGGGAATCATTTAGTAATCATTCATCTGTGCAGCAAGCCCCATGAAAACAGATGTGTCAACGAAGTAGAGAAAAAATTAACACATGCCCGTGGGAAAAGAGTTTAAGCCATCGTGCACAATGGAACGGTGTCTCGTGGTCAAATTTGTGTGCATTAATAGTCAGAATAGTCGGAACATACCAGCAGCTTCGGCAGTGTACCGTCCTTCTGTAGTTTGGCGACCAGAGAAAAGGAAACAAAAATATCAGAACACGTTTTCAGGAGCTAGAATTACTCTTCGAACGAAAGAAGCTATCACACAAGTATGACGCGTCAATTTAGCTTTAGGTCGCCAATCAGAATCGACACCACACGCAAACACGCACTGACCTGACCAGAAGTCTTCAGCTCCAACCCCACGGGCTCCATTCCAAGAGCAGATCTCTGAGAGGCCAATTCACGGGCGCGCCGGCCGAGCTATGGACCCTCGCGGCTGACTACGACGACGACGATAAACTCACCAACCCGGGCGCCGCCAGGACTCCGCACCCTCCGGAGCGCCACCATCACAGCATCACTCCAATTTAGAGGATTCCAGAGCCAGATGCCCGCCGTGGCGTCCGACGTGGACCTACTACGAGTGGGCCACGACGAGCCGTTCCGTCCAGACCGTCAGATGAGACCCACCTAGCCAGTTTCCCATCTGACACCGCTCAACCGTCCGATCGCCGTCCCAAAATACTCCTAGAAATAACATCTATCATATGTCGAAAATTAACTCTTTTGCATAAATGATTCGCGTATACAAGAAATCTTGTAACCATTAATTGAGCTGGGGAATATGAGGTTGTGCATGCCAGGCCCAAAATTGGTAAAAGTCTGGAAGATGGGCTTTGGGCCATAACTTATCCCGCAGCCCACTCATTTAGTGGGTCAGGTGGGGCGGGGGGGGTTGGGGGCAGAGAGAGAGAGGTGGGGAAGGTGAGACCACCACGTGGATCATCGTCGGATGGCCACATGAGAATCTTTAATGGGGGCGATCCGGAGCTTTGGGGTCCATCCCGATGGGCCCCCACTTGCTTAGCTCTAATCCGGGTCGGGCCGGGCCGGGATTGTCGGGCCGGGCTGGTCGGGCCGGATCTTCCCATAATTGATCCGGTCAGAGTCGGTCATCCGCCTGTTTGTGAACAACGTCGCGGGTGGGCCAATGGAAATGGTCCACGTAGTTCCGTTCTTTTTGTTCCTTTCCGTTTGGGTACGTGGCAGAGTGTCGCTTCATGGCGGGTGAAGTCGTCGACAGGTAGGAGAGGCTTAGCTGGGGCGAGGTTTCGTCCTGCGACCTTCGGGACGCGGTCTCCGAGCCTTCCGCCCCTCGCAGGACGGCGGAGTTCAACGCTGGTCGCTGCTGTCCCTCGGTCTAGACATCGCCCCTCTTCCTCCTGTAAACCCTAGCGACGTGGATGCTGGCAATCGGAGAAGGTGATCGATCGGAGATGAATGATTAGCAGCTGCGTCTGCTGGTCTTTGTGATTGATGATTGCTGTCCCTCATCTTGGTGGAGCTCGGCTTTCTGGTTCTTGTTTGCTTCGCTTTTTGATCGAAGGGAAGAGTTGACCCGGTTGCTGCTGGTGAGGGCGGGGTGTGGGGGTTGAGGGGGGTGGGTGAGGGGATGCACAGATCGGGGGTAGTGATGGCGTGGAATGTATTCAAGTTCTGTACCGTCCTGCGTGGGCTGGGGTCTATCATGATCTTTCTTGTCCTTGGAATCATCGGCCTCTCGTACTACGCCATCGTGCTTACTAATTATGGCCCGGCCTTGTATAGTGGCGTACTCGGAGAGGCTGCCGTCGCCCTTGCCATCTTGGTCCTCTTCCATTGCTTGGTGCGTTTCTTTAATTTTCTCTTGTCGTCCTCTCATTTTAGAACTGATATCCTATTTGAGATGGATGTCCCGAGAATTCGGTGATGAGATGATCCAACCTGTGGTCTTTTCTCTTCAGGTTTTTTATATAAGAGGATATTGTTCCTTTTAGAAGGAAATAACTCGACGTTTTTTATGCTTTAGTTCTCTGTTGATGATTAACGAATAATGTGGAAATAGATTCCGTGGTCCATTATCTGGGAGTAACTTATTTTATGTCACCAATGAAAGATATTGAAACCTGTAAAAAATTAATTAAACAGAAAATATTCTATGCTGTTCCTGTTTTGCTTTTTAGGGCTTAAAATCCACTATTAGAGCATATATAAATACATTAAGGATAGTTGAAAAAGATCACGACCCATGGTTAACACATCTTAATTCACAAAATCAGGGTACAGACCCTTTCCTGTGTCACCAAGACTGGTATGTTAAAATAGTAGATCACAAGACTGTAGAAATCCAGAAGCGAGGAGATTTTCTAATGGAAATGGCATAGTTTCTTGCACTTTAAGGATCAACCGGAATTCTGTGATGTTTTTTAGCCTGCAGCACATGGTTTCCCATACAAAAATTCTCTCGTGAAGATGATTTCTCGCACCTCCCCCATTCCCTTCTGGATGATTTCTATATTTCTCTCCTTCCATCATTCCCAATAATTTCCGATAGCATCTAGAGCTGCCATCTACCTCTAATTCTCTGAATCCTTTGAAAATTGTGCGACAATTTTTTTCAAAGCACCTCATGATTTTCTTTATATGGACATTGAACTAGTAATCAAGACATGATCAATTGTTCATGTGCAGATTCTACGAAATAAGCATGTAGTGTCTTTGCCTTTTTCTGAATTTTGTAAAAAAAAACTACTCTTTTGTTCTCGGATTGATCTTATTCATGCATTTCTTTACTACAAGCGACATGTCTAGACTAGTGGTTCTCAAGGGTGTAATCTTTTCGTTTGCTAATATCATTTAATCTGATAAGATGGATCTTTTTTTTTTCAGTTGGTTATGCTTCTGTGGAGCTACTTTTCCGTGGTTTTAACTGACCCAGGCAGTGTCCCACCGAATTGGAGACCTGTTGTGGACGAGGAGAAAGCAGACACAATTCCATTGACAGTCCCTGACTTGGGCAGTCCGATTCTAAGCTCGCAGTCTGTATCTCTTGCTGATACATCAAACCCAAGAGTTAGATACTGCAGGAAATGCAACAATTTGAAACCGCCCCGTTGTCACCATTGCTCAGTTTGTGAGTGCATATATTATGATTTTTTTGCGAAACCCTTCATATTTTTTTTAAAATGTTCCCTTGTTGATATTCATTTTTTTAATACCATAGTCCTTTTTTTTAGGTGGAAGATGTGTGCTTAAAATGGACCATCACTGTGTCTGGGTCGTCAATTGCGTTGGGGCATTAAATTATAAGTTCTTTCTTCTATTCCTGGTACGTTCATTGAATGTTGCATCATTTTTCTGTTTGCTGAAATGTATTTGGTCGGCATGCTTCCTTATAATCCCCTCTTCCTGCGCCCTGCGTATCTCTGACATCTTGGGTAATAGGTAATTTATTATGTTGACACGACCGTAAATTCATTGATTTATATGATTCTTAAAAATTACCCATCAGTTTAAAGCCTGTGCAGTCTTAGGAAAATACTTAAATAAAATCTATTCATTATTAAAAAGTGTCAGCGTTGGACACGTAATATGACTGCGTCTATTCATCGTGGAGTACGAGTTTAGGTGCCGCTACACATGTGATCGGTTGGTAGGCACCTTGTGCATCTCAGAGCTTGTTTCAGAAATTTTTTTCTTCGCTTACACTTGTAGATGCCAAATAGTCTCGGTAAATGTTTCTCTTAGAAATCCATTCTTATTATAAAGGTTGATGGCAAAGGTATTGATGTGTAGATTGGGAGAGAATTTTAGCTGCACTGTCTTAATTTGGCTTGTTTCTGCTTCATCAGAAAATTAAGATGTTGAGCCACATGATTTGTGAACAGTTGTCTTTGGCAGATAGCTTTCCATACAGAATCTTGGCGATTCTTCTTGCCACTACACGAACATTATTCTATAATGACGGCAATAATATCCGAACCCGTGTATCATTTAGTGGTGCAGCCACTTGCTGAATACTTATCTAATAATGTGACCGAAAAAATTTCTTCCTGTTAACCTGAAGCATACAGTTAAAGATGTCCACCATACTGTATCTAAATGAACGATCATGACCAAGTAATTCAGGAATCTGCAGTTTGCTGGTTTATTTGCAAATCCTAGACATGGCTGACTCATGTGGAAAGGTGAAAAAAATTAAGAAACTAGGAAGTGATATTCTTGTGCTCATTCTTATGTGGAAATGGGCATTTTTATTTATGGAATGAAAATAATATATATGAACAGAGCCTTTCGTAAGGTAGAATGCACAACAGACCTTACTGTCTTTGAAGTATATTCTACGTAGCTTCCAAGTAAAGCTATGAATCTACCGCATAGAACCATGGGATAGCCATGGACTTCGCAGACAAGAAGAGAGGGCGATGAGATGATAGATGGATCTCCATGCAAATAGAGGTATATGGGTATTTCTGTTCAAAAGACTGCTGTCACCGTCTTTGGTTTCAAGATCCTGTGAAAACTTAACATTGACCCAAGACAATATGGTTGGATTACTTCATGCTGCCTAAGGTCTTGGCAGAGATATTTCACGAAATCCTTGCACCGTCCATGCAGTGTGTTGGTAGATCCCGCTTCTCAGATCTTCACACCATGAGTAACCGGCCTTGTAAACTTAAGTTTCTTAGCTAATTTTTTTTATAAATACATGATTATCATAATGTTGTGGTTCGATCTCCTTAAACACTTCTGCATCTAGAACTGTGCTTACATTTTGAAAAATGACCAGATCTTCCGTATTCCTTGTTGTGTATTTCTGCTCGTTAAACACCCGATATGATCCTCATTAATAACCACAATGACCTTGTAGAATGACATATGGATGTTGTGTTGTTCCTTGTTGTGCCTGCAGTTGTATGCTTTTCTCGAGACAACTCTGGTAACCTTGTCGCTGCTGCCTCACTTCATTGCGTTCTTTAATGATGGGGTGATTCCTGGATCACCTGGAACACTTGCCACCACTTTCATAGCATTCGGTAAAACAACTTTATGATTATTATACAAATAAACTTGTGATTATAAAGACGGGTTCTACTTCATTGACAGCCAACTGGTTTTGAGTTGGATGGCTCCATTTATTCTAACATAGTATCAGAGCCAGTGGTTTCTCTTGGGCTGATAGCATCCCATTCACGTTTTCCTCATAAGAATGGTCTCATGTAGGTTACTATCGAAATAAAAAAATCTAAGATTACAAAAAGGCTTTCCTCTCGTGGCTATCGAGTTGAATGGCTCGCTAATTCTTGCAACCTTCTTGTTTACGAGCCACCATATTGCTAGAATATCTTAAGCATGCAGCCTGACTGTTTCATTCTCGTGTGCCCAGTGTTGAACTTGGCTTTTTCGCTGAGTCTTCTCGGGTTCATGATGATGCATTTTTCTTTGGTCTCGGGTAACACCACCACCATTGAGGCAAGTCTCTGGCTCCTGCTTCCTCTCATACTCGTTCCATACCTGGAGCCCAATACTAAAAGCTTTCCATCGAAATCCCCAGGCATATGAGAAGAAAACGGCCCCAAAATGGCGCTATGATCTTGGCAGAAAGAAGAACTTTGAACAGGTCTGTGCTCATCTGCCTCCTGCCATTTTCCTCTCATTCGAATCCGCCTAGGCTTACCACGAGTTGCGTTGAGAAACGCAGGTGTTTGGAGCCGACAAGAGATACTGGTTCGTCCCCTCCTACTCAGAGGAGGATCTGAGAAGGATGCCCGCCCTTCAGGGCCTGGACTTTCCTTCCAGGCCCAACTCGGGCGCCCAGGAGCTCTGAAGGAACCTACGTCTTCGGCTCCTCCTGCAACCCATGGAGCTGATCTTCTTGCCCCCCTAATACCCACACCATCAATTGTGAGAAGCCGGTGATCTGCAACGTCGCAGCAGCATGGGTGAAAGAAGCTGCATCCAGGTCATGGGTTATGAAGATTCCGATGTTCTTTTTCTCTATGTATGGGTGTATATTCATATAGATGGTCATCTTCATCCTTGATTTTCTTCTTTCGGAACGATAAACCCTCCCAATCAGGTTCTTTTGTGATCCAGAGGCCGGTTTGAGTGGTGCAAGATCTCTCCCTTCTTTTGGGGACGGTCTTCGCCTAGGTGGCAACTGTCCGGGGCTGGCTGGGCCCAACCAGCGTAGCTTCTCTGGGCTTAGTGAGGCCCGGATCTAGGTCAGTCTGGCCCGGCCCGTTGGCACGAGAGGGTGTCAATGGGTCCGGCGCGACTGGAAACGAGATAGGCCTGTTTTCTTCTGAAGGTTTGAGCCTCAAAATCGCTCAAAATCAAAGCCCGAAATGAGTTATCAGGCCAACCGCCCCCCCTCTCTCTCTCTCTCTCTCTCTCTCTCTCTCTCCTCTCTAGATCTATGTAGACATACATAAGTGATCTATAAGTAATGGTGCATGTAAGATGAGAACCTGGATAGGATTGCGTCTAGCATGTGGGACTATTATCGTGCGGAGCTGCCCCTGATTTATTTTACGTGCTTAATTTTATGGACTTTTTTATTTGTAGAGGGTTTGTCCATTTTATTTTTATCATTATTTATTATTCTAATCATTCCGAGTTTATCCACTTTTCATTTTAGTTGAAAATAGGGGTTGTTAAAAATTCCCCTAACGTCTTTCAAACTCCTTAATTATCATCGACGCGAAATCTCGATTATATCTGAATTTAATTATCTTTTAAATCAGCTCATCGATATCTGAATTACAAGATATATATATAGTAGATATGTAAATGAATTCATCAACGTATGAGCCGAAGTGATATATTACGTACTTGAACTTGTTCACACGTTATTTTTATGCAAAATTCAGCGTAAAAATCAATAGCTTCAAACCATGAAAACCTATTTTCCGGATAAAAAATATAAAGTGAGTAATCATTCTAAAATTTGTGCACTATTTTTTTTGAAAAATTGTATAAAAATTATCTTATTTTTTCATGAAATTGAACCCATTAAATGTAATATGTATAATTTCGGTTGGATTTTAGTGACCCTTTGTTCGATTTACACGTGGCATTAGGAGTCGGGCCGTCAAATGAACCGCCATACTAGAAGGTGCTATAAATTCAGATGGCCGTGCTCCGGAAGGTATCCTCTGAGATTCTTCCCATTATCTAGAAGGTGCGAGGTAATTCCGGTTTCGAAGTCCGTTCTGGCGGGGACCTGGTCCCTGTCGTTGTTCTTTATGTTTGTTCATATTGGTGAAGTACGTTCTGCTTCTGAAATTATGTGCGTACTTTGTCTTTACGGCTGGAATGTTTGAGATTCTGGATGCGACGCCAGCGGCATAAATATCAAAGAATCGTGAATAATTTCCTGGTTTTGTTCTGAAACCACCGTTTGCCGGGCATTTCATCGTTAAACGCGAAGCAAACTTAATCGCCGGCAGTATTTGGGTGGATAATTCGTCTGGAGTGATTGATTTCGTAGTGTTTTTGCCGATTCCCTTCTCGGATTCTCCTTTAAAAAGAAGGAAAGAGAAGAACACCTTCTCATTGTAATTTATTGCTAAAGGTATTGAACCCCTGGTCCCAGTTTGATTCTCCGAGGAATAGTCTCCGAAGAAGATGGAGGGGGACAGAGCAGGGGCGAAAGACTTCTATGGTTTTAATGACCCATTTGCCGGCTTTGGGAGGTTTGGCACGCGGGGAGACCTCACGCCGAGCTTTTCTGGCCGGAGTGTTCCGTTTGGTCAGCCCACTAAGCCTTTTGGTGGAATGTTGGGGCCAAGTACTTTTGATCAGAGAGTGTTCGGCTCGAGAGGGAGGCCTTTTGGGGATCCCGTTGATGGTGGATTCTTCGGAGAAAACCGCGTCTCCCGGCTCGAAAACTCAGGGGGGCCGATTATCCAGGAGATCACGTCAGACGACGAAGCAGAAAAAGAGGAGGAAGACGACACGCAGATGAAGGAAAGCGCAACAAAGCGTGTTAGGTCTGATTCCTTGCCGTCTGTTCAGGAACCAGATGGAGAGATAGAAGGTGAGGCCTTCTTTGCCGCATAGTTTGAGCCTATTAATAATTTTTTTATGAAGAAGTTGACGAACCAACATTTTGTATGTTCTTGCAGATGAAAATACGAGGCGTTTGCAGCAGAAACCAGGATTCCTGAGGGCTGGTTCGTCACTGCCACAGAACAGCGCTTTCAGCTTTCATAGCTCCACTGTTACTTACGGCGGCCTTAATGGAGCCTACTATACTTCATCCAAAACCAGGAGATCAGGGGCTGATGGAGTACGCAGATTTCGTTGAACTTCTGTCCTCTACCCGATCTCTAAAGCTAGCCTCTTCTTCCATCTTCTGATTATATGTTCTCATGCAGGTGGTGGTGGAAGAAAGCAGGGAAGCTGATGCCACCACTGGCAAAGCCACTCATAGGATCTCCAGAGGAATCGGCAACAGGGTCTGTTAACATCCCACCCTGTTAGTCTGATCCATCAGATATTTAGGTCAACGACCGCTTGACTTTATGTGGTTGCCGATTTCAAAACTTGCTCTTGCAGGGACACTCAGTTATGCGGAGACTCAATTCAGACGGTCGAGTAGATACCATGCAAACATTACATAACCTAAACGAAGGTAGTACCCGTCGACAGTGGTGTTCTTCTTTTTCCCCTCTCAGGAAGTGATTTACATGACTTGGTGGCGTTTTCAGGTGAGCTTGCTGGGTTTGAGCAGTCATGGAGAGGGAGTGCAGGGCAGCATCTACCTTATGAATGCTAGAGGTAAGAACCTTTAGCAAGATTACCCGAATGGTTGAACCTTATGAATGCTATGGGATTATTAATGGGTAGAAAAAGAGGCCAACATGATGGGATCTTCTTTAAAAAATCACGGTTTTAACCAAAATACGACGGCCCCGCAGCCATCATCCTCCTCCTCGTTCGTTTTAAACAAGGCTGCCTTCCCCTTTTCAGTCCCGTTCATGCAACCTCACTCCCATCCCTCACTTTCTTTCGCATCGTGGGTATTTGATTTATGTGCCGATTCTGTAGCGAGACTTTGTCATAGATTCGAATTTTTTTCGTCTACGATCTAAGCTAGCAAAAGGATCTGAGTGGATTATATAGCCTGCAACTAGATCCTTAGTAGCTAGCAGACAGCCGCTTGATTATCGCCTATGATCGGGCATTAAGGCTGGATTTGGGAGATCAGGAGTCATCAACACATGCTATTTGATAATAAATCCGCCAAGCATCCAACGAAATGCGCTTAGACTGGAGAATGAGCACAGGACATGTGATTTAGCACGTGAGCATGAGAACCGAAAGGGCATGGTGGCCAATTGTCAGACCCACTGTGCCTGGACTTTGGAAGAAAGTGGGCAGGCCAAAACTTTCCATTTAATTATATATATATATATATATATATATATATGTTTTAAAAGGAACTTCTTGGCTTCATGGGTGGCACGTTATCAAGGCTCAGTAGGGCCATTGATAAGGAATCTTTACCTTCATGGTGATTGATGGTTTCATGGGCCGCATGTTATCTAACTCGTTCTTTCTCCCTTTTTTTTTTTTTTCCCCTAGATTGATCGGCTGGGGAAAAATACTATGATTGCTTCAGACTGGTTATATATCCTGTCTCCTTTTCATATTTATTTTCCTTCTGTGTGTGGAACAGGATGTCGAGCCGGACGGTCCTCGGGAGTTAGGGATGTTCGTCGCCGATGACTCCAGTGGAAGACGATGTCCCAACGCCGCTGGTGGTAATCGGGGAGGCGGATGGTCTCTTCCTCTCGTGTAAATTTCCGAAGAACATGCTTCTGTCTGGGTGTAACGGGATCTTAAATCTAGGGTTCTTCTTGGCGTGGAATAGAACAGTGCAGAAGCATTTAAATCCGAGCGTACTGCGCGCCAATTAATTTCTCTCCAAGTTGTCCCTTCTCTGCAGCGATCGCAGCTCTGCAGGTGCGGGAGGGGGGGGGGGAACCCTAACACCCCCAACTGCGAGGGATGACGACGAGACCCGGACAATCCTCGATGGGGGCACACGAGACAGAAAGTGCAGAGATGGAGCCAACGGTACCATACCAAGGGGGGCCCTTTTCCTCTTCTTTATTACGCACCCGTGAGTCTCTCGCCCATCCTTCTCTTGCAGAAGGTGCAGCCGGCAGCAGCTCGGCCACCGGCAGCGCCACCGCTTGGCGGGGGAGGCGCAGTTTTTTTTTGGCAACCACGGCTGAACATGGCGGTCCAACGCCTCCTGACAGAACGGGGGCCCCTCCCAGGGGGACGTGGGCATCAGTCGCCGGGCCGCTTGGGGGAAGCAGAGGACAACAACTCGCTGCCTTCACATGGCGCCCGTAGTACTATGCCTTGGGGCCTTGCCTGTCCGCCATCGGAGGTCTCAGAGGAAACTCTGCCCCTAGAGCAACCCAGATCTGAGCCCGCTGGGGTAGACAGTAATGCTGATTGATTTGATTTGATATGCTTTTGCAACAGCTACCGATGAGGTGGGGGAGGGAGGGGGAGGGGGCACTTTCCCAGCTTGCCCGCCGTAGTGGGAAATTCCTCAGGCGAGGAATGTGGGTTGATGGAGACTACAGGACAACAGGGAGACCACGAATACGATCGCTACGTAGAGTGGGGAAGCATCAACCGCCACTAGCACCAAGCTCCTGGAGCACCGCCGCCATCGTCGGCCGCTGCTCCAAGATCTCGCTGGTGCAGAACAGGGCAATGCCGGCGAGCTTTGCCGCCTCCTGCTTGGAGTAGTTCCCCTCCAGGTTCTCGTCGATGAGGTCCTCCAGCTTGCCGGAGTCAGCGCCGAGGCGCAGGTGGTTGACCTTGCGTTTCCCGCTGAGGATCTGCAGCAGCAGGACGCCAAAGGCGTACACGTCGCTCTTATCGGTGAACCGCCCGGTGGTGGTGTACTCCGGCGCCAGGTACCCCATGGCGGCGCTGGCCTTGAGGCTGGAGAAGACTACGTCGTCGGCGAGGAGTCTGTGCAGGCCGGACCCGGAAATCAGCGGCTTGAAGTGGTGGTCTATGAGCACCTTCCTGGCCGATATATTCTGGTGAACCAGAGCCGGCTTCCCGGCCTTGCTCGTGTGCAGATAATCGATCCCTGTTGCATTTATTTTTTCAAGAAGCATCAAACTTTTAGCAATCCCCAGCGCAAAACCTCGCCGGAAAAGCTTGACTCTTAGTAAAATATATCCGATGAAAGCGCCATCGGCAAGTACCTCTGGCAATGCCCTTGATGATGGCGACCCGCTTGGGCCAGTCCAGAGGACTGACGGCGGCGGTGGCGCCGCCCCGTTCGGACTTGAGGTCCAGGTACTGGGTGAGGCTGCCGTTGGCGACGAAGTCGTAGAGGAGGAAGCACTCACCCCTCCCCCTGGAGCAGCAGAAGCCCCTGAGGCCGACGAGGTTCTCGTGTTGCAGGGAGGTGAGCAGCTTCAGGCCCTTGAGGAACTCCGCCTCGTCGGAGCGGCAGCTGGTCTTGCTGATGCTCTTCACGGCGACGACTGAGCCGTCCCTGAGGATCCCCTTGAAGGTCGCCGCGAAGCCGCTCTTGCCCAGCAGGTTGACGTCGGAGAAGTACTGGGTCGCCGACTCCACCTCCTCCAGGTTGAACCGGAAGCTCTGGGAGACCTCCTCGGAGAAGCCGCCGCCGCTCCGCCCGTCGGCCAGAGGATCCCAACCATTGGCGTACTCGAGGCTGATCAGCGGCGAGGCACTCTTCTTTCCCCCCTGGTCGGTGCTGACCCGGCCGTCCAGCATCTCCAAGGAGCTGCCGATCTTCTGCTTCCGCCGCCGGTACCAGGTGAAGGCCAGCAGGCCGGAGGCCGTCCCTCCGGCGACGGCGGCGACGATCCCCACGATGATGGGGATCGCCGACGACTTCGTGGGCAACGAGCAGTGGGTGCCGTCGCAGCGCGGCTTGATGTTGGCCGACTGCGGTATTCCCTTCTGAGAGATGACGCCGCCGGAGCCGGGGCCGTAGGGCTCCGGCCGGCCGAGGTTGGTAAGGTCGCCGGAGCCGCAAGCTCTGAGCGACTGGAAACCGAGCCCACACAGGTTCGAATTGTTCTCATACTGGAATCCTCCGCCCAGCTTCTTCAGTTCTGCACGGAGGTTTTCGTTTATAATAAGAGTGGGCTCAGAACGGCGGAGAAGTGGAAGGTTGAGGATGAAGAGAGGAGTTACCGTCGGGGACATTGCCGGAGAGGGTGTTGCTGCGGACGTCGAGGACGAGGAGGTGAGGGACCTGCGCGAGCTTCCCGGGGATAGAGCCGAAGAGCTGGTTGGAGCTCAAATCCAACCGGGAGAGGTGGGTGAGATCCCCCAGGCTCGCAGGAATCGCGCCGGTGAGGCGGTTGGACTGGAGGGCGAGGACGCTGAGATTCTTCAGGAGGCCCAGCTGGTTCGGGATGCTCCCGGTTAGCTGGTTGTAGCAGAGCTGCAACACTGCAGGAATGGGAAGATAGGAAGATGCAGGTGAGATCCCATCTCTGACGATGAGGACGAACAAGACACACACACACCAGAGAGAGAAAGGCCTCCCCCTCCCCCCCATTAGATGCTCAAGAGAGAGAAAGAGCTTGTTCTTGCTGTACCCAGATGGAAAAAAGAGGAACAAGGAGAAAAAAAACCGAAGAGAGAAAACCCCGATGCACTGAAGCATGACGCCTTTTCACTTCAAGAAGAACCGCTGCAACAGTGCTAAAAAAACTAGAATGCAGAGTTTTGGAAGAAGAAATGAGGGAATCCGAAGCTTTTCTAAAAGCGAGAGCTTTTTAAAGAGAAAGGAGATGATGCGGTGAGGCCCTGGGGCTTCAGCGAGGAACTCGCCTTGCAGACTGGCCATGTTCCCGATCTCCGGCGGGATCCCGCCGGAGAGGTTGTTGACGTTGAGGTACAGGTCGGAGAGCTCGGTGAGGTTGGAGATCTCCGGCGGGATCTCCCCTGTCAGCGAGTTGTAGTGGAGGAAGAGGCCGGAGAGGAAGCGAAGCCCCGCCACCGCCGGAGATATGTAGCCGACCAGGCCCTTCCCCTGCAGCGAGATGTTCGCCACCTTCCCGAGCTCGTTGCAGCCGACGCCCTCGAAGCTCCCTCCTACGCAGGGTTCCCCCTCCGCCGTCCACGATGAGAGCACACGCCCTTCCGGGTCCAGCGCATCCTTGAGCTCCATCAGCGCCCTCACCTCCGCATTTCCCTCGCCGGGCGCCGCGGCGGCGGCGGCGGCTAGCGCAGAGAGGAGCGGCGGCAGCAGCAGCAGCAGAAACAGCGCCACCACCCGACCCATCATCGTCTTCCTCCCCCTCCTCTCTCTCTCTGCCTCTCTTGCTCTTTCGCTACATGGGTCTCGGCTTCTCTCTCTCTCCTCCTCTGCCGATTTGTGGCCTCGTGTTCCCTTTGGCGTGTTCCGGAGAGGGTTTTGGGAAGCAGCGCTCACGAGCTCGGCAACCCTGCTCTTACTGGTCTGTCTTTGGGAATCGAGAGCTGAAAGATTTACTGGCAAATCGTAGTATATATTAAATCACTCAGGCCCTAGAGAGAGAGAGCAGATCGATCGATAGAACGAGAGAAGAGAGAGAGAGAGAGAGAGAGACAGACAGACAGAGAGTGGGCACTTATGGAGCAGAATGTGTCCGAAAGCTACAGTCTCAATCGGCGATGTCACAGCCGTTGTGATCCATCTGGACGACCATAGTAGGCCTCATCGGGCGGATGGTGCAGATACGAACACGATGGAAAACAGTCGGTAATCTTTTTTCAACGGCTTTTTTTTTTCTCGAGTAAAAGTTAATAAATAAAATGTTTCACCCACAGATATTCGAACAGAGTTGGGATAAATAGAATTTACCAACGTAAAATGCCCAACTTTGCTTGAAAAAATAAAAAAGAGTAAATTATGAAGGTAATTTAACTGAAATAAAATATTATTTTATTGCGATATATACCTGACTTTTGTTAAATTGGTAGAAAAAGATTTAGCAAAAATTGTTATCCGATGTATTTTGGGGAATTATTCAGGAAGATTGATGAGGGTTGACTCCAAAGTTAGAACTTTGAACTGTAAAATAAATAAATGAATCTGACTGCGTCTGACTTACTGCGGAGCCGTACGGAACTTGGAAACTTTGACTCGACCGAGATTCCATCGTGATGAGTTGGGTGACGCGTCGTCTTGCCTGGTTACAAAGATGCGTGGGCCCCCTCTGCTGGGTACAGAAAACTATAGAGAATTAAGAAGGGGTTTGTTTAGAAAAGTGCGATGACAGGCTCGTCAGGCGCTCGATCGGCGATCGAACGGCTGGATCCGAAGGAACGATCCGCGGGAAGCGTTTCCTCCGAGGCAGCCCTGTTTCACTCTAGCGCATATACTTTGCGTATCATTCCACTATAAATAATATTTGCAAATGTGCCCAGCCACGTGCGTCAGACGTGAGGGCTTCTAAACCCTAGTCACTAATCCAGCTCAGACCCGGCAAATGGGCTTAATCAAGACCTTCATTAAGCTTGTTCTTAGTACACATAATTTATATCCACGTCTCCATATGCATGTATAATAAGAGAGAGAGAGAGAGAGATAGAGGGGCAATTTAGTAAATTATGTTACATCCCTCTAGAAAAACAAAACGGAGTCGATACATAATCACATGGAAGGCCTAATAGCCAACTTAGGGATCACCGGTCTCTTATGTGCTTGGATATATATATATATATATATATTTATTATAGGAATTTATTAATGGGTTTGAATTTATTCGTGTGGCTATTCTCATTGACCCACAAAAATGGAAGCTTTGGGTTGGAGTCCTGCACCAATTATGGCTCATAAAAAAACCCTGATTTCGACAGGAAAATGAGCATAGTAAGTTCTATTTAATCATAAACTTTGGGTTATTCGATTCGGGACCACTTTCAGAGGGGGCAAGAGGTGGGCCTGGATCCAGGGGGTTCGAGCTCTCACGTGCCGGCACGCGTGCGATCTCCCGTGGGAGAGACCGACGAAAACGAAGAATAAAAGACAAAAACTTTTCTCCTGACGTGTCAAGAATGATGTCGGGCTTTGCGCCGCCGGCTACCAGCAGAGTTGGGGGGGGGGTAGCTAATGAGAGAGAGTCATCCGGGTAGCTCCTGATGGCGAAAGGGAGAGGGCGGTAGAGCACGCCGTTCTGTGGCACCTGCCGCTGCCCAAGGCAAGGCCCAACCGTCTCTCTCTATCTCTCTCTATCTCTCTCTCTATCCCCATGCACCGATTCCTCTCTCTCTCTCTACCCCCCATGCACCTGCTCCTCGCGCTCTATCCCCCATGCGCTGGCTCTCTCTCTCTCTCTCTTCTGGGATTTGGTTTCGAGACGAGAGATGATCGAGAGTGGAGACTCTCGAGCCCTCAGCGTGGGTGGCAGGGGAAAAAGGGTGGAATGGGGACTTTTGCAGAGCGGCGGGCGGGCCTCTCCCCCTTCAGCACGAAAAGGGCCCTCCGCGGTGGGTGGCGGCGCATCTCCGCCGCAACGGCCCCCCCCAGCTTCGCCGGAGAAGAGGCGTTGGCGGTGGCGGTGGAGGCGGCCACGTTGCCTGTCGCCGGCGGAGCCGTTTTAATTCACATCCACATTTACTAACTAATAATATATATCCTCCGTATTTACTACGTGAATGCAAATAAATATCTATAAACTATGATAAATGATGGATCCATCAATGCTCACCAGCACCATCGCTTTTAATATCCACCGAACTCTCCCCCGGTGGGCACCCAAATCATCGAAAGATGCTTCTTCGATGAATAAGATAAGATATTCTGAATGATATTAAGTTTATATATAACCCCACAAAGAAGGTGCTATTTTAAAAATATTTTAAAAAATCAACCTTCGCCTCCTCGTGTCGCGCCGCCACGCGACAGGGGGTCTGTGCGTGCTGCATGCCGGCGACCCCCGGGGACCGGCGCCGTTTCGCCGGCTGACTCGCGGTGGCGCCGCCCGAGACGAGAGAGAGAGAGAGAGGGAGTGAGGAAATGGGAGAGAGTGGGAGAGAGAGAGAGAGAGAGAGGAGAGAGAAGTGGGAGAGAAGAGAGAGAGAGAGAGAGAGAGAGAGAGAGAGAGAGAGAGAGAGAGGGAGGGAGGGAGGGAGGGAGGGAGGGAGGGAGAGTGGGAGAGAGAGAGAGAGAGAGAGAGAGAGAGAGAGGGAGAGGGAGGAGGGAGGGAGGAGAGTGGGAGAGAAAGAGAGAGAGAGGGAGGGAGGGAGGGAGGGAGGGAGGGAGGAGAGCGGGAGAGAGAGAGTGGGAGAGTGGAGAGAGTGGGGGAGAGAGAGAGAGAGAGAGAGAGAGAGGGAGGGAGGGGGGAGGGAGAGGAAGAGAGAGAGAGAAAGTGTGTGTGTGTGTGTGAGAGAGAGAACCTTAATCGGGCCTTTGTACATCTGGGCTTCGTGAGCCTGGTAGGTCTTAATATGGGCTGTGTTCGGTTGGATGGGCCTCAAAGAGAATTTGATGAAATTAAGGCCCATTGAAATTCGGATGGGGCGCATGCGCAGAAAAGGGTGGTTCTTGTTCTTCCATGAGCGATATTTCCCCTGTTGCGGGTGATATCTGTGCGCCCTCTCCCCCCCATGCCGACGATTTTCTTATTTCCCGCTGTTTTTTCTGATGCAGCAAGCGTATCTCTGGGTCGGCAATCCCCTGAAAGCGTACACCGGCGATCTGGGTTAAGACCTCCGGACAGGATGAGACACTTTCTTCGTCTGATTGGCTTTACTATCTGCTCTGCTCTCCCATTTCTCTCCTGCTACTGAATTGTAATTGACTGGAAGTAGGAGAATAACACCTGTAGGTTCGCGAATAAGGGGCTGACGTCGTCTCTGATAGGGATCATTGATTAGAGCCTTTGGATCGACGGGGAGGTATCGGCTTTGATAATACTGGAAATTAACCATGCCTTTGACAAAAGGAAAGTTTCACTAGGATAACACGAAGGAATGGGAGGTGATAAAATGGAACACAGAGAGAGAGAGAGAGAGAGAGAGAGACTGCAAGAGAACTGTTTTCCAGAAAAGACTAATTCGAGATAGTCGTCTCCTACTCTTTCATTCCAAGAATACTGCAAAATCTACCTCCCTCCCTCACCAGGCTACAACTTTCTTTTCTAAAGAGTAATGGGCCAAAAATTTAGTACTCGCGTCAAAAATTTAGTATCCACATATGTATTATCAGGCTACAATGATTGTGTACATGAAGATTGTGAACTTAAACAAGATATTGTAGATTCTCAAGGCCTATGGTAACCTCTGATTTTGTCAACTTAGGTTGCTCGATCAATTTCCTCATATATTTCACCATTATACTTGAGGTATTGATGATATACTCTGAGCCTCAAATCATCTAATATTAGAAAAAGGACCTAAAAGTTATGCTGACCATTATCAATGAAAATATTAGCAGACATCTTTGTGATTTTCAAAGAAGACTAGTTAACTTAGGCTATTGGATTGGCAACCCATAATGAGATCATTGTCTATAAGGTGAAGGGGGAGGGGGGGAATTGGATTGTACTTTTGAAGTAAGTAGTAGTAGGAGATTGACCATCTTTATTTAATTTGTTCATTGAGTGAGACTCTTGTCTCTCTTTCTATTGTTATCCTCTAGTGTGAGTGTTCTTTGTGTTATCAATTCACCTCCAAAAATTATTCTAGTTGAATTTTTACCTCCTTTGCATGTGATGAATTTTACTTGAGAGGCAACAAGAAAATCACATTTTTTGAGAAATAGTTAAAGGATCAATGTTGAAACATTTTGATGTTTAGAGGGACACTATCACATTATTGGTAAATAAAAATGAGAATTATAGGAAAAACACTAGCTTCAAGCAACAACTTAAATATATAATTCATTTGATTCAAAGATCTACATTGCCACTCAATTTTCTCTATGCCTTATGTACCACACCTCTAGTTCTATTGAGTTGAGTTTTTTTTCAAATATATTAGAACACATCTAAATGATATGCAAGAATGTGTGCATATGCACATGTAGTGGATCATTGCTATGTCAAAACACAGATTTACATCACACATTGTATGTAGGGCACACAGAACATGTAGTCATGTGCGGCACAAGTGAAAGACTTTGCCAAGTAAGGGTATGATTGATTTGACCGACTAGTTGACTTGGTATGACAAGATGTCAACGAACGACATAGATTGACCCATGTGGTAGATGTATAGCACAAAAGTGATATAGGCACACCTACTATACATGCATAGATGGAGCAACAACAAGAAGTAACAAGTAAGTTGGCTGCTCTACACGAATTCTTTGTTAGGCATTGTGCAATCTAGTCCCTAGTGAGCCTTTATGTCACCGAAATAAATATTCTTGATAACAAAAAATAGTTCATATATGGGGCCATGGGTCCCTCTTTATAGATGGGCCACTAGGCAGATTTTCTTATAATTCTAGTATGAGATTAAATGATTCCACTTTAGGTGATGTCATACTAGTGACATCCTCTACTCCTCCTCTAGATGATGTCATATTGATAACATCATCTACTCTTGTGGCCTTTGGTTGCCATGTTATAATAGCGTGTAACATCATTGTATTTTCATGTGCATGAGTTGTGTTGTAGCACGTGGACGTCACATTGTTCTATGTATGTGGTATGTTGTCATGTGCAAGCGATGTATTGACGTGCACATACATTGTGCTAATGTATGTGAGAGTCATGCCATTGTGTGTGGATGTTGTGCTATCAAGTGGGGGAACCGTGCCAACATGCACGTGCACCATGTCATCATGTGTGGGTACCATGTCATTGTGTGTGGATACTATGTCTCCTGTTCCACCATGCACACCACTGTGCTGTTACAAGAGGTGATTCTTGTAGAAGGACCCTAATAATATTTTCTCCCTCTTGAAAGATTTGACGTTGGATGTTGCCAACAGTGATAATCTTTAACAAGTTCTTCAAATTACTAGAGATATACGTCCTTCTCCTACATAGTTGCCTCTTGTGGTTGTCTTGCTCATTGAATGAGATAAAAAGCATTATGTTGGTGTGGTTCCTCTCATCCTAGTTGATCATCTAGTGGTCTAATATTGTTAGTATCAAGATGAAATAGTAAGATTGAATTATTGGCAGTGGTTGATGTGGTTAGTTACACTCTAAGGTTTTCTCATATGCATGTTAAGCCTTTTAGTAGGTAAATGTGGAAAACTTAAGTGTATTAAAAGATGTAGTGGAAGCTAAAGTCATGATTTGGAAATGTTCATCAAATTGAGGCACCTTCTTTATTTTATGATCAAATACGAAAATGGGACCGGATAATTAAATTATCATTAAAAAAAAATGAGCATGCATTTAGGTTAGGAATCATTCAATCGTGTAAACCAATCTATTATGATGCTTATGTTGTTAGAGGCTCTTGTGACTAGGGTAAGTACTGAGTAATACCAATCTACTCGATCTCTTAACAATATCAGTTAATATTTTTCTTCACCCTTTGGGCCACCTTCACTAAGGCCTCTTGAGCCTCTTCAATTAGGTAATCTTATTGCTTGGCAAAATGGTAAACAACTAGTATGATCTTAGATCCTGTTGTTTGATAAACTCTAGGAGAGTCAAAGGTTGATGATCAATGGTGAGTTCAAATAGTTAATGTCCTATTGACACATGATGTTAGATGTTGTGAGTAAATTAGGTGACATCAAGCAATTCAACTTATTTGTCTTGTAATGTTGTGACATAATACTTGAGATAGTTTCTAAGTATATCATTTACTTGTTCTATCTGTCTATTTGTATGAGAATGAAAACTAATGCATAAGTTAAGTTATGTGATAAAAAGGGTGAAAAGAGTTAACTAAAATCATTATGTGAAATGTGAGTCACAATTAAAGAATATATTGTGGGATACCTCAAAGCATAACTATGTGTTAAGAAAAGTCCTACTACTTCTTTCACCTTGTAGTTAGATTGTGTAAGTTTAAAGGTCACATATTTAAAAAAATTATCAACCACAATCAACATGATTGTATGGTTATCAATACATGAAAGACAAGTGATGAAGTCCATAGATAATAATTCTCATAGTCCTAGATTGAGAGGTTCTAGGGTCCGTGTTGTGTTCCATCATTCTATTTTATCTTGCTAACAAATAAGACATGAACATATGTATGTCTATATGTTCTGCTCCATATTAGGTCATAAATAACTACATGTTAATGAGGCTAGTGTACACTACTATTCAAGGTGTCTTGCATAAAGTGTGTCATTTGTCTTTTGTAGAAGTTGTAGTCATAGTTGTCTTTTATGTGTCAAACAACCTTCTACATATAATATTCTGTCCATTTAAAATTGATGGGTCTCTCTCATCTGTCTGTTAGATGGGATATTTAGTTGTTAGATCCGTCACAAATGTCATTTATTAGATGCTCATGTTTATTAGAAGGATAATCACTATATTTATGATCTCTCGATACCTTAAATTATTGACTACCACTTTGGTACATCTTAGTTTGTTATACTTGAGTGAGAAATCATATTCGACCAAAAAATCTTGACAATGAACCTATTTAAGAGAGCTTCTTCTAAAAATAAAAATAGTTGGTAACAATATTGTTAGTATAGATAACACAAAGATTACTTAAATAAGTGTCACCATTATTGTTAGTTATTTTTCATGTACTGAGTAGTGTTACTTCTTATCTTCAAATAGAATGAAGTGTCCATCTTGCATCAAGACTCTTTCAATGACTACCTCTGACATGTCAATGAAAACCTCGAAAGGCTTGTTGAAATCTAAAAGTTGGAGGACATCTTCTTCCGTGACCATTACACGTAGGTCATTAAATGCTTGTTAACATCTTGCAGTCCACACCCACTTTTGATCTTTCTTGAGGAACTATGTTAGTGGTGTTATTATTTGTGAAAAGTATCATATGAACTTGTAATAGTAGTTTATGACTCTCACGAATGACTTTAACTCAGACACTCTCTTAGGTGTCACATTCTTTAATCACAATCGTCTTCTTTCAATTCATCTATCCTTGTTCATTACCCACAATGTGGCTAAGGAATTCAAATACACACTTTGTTAAATTCAAGTGCAACTTGTGACTCTTCAATGTCTCAATCACGTCTTAAGTGTAATAAGTGTAATAAGTGCTATTGCATAATGTAGATATATGTCAAGATGTGATCCAAGTATATAAAAAGGGTTAAAATATATAATTCATAAGTACATAAAATGTAACTTAGGCAATTGTTAATCTAAAGAATATAATTGTAAATTTATATGACTTGTAATACATAAATGTGGATCTAATTATATAATAATATTGATAATATTCTCAACCTCTAATTATTAGACATATGCACTACTTTGTTTTAATAAATGACTCAACTACTCATTTTATTAAAGATATCTTTCATTATGGGTGTTTACTCCTCTCAAAGTACTTTGTGAGGATACCTATAAGGTTTTGAAAATTCCATAATTCAATGGTTGAAGGACACAACATTTTTACAAAACTACAAGTGATTTACATAGAATGTTTATTAATTTTATGTGAAGATATGTTGAGACTTTTTTTACTTGTCAAATAAATAAGTTAGAATTCCTTATGTCAATTGTCTTCTTTAGTTGCAATCTATTTTGGAGAGAAACTCTTTCATCAATTATCATTGAGAGTATATTTTATTCTTCCTTAATTTTTAATTTCTATTTCTATTATTTCATAATTTATTTGATATTTTTAGAGTTTGTTTATTTTAAAATATATTTTGATTATGTTTCTTTTTTAGAGTTGGATGGAAGTTTCACCTTTTTATCCTATATAAAGGCCCTCATGTACAACTCCAACTCATTGAATTTAATAATTTTAAGTTTATTTCATATGCGATATTCTTCTCTCTCTACTTATGGATTCAAACATCTCTTGTGGATTCAAGAGTTTGTTTTAATCTTATAGATTTGAAGTTGTCACCTTTGTGGATTTAAACGTTGAAGATGTCAGTTCTATAGATTTAGAGCTTAATTTATTCTCCAAAATTTGACTTTATGAATTTAAGTTTGAATCTTATCATCTTTCAAGATATTTCTACATCAAATGTTTAATCAAAGGTGGTTAATTAGATACTTATACTTACCTTTGTTGTTTTATCAGCTATTGCCCACTAATATTATAAATGGCCTAAGTGGAATATTGATATAATGTAAATTTTTGTTCTTCTAGAAGTACCACACCATTTAGTGTCATGTACGAAAGAACATTTTAGTTCTTCTTTGTTACAAGATACAAGGGATGAGATCAAACAAAGTGGACCAACTATTATAAAAATGAGATGCCACAATAGACCAACTCAAAGCCCACATTAAATGAATGCAAGCGCAAATGAAGACTTACATTGACTAAAGTTCCAAGCATAGTAAGTTCACAATATTAACAATTGTGTATACCTCAAGCTCTAACCTTATTGACTGAAGCCCCTTATATGGCAACTTTATGATAAACTCTATGTCGTTGGCTCATTTGACATTTAAGAGCAAATTGAATTGATAGCTTATCAATTAGTCATTAGACGAACTTCAAGTATCCATCTTATCTTTCACATGTTGCAATTGAAATGAATTATTATTTCAATATTATAACACTGACCCAAGATGTTGGCATTAGATGATGAGATGACCTAGACTATGGAGCTAGTGTAGGTTCTTTACATCAGATAAGGTCACATGACAACAAAGTCCTACTAAAATGGAATGACCTCCTTGATACATAGAATATGTGAGATTTGACCAAAAATATTCATCATCAATTTTTGGAATTTCACCTATAGATAAGGTGAAAGTTTTAAGAGGGAATATTGATGAGATAGTCTCAACCTATGGCCATCTATATTAAAAAGTGGCCTAATAATAGAGTGGGTCATCATCGATGGGAAAGCTAATGGATGTGAAGGAGGCATTTGTTTGTGGTTTTCTAAGAGGATTGCTTAAATTAAGGTATTGGATCAATGAACCATTAAGATGAGGAGTGGTGGGGAGGGGCAAGTAGGAGAATTGGGTTGTACTTTTGAGTAAATGAGTAGCAAGAGGTTGACCATCTCAAATCAGTTAGCTCAAGGAGGGAGATTGTCATCCTTCTCTCTCTCTCTCCTATTATTCTTTCTAGTGTGTTTTCTTTTGTATAATTAACTAGCTTTTGGATTGTATCACCTAAGGTATTGTTTCCTGATTGTACATTTCACCCATTCAAAAATAGTGAATGTTTCACTTGATATAAGCAATTCTTAAGTACATCTTATAATGCCTTTATGTAATTAATAATATTGAAATCTTCAGATATTTGAATTGTGTGTTTAATATCAGCTTTGTTCTCTCTTTGGCTTCTCTTCTCATTGGATATTTTCTCATGCAGCCAACTAGGCCTCTTATAAAGGATTTTGAGTTTAATAATGTTCTTGCCTTCGATATCTTCACTTTTATACAAATTATTTGGAATTATGTTGTTTTAATATTCTTTAGTGCTATAAACCACATAACCTTTTCCTGAAAGTATTGCTCATCTTAATTTTTATTTAATATGCATTTTATTTTGTTACCATAGTGATTTCTAACATTTTAGCTTAGGGTTTAAGGTTAATTATTTCTATTCTTGAAGTCTTTATTTGTAACTTTTTTGTGCACATGCGTTTTTAATATAGGACTTAGTATAGGCTCAATTAAGGTTTGGAATTAAACAGAAAACATTAGTTTATCCTCATCAAAACTATATCAATGTTGGAATTTTTCATGACTTTATCATACTTTTAATATCTAGCAACATCTTTCGGTGGAACATCATTCGTAATTGAAAACTGAGATGCATATTAGTCGTCTTTTATTTTCTGGATTAAATCTCCTATCTTCACTTGGAATTTTTTTCTCATGAAAAATTATCTGCAACTTTTTCTGTGGGACAAGTAGTCCATGACAGCTTCCGTGAGGCTTGGTTTATGATCGGAGTCCCAAAAACCTGAAACTTCTACCTATGGTTCTCTTTGAATGAGATCAACCCCGTGTCCTCATGTACAGTTAAGGGTTAAAAGGTTGGGCTGCCCAACATTCATGCCAACTGATGACATGAATCGAAGAACGGAAGATTTCTCTGAAGTGTCCATCAGATTAATGCAAAATAGATCACTGTTGATTTCAATAATCCTTCGTGACCTGAAACCTTGTGGCTTTGAAACCGGACTAGGGCAGATGTGATTCAAATATTATGTCCAACGTTAGAATTTTCTTCATCAACTTTATATTAAATGCATCCTCTTATCGTCATTTTTCCTATTTAATTCATAATTTATTCCATATCGAGTTTATATGGAAGTTAAAAAATCATCACATAATGATGGAGAAGCTAAAACGCAGACTAAAGAGGAGAGATAATGATGATTTCCTTGGAAATCTCCGTCTGTCAAGAAATATTTTATCCTTTTCTAGTGTTATAGTTGGATCCCATTATGGAGCTATGATCATTTTCTTGATTCAAATTATCAATTTTCGTCGCTCTGCTCTCATATTCTCTGCTTTGATTGTTTTCTGGAAGTCAACTCCTGTTCGATGATGGTCTTCAAACTCTCTCTGCAGTGAATCCACCACCACCACCGGCACCCTCGTGGCTTAGAGTGGGAAGACTTCCTCCCTTTTGGGTCAAATTCGTTGAGGAAATTGCAATGACGAATTGGGCTCAGAGAAGAGTTCTTGAAGATGACCTCTCTGAAGTTCTTGGATGCACGGATATGGGTGGAGGAGAGAGAGAGAGAGAGAAAGAGAGAGAGAGAGAGAGAGAGAGAGGATACCACAGGTGACCTGACCGTTGGATAGGGATTGTCTGTTGTTGATGGGCTTTCTCCTTTGGCGTAAATAGAAATGTGTGATATGAAATTTAATGATATTATATTTTCGCTTCTATTTTTATTCCCTCAGCAGAGTCCGAGAGATCCGGCTTCGGCGCCGTAATCGAATTTGAGTAGAGGGAGGGGGAGATAACGTCACCGGCGGTGACTGGACTCTACAGAGAGAGACTTGTTTTAACATAAACTGTTAAATAGTTATTAAATCAGAAATTAATGATATTATGGGATTTTTACGTCAGCCAAACCGTTCAAGCCGAGTTTCTTCGCCGTCTATTGTCGGTCTCGCTGATGTCGGCCTTGGCGGGAGGCGGCGTCGTCTTCGCCCTCCGACGTTCCTCTGCGGCTATTGCCGTTCTTACTCCAGCTTTGCTCTCAGCGACCTGGCTGGTGGCACGCCGGCGTCTTCGAATGGAAGGGAACAGGGGCGGGGTCGGGGAAAGGATCGGCGGGGAACAGAGACGCCTTCACTCCTCGCCTCCTTCCGCGTCGGGCTCTTCCGTTAGTGGCGGAAGGTGAGCGATTCTTCCCCTCGCTCCCGGGCATCCTGCTTCTATTATAATCCCATAGTTTATGCTTTTTACCTCTGATTCTCTCAGGGGAAGGGGATTGGAGGCTGGCACCGGTGTTGATCGCCGGCGTGGGAGAGGCGGTGGCGACCAGGATAGGATCGATGCTCTTGGAAGACTCCTGTGAATTTCTCTCACCTTATGCGTTATCATTTCGTTTTAACGTGTTATCGTACGTCTAGAGTTATTGAATTGCTGGTCTCCTAGCGTACCCACGTGGGAATCCCTTTCCGGAGAGGATGATGCCATGAGGTAACGTAGAGTTTTTTCATCCTTCGAGCTAATATCAACACATTGTAACTTCGTGATGATGTTGTCCTTTGGGGTTATGATAGCCTCAATATCAAATCTTGCCCCGTTTTCGCGAAGTTTCGCGGACTCTTGGACATTCTTTTGAGCCATGTGAGAGTCAAATTATTGGATAAGTTCTAAAGTACCAGCTGAATCAATTTTGGCGTCAGGCTGAGCAACTTTTCTGCTGAGAGGCTACGTACTCGTCTGCCAAATAATTTGGCCCCATCTTGTCCTGACGTGCTATATGAACGTACAGTTACTGAACTTACTGTGTTGAGTGCTTAGATGACATCAGTTTGCATCTCTGTACCAATTGCCGGTATAGCCTTCTTTTTCGGAGAATGTCTGTTTTTTGTCATCCTGTCACTCTGTCCGGGACATAAATTCTGGATTTTTATTTTTGTGACGTAGGCGGAGGAGACCTATCCTTGAACCTTAATATTTTCCCATGAGTTGTGGTTTCAGGTCCTTCCACGAAAGGGCATCAAATGAGGTTATCTTGACTGATGAAACGTGGCAAGTCCCGTTGAAGGACAGAGAGATGATAAAAATAACTCCTAAATTTATTGTAATACCTATGGCGGGCGTTTGTGAATGATTACTGTAGCTATTGACAAGGAAGGGAAAGTATCAAGATCAAGATGACGATACCTAGAAACGATTTCTTCATTTTGTTTTGGTCATTAATGTCCCTAGAAAAGCATTTTGTATATTTTTTGTTCTTTGAAGTTATCTATTAACTTGTATTAGTTTAGTAGTAATCATTCTTATTCAGTTTTGAATAGTATCTTTTCAATGCGAATGCTCTGATGCTTATCTGAAGATGATGATGCAAACATTTCCTCCTGTGGTTTATTCCTTTACATGAAAAGTCTTTATCTTCTAGTGAAAATGATATTTTTAGCGTTCATCTGCTGTCGACCACGAATTGTTATTCAATTTGTTTGAAATTTTTTAATTCAGAACGCGGATTTTGCGTCACATGGCTTCTGAACTGAAATTGGACATGCGAAATGATGGGTATGTTCGAGTTCGTGATTTGTTGCAGTTGAATTTGACAACGTATGCCAAGCTTCCATTGAGATCTCACACCATTGATGATATCAAAGAGGTGAATTCTATTATATCTATGTGGATGTTGGTCCTTTTCATGATCGCATTAATATCTTAAGTCAAAGCTACCTTGGAAATTTTTTTAAATGTGTATGACCTTGTCAATAGCCTTTCTCTGACTCTGACAAGATTCTGGGGAAGAGAGACAGTTGGACGGGAGTTGTGAAGAGGGAAACAAATGCCATTGAATTGGAGAAATGGGCTGCAGACGTTTCTTAAGCTGTTACCACTTTTTCTGTTAGCACCCTAAGTGCAAGGAACAGCATTAAGGACATATGCCCATGAATTTCGAGGGGTGGAGGATTTAGAGCAGGCAACCGGAGACATTGGGCCGTGTTATTTTCTGCCATCACATTGGACGAAGATATAGATTGAGGCGGATGGTATTTTCTGCGGATTTGTTGGACCACATAAGTGCTGATGCTGGTTGTCATAGAGCTGAGAATATTCGGAGAATTCTTTGGACCACGGTCAAGTTGCCTGTGGAAGTATTGAGGTTATAGTTATTTTTAGCATTGAAGTTAGCCTGAATCTTTCCAGAGTGAAGATCATGTCTTTAAAATGTAGAACTTTGTGCAGGATACAGTGGATATACAGATATCTGGATTCTCGATTGTTGACAAAAGGATAAACTTGTGTATGTTGATTGAGGATCAGAATTGGATCTTCGTTGTGACATCTGGGCAAAAAAATGCGGGAACTCACCTTGACCCTTTTTTTGGATAGCGTCAGGTCTCAGTAAGTGTGAGGAGATGAATGGAGAAAAACATAAACAGGATTGGAATGTAAGAGGGCTTCGGGAGCCTACAAAGGCGTATTTGTAAGTAATAAAGTTCATTGAAAATTTCGAATTACCATCATTCAATGACCGTTAGACATGTATATGGGTCTTAGGTGCCAATATTAACATGATAGCTGTAGATGCAATTATTTAAAAATGAAAAAAGAGGACATGAGAGATGTATGTGCATGTCTATGACATATATTGCATGGGTTTGATGAACATTGAAGCCCGAAAACCTTTCATAGTTCTACTCCGTAATAGTGCACTTTTCATAGAGTTCTCAAGAGGAAAGTTTATATCACGTTGTCTACATTTCATCAAAAAAATTATTTGGAGATTTTCAATAATACGTTTTGCTAAATTTTCTTCTTTTTCTAACTGTGGGCATTTTGCTCTGTAGAAAATCATCCAGGGTGCTTTCTTGTTTTTGTGGCATCAGGCTAGGTCATGAACACCGTCTATTAGTTCCTTTTTCATCGATTTTTATGGAGTCATGAAATTTTAATTGCTGATTTTCAATAATACGTTTTCTTATCGGACTTAGCTAGAGTTTCTAACGTTGTGAAATGCATTCAGGCTGTCAGGAGAGACAATAAACAGAGATTTAGCGTCTTTGAAGAAAATGGAGAACTCTTGATTCGTGCTAATCAGGGTCACACGATTACGGTGATTGGAATTTTTTACTATGTTTTTTTATAATTCTATGAAATTTAGCTGAGCTGGTTACTTTTCTGCATAACATTTGAACCTTTAAGCTGAGCTCCTAGTGTCCTTGTAGACCTTGATTCCTGCTTTCTCTCTCTCTTTCTCTCTCTCTGTGTTACACTTGCACACACACATGCACACACACACATGCGCGCACACAACACAGACACACAACACACGCAGTTTTCTTATCTCTCATTTATCCACCTGATATCTGTCTGTTGATGCTAAAGAAGAAAATGACTGAGAGAAGAACAGGCTTCAAGAACTTGATGTTAATATCAAAGCATATATGGTGAGTTCTTCTGGACAGGAAGATGGAAACCGGATGGCAGAATCTAGGTTATTCTCTCAAAACGAAAAACCATACAACTTGGACCTCTATATAGAAAGACAAAACGTTCCTCTCATCCTTTTGTTTGACTTTTTTTGTCATCTATTTTTTTTATAACGTTGCAATATTTCTTAGACATGATTTGGTGTCGTTTATTCTACAGAATTTATCAGCGCTTACTACAATTTTATTGTTTTGTAATGGCTGTGTCTTTCATCTTTTGGTTTCATTTTCCCACCAGACTATTTCCTCAGAAAGCTTACTGAAACCTATCATCTCAGCTGATGAAGTTCCAGGTAGTGCATCTTAGATACCGGTGCCCAAACTTTGCATTTCCTAGGTTATTGGTTAATTTCTTATCTTCTATTGTAGTGTGTGTTCATGGAACCTACAAGAGGAACTTGGAATCAATCTTGCAGTCTGGTCTAAAACGCATGACTAGGGTACACGTACACTTTTCAAGTGGGCTGCCGACAGATGGAGAAGTAATTAGTGGTATGGTTTCTCTATGACTTTTTAGCAGTGCTTGCTAGATGCTTGATTTTGAAGTGTGTCGCTCCTGTAGAGCCTGTAAAGGTCATCATGTTCGAAAATAGGAGACGACCTTCAAGCTTGCCTGGTGAATTTGATAAAAAATTCGGATGACTTCTACATATTCTCCCTTTTCCTCGCCTAGCTTCTTGTTAGAATCGGAGAGGTTCTTTATGGATATTTCTTCTTTCTGTATTTTTCTCGTTATTGCTGCCTTTTTTTCTCTCATTACGCTGTTTTTTTTCTTTCTCTGGTTTTTCTTTCTTCTCTCTTCTTTTACGTGTTTTCCCTCCTATTGTGATTGTTATGTACTCCCACCCTCAAAGAAAAAACAGATTATTTCAGGTTTTATTTCATGTTGCTATCGTTAAGATATCCAGGATGGGGATAATTTCCAGAGGCCAGGGGTGATCAGAGAGGATATTTCTTTGAAGTGTTCGACCAACAGGCCCAAATTAGGAGGCTTCTTCTATTTCTGGTAGTGGAAAATACGACAGGCCACTTCAATGATGGCCTGTAATAATGCCGGTAAAAAATTGGTGGAATAGTCTGGGCTTGCAATGATTCTCTTTGTTATGTTAAACTCCGTTCTAAGCAGTCAAAAATTCTGGATTTTGCTGTCATAATAGTTTATGTTGGCTAGATGTTAAACGTAAGAGACGATTGAAAATAATCTTTGTAAAAAATAATTTTAGGGTACTTATTATTCTTTACCATCCGATGCAATATCATTACCATTTCAAAAATCATCGTAATAGTGGGTCAACTGAAAATTCATTGGGATCTGATATTTGGGTCCAATAGTGGGCAACTTATGCATTGCCTTATGATCAGTTGGATATGTTCCATTTTGGAAGTTAGGGAACACAACTAAATATACGGAAACAGGTTATCTTTTGTCTTCTGTCTGTTCATTTCGGGACTACAGGGCTCCCTTTGGCTCTGTATTTTTCTTGGTCAACTTCTAGTTATTTGATATTCATAATTTCGTACTATATTTCGTGTTCCTCAGGTATGCGTCGAGATGTCAATACCTTAATCTTTTTGGATGTCAAAAAGGCATTACAAGGTAATTGTCACAGTTTTTTTATGCTGGTTTGACCGACAAGCCACTGCGGCAGATTGATTAGTTTCATATCCTAATAAGACTAATTTAGGAATACAACTTCGCATGTGATTTTTTTGTTGTTGTTGGTAAGTAGATTCTATGACAAGAGAATGGGATCCCCGACATCATTTCACTCTCTCATTTAATATCGTTTCCATTTATGGAATGAGATTGAACCCCTTTGTTTCTTTCAAAAGATGGAAAACCTGATCTTGGTTGTTCTACAACAGTGAATTTTTAATTTCACCTCCCTTTAACAGCATGCTCATCAACTACTTGCATCATTCGTCTTCTTCATCTTCTTTTAGAGGGAATGAAGCTTTACATATCGGACAACAAAGTGATATTGACCGAGGGCTTCGATGGAGTGGTGCCGGCCAAGTTCTTCGAGAAGATAGAAACTTGGCCTGGGAGAGAGCCCATACCTTTCAGATGCCTCTGATTCCAGTCAGACGGTATGAACGATTGCTCATCAAACTCGGATGATTCCCCATTGATATTTCTCAAACTCTGATTCGAGCATTTCTCTGTGACCATCCATCTTCTCAACCCGTGGCTGTAAGTTCTTTCACAATTCATCGTGAGAAAGCCCACTAGACACCATGATTTTTCATCAAATAATCCCCCTCTTATGAGCCGTTTCGCAGGACTTCCACACATCATCTGGGCACAACATCGAGTACCATTCAGTTGACTTCACAGTGACTAGAGATTCGTTAGAGTTGGCCTTGTTGACTTGAAGGTGGGGGTGTGGGTCGGAAATCAGGCCCGTCTCCAGTTGAAAAAGTACATTAAAATAAGTCAACTGTAGAGATGACCCCAATTTGACCGTAAGTCAACTGGGTTCCCCTTGCACATGGGATGATTGCGCATTACGCTATATTCTATTCCCGGGTCTCAAGATTCTGACAGCTATTACGAGTTTATAATATATAATACATATTTTCTTTGCATTTGAAAGTTCAAGATCGCATGTATCAGCTGATTCGTTGTTCACAAGGTTCTGGAAAATAGCCAGATGGAATGGGGAGAATCGGATTCGGAGGCAGGAATCAAGAACAGCTGGATCGCACGGTGGATGCCTTTTTGATGTAGCCAAAAATCAGGTACATGGAATCGGATCCGCCACTCCAAGGGGAGGGATAATATTAGGCAAGTGGGTATGAGAATCCACTCAAAGAAGATCCCCCATCACCTGGCGCCCTGCAAAAAAAAGGTCAACGCTGGAAGTCATTGAGATAGGATCCATTCTGTTTTTGGGGGAGATTGACTTTGGGGGGCTCCACCCTTCAGACCATCACCCATTCACTCTGATCAAATGGAGGAGGCTAGTCAACGTATGCTGTCGTGAATTGAAAACATCAATTTGGATGCCCTAACGCACAACCATTCAAAGATACACAGCCGAAACTCTGACCTAAGAACAGAAGCACAAGTGCTTCTGGAGCATAAGAAAGGTGTTAAATTGCGGAATTTACAGGACCATATGATTGAGATATTCATTCACTCCTTGCGTTGACCAAATCCTCTGGAACGGAAGTCTCTGGGCAATTATTCACTACATTCAGGGGTGTTTCGAAAATGGGCTGAATGCAAGAGATCGCAAAGCTTATGAACCAGACAGGGCTCCATGAAAGACCCTAATGTCAGAGCATCAACACATGAAACCGTCGTCTTCACTACAATGGGGCAGCAATGGAGGAGCCCATCGATCGTGAAGACGCTGGATGACAGGTGACGGCGATGGAGAGGAGAAGGGAAAACGGGTGAAGCACTCAACTTGTTTACCTGGAACAGGTCAAGAAATAACCAGCCTCTGCAGTGCATGAAAGACAATCTCGTCGCAGGACCAAAGTTGCCTCCCGTTCTTCCCCGATCTACTCGTAATAGGAAGCAATTGGAGGTTCGGAAGGAGCAAAGGACCCGTGAGCGATCAGAGGAAAGAATCACAGCAAAAATATCAGTGATACAGGAAGAATCTGAACAAACGAATTCCAACACTGGAAGAAGAGGGCGGGAGGAAGACGATCTAAAGATGGAGGGGGCCCTGTCGTGCGGCAGCAGCTCCGACGACGGCCGTCAACACCGTCGCGACGATCAAGGATCAGATGCTGCCGATCTTCTTGACGCCGGGGGAATAATACTCGAGATACCACTTCACGAATCGCTTGAGGCCGGTTTGCAGGTCAGTGGCGGGGCGGTAGCCGAGCTCTCTCTGGGCGAGGCTGACATTGGCGTGGGTGAACGGTACATCGCCGTTCCGCGGCATCTTGACGATCTTCTTCACGGCCTTCTTCTTCAGCAGCTTCTCGAGGATGCGGACGAGCTCAGAGACGGGGACCGGAGAGGTGTTGCCGAGGTTGAAGACGCGGAGCTGGGCGGGCCCCCGCTTCTTGCCGCCGGTGCCGGTGCTCTTCCCGGCGGTGTCGAGCGCCGCTATGCACCCATCAACGATGTCGTCGATGAAGGTGAAGTCCCTCGCGACGGTGGCGTGGTCAGGGCCCTCGAAGATGGAGATGGATTTCCCGCGGAGGATGTCCTTGGTGAAGAAGAAGTAGGCCATGTCCGGGCGGCCCCAGGGGCCGTACACAGTGAAGAAGCGGAGCCCGGTGATGGAGAGGCCGTAGATGTGATTGTAGACGTGGGCGATCTCCTCGCCGGCCTTCTTGGTGGCGGCGTAGAGGCTGGCGGGTCGGTCCGTGCGGTCAGATTCTGAAAAGGGGACCTTGGAATTGAGGCCGTAGACGGAGGAGGAGGAGGCCCAGACGACGGCGGGCTGGGGGGCGGCGGACTTGGCCGCCTCGAGCACCGAGACGAGGCCGGCGACGTTGGAGTGGACGTAGGAGGACGGGTTCCGCATGGCGTAGCGGACGCCGGCCTGAGCGGCGAGGTGCATTACGTGGGTGAAGGGGACGACGTCGAAGAGCTTGCGGAGGAGGGCACCATCGTTGATGTCCCCCTCGACGACGAAGACGCCGGCGTTCTCCAGTTGCAGCTGGCGAGCCCGCTTGAGGGAAGGCTCGTAGTAGTCGTTGAAGTTGTCGAGCCCGAGGACGCCGTCGCCGCGGCGCTTGAGGGCTCCGGCGACGTGGGAGCCGACGAAGCCGGCGGCGCCGGTCACGAGCACTGAGATGCCGCGGCGGCCGGAACGGGAGGATTGACGGATGCGGGCGGAGGAGCGGACGCGCTTCTCCCAGGCGGCGCCGCCCCAGGAGGCGGTGCGCAGGGAGCGGCGGTCAATCCGGGCGGCGGAGGAGGAATAGGAGGGGGAGACGGGGGAGAAGTGGAAGAAGAGGAAGAGGCCGACGACGAGGAAGAGGGAGAGGACGACGAACTTGGGCAGAGGGTATCGGAGGAGAAGGCGGTTGTTGTGGTTGTAGTGGTGGTGGAATGGAGTCTTGTCCATCTTGAACTTGCCCGGCGTCGAGGGGAGGACTCCGTCGCAACCGCCGCCGCCGCCGCCGCCGTGCAGGTGTAATGAGGATATCGCCGTCGTCTTCAGCTGCGGCATGTAGCCCTTTCAATTGTTCTCTGACGCCATTCAGTCTTGCTAGCAGATCAGAAGACAAAAAAATCCCCTTCTTCTCCCACCTCCTCCCCCCTTTTCGTCTTCCTCCCTTTCCTTGCCAAATTAGGGTTTTTGGAAAAAGACTCCACCTCTCTCTCTCTCCCTCTACCTTCCTCTTCCTCCAATCTACCTACTGCATTATAGTAATCCACACTCCTCGATGCTCTCCTTCTCTCCCCACGGAAATATGAGCAGAAGAGGAGGCGAGGGAATCTGTGAAGGGATAGCTTGCGAGGGCTTCTGCTGCGATCCAGAAGCTTTCCTTCCCCCTTTCCTCCGCGTCAGATCTTTCCGAGGACGAAGCAAGAAATGGGGTTGAAACAGGGAGGAAGCCGACGGGAGAATGAAGATCCGAAGGTCAGGAGAGAAATCAGGAGGACGAACTGGGTCCGCCTCCCTTTCTGGGAGGAAGAGGAGGGGGAGGAGGGAGGGGACGAACACGAATCTTGCTCGGAGGGCAGGGACACAGGATAATCAGACCAGAAGAGAGATTTTTGAAATATATAAAAATAGAAATCTGGTGCGGAGGTCCGACGGAGGCCCTTAAAACTCTCCCTCTTTCTCCCTCTGAAAGATAATTTACCCCTCCCGAATGGGGGTCTCTGCTAGGTTTGTTGGGTGCCCGTGGGATGTGGGAAGAAGCGCAACAAACCCTCCCTTTGGACTCTCCAACTCATCTTCCTGGTTAGGTGGTGGACTGATGGGAACGCCCTCATCCTCGGAAACGAGATTAGGGTTCTGGTTTTCCGCCCTCTTAATCCCCTCTCAGGGTTCTTAACGACCCACCCATCACGTGCATCAATGGCAGAGAGGAAGGGAATCTTGGACGAGGGGCAGGCGGAGGGTGCTCCGCCATGAATGACGACAGCTGGTGCGTCCTCTCGGATTCAAGAGCCACCCACCTCGGGGGCTGGATCAACTCGAAGCGCCTCCATCCATGAAGAGGAGGCAGGTGGGATAGGGCGCTGGCCACCTGGGAACAGAGGCGTCCAACAGATGTTGCCGGGGGGCGGAGCTCTTGGAGGGGGAGAGAGAGAGAGAGAGAGAGCAGGTCCTCCTCTAATGGCGTCAGCCTATCCTTGACCCTTCCTCGACACCTCACCTCACCCAGATCAGAAATTTCTACCTCATAACTCCAACACAGGGAGAAACACGGACTCAAGTTGCAGAGTTGAAGGGGGAGGACGGAGGGGGAGGAGCAGGGGCTCCACTGATTTATTATCGAGTGAGCCGTAAGGCTGCTCAGTTCTTCCTCCATAGCTTCGGATCTAAGCTACAACATTCCATTTAAAGATGATTTAAACAGTTTTTTCAGGGGAAACTTTCGATTCCTGCACCTGTCTTTCGCGAGAGTTGGAAAAGAGAGGGGGAAAGGGGAGAACGGGCCTCCTCGTGGTTGATAGGACGGCGTCGGGTCATGGTGGTCGCCATGGACGGTGCTTGCAGAAAACTTCTGATGGACGACAGGGGATCGGTTCCGGGAGTGGTGGTCTTCAGCTGTGATCAAACAGAGGCCAGAGATTGGACGGATTTCAGAGCGGACCCCGGTTACGGCGCCTGCTGGCAGAAAATCCCCGAAGTAGATGGGGAAGCCCACATCCCCGAGATCCGTGAAGACAATGATGGAAGAATCTGCTAGATAGTCACTAAATTTTCTGAAAAAGCTAGGAAAATCCACCAAACTGATTACTTCAAGAACCATTACCTGACAGAGGGTATCGCAGGGGGGCATCTAGCCCTTACCCTTTCTCTCTCACATGCAGAAGGCGACTCAAGAGGACGCAAAATTATGAAGACAACCTCTCATAAGTACTGTAAACATTTATAAGGTAGTACTAGTCATCTTAGTGGTTGATGTACTTGTCTAGCTCCAACTCATGACGAGGGTTACACCCACATCCACATATGCAGCGGTTGCTGTTAACTACGTGCTCACGTTGCATGTTTCTTTAGTGCACTATCTAGCTCATGTAGTGTCGTTGCAACTCATGCTACATCAAGAAACGTCATGTTTTATTGTGTTGTTGCGCTGCATCAAGCTGTATTATGCCAAATGGGCTCTCAGGTTCACATAACTCTCCCTGAACCTTGCTATATCATAGCAATATTTTTTGCCTAAACCACAATTGTGTGTGCATGAGCCTCCTTTACTTCGCAAGTGCTATACCGTACCACCTAATTTCATTGATCTCGATGTGGTCTAAGAGGTTCACAATAACCTTATCTAGACAATGCTGGCTTTTAGTGGGAATGTTTGCCCAAATCATGTGAACCTCTTTTTTCCAATGTACATGATATGCCATACCAATATGTGTTATACTGTGCTAGTGCACACCTCTTGCATACATCTATGCTTGTAGCAGCTCTAAGGCTTCTGGGTACCTCCTGTGAACCTCACTTCGTCTCGGTGGTGGCGTCCACCTTAGCCACACATAACTTCTTGTGCTTTGTACAGCACGGTGCCAACGTGTACCCCTTGTGTGCGTCTATGCTTATGGCGTGCCACACTAGTGCCAACATGCGAGCGCTCACGAATGCAACTGCATGACCTCATGCGAGTAACAAGGTCCAACGTTTGGGACCTTATTCCTCTCTACAAGGGATGTCACAATGGGATCTAAATGTAGGGTAACGTCAACCGCTAGTTGTAAAAACGTTCACATTAATTTCCTGAGATCATTCCAAGCTTGAAGTAAAATCATTAGAGGTTATAATGCCTGTAGATATATCCGAAGCAAGTTTATTCACTTCTGATATAGGTTCTAATGCTTGATATAGCCTGTATAAAAAATCTTAATTGACTTTATTGGATTGCATTGGTTTTGATTATGTGGAAGGATAAGTTAGTCAATTCACCTGGAATAGAATCATGAAATTAAAAACTGAATATGCCTTGTGGACTGATTTAAGCATACAGATGAATCCCTATATTTTCAGTATGAATAAAGCGATATTTGAGTGGAAAGAGTTAAGTGGCTTATTCAGATGTGAATCTAATCCTTAAAGAGGTGAAAGAAAATAAATTCAAAAATTATGATCGGATTGCTGAAACATACATGTTTAATTTTGTATTAGCTTTATAATGTTGGAGTATATATTTTTCTGTAGTTACTCTTTTAGACACAACCAAGTAAGGTTCACAGGCGGCCCGCTAAGGCACAGCCTGATTGGGCCTAAAGGCTTGGACCAGTAATATGAGACCGATGAGCCTTAAATGGCTCGATTTGTTAAGTGGGTTATCTGGCCCAAAAACTCGACCCGGAATTAGCGTCGCCCAATAGGGGATGAAACGTTATGGGCCAAGACACTGCAGCCCAAATCTAAAGAGGTGTTAGGACCAAAACGAGAGTGTAACCCAAAGAGCGAAGAACTATTAGGACGCAGCCCAAAGAGCCGTTGAGGCCCAAACAAGGACGCGGCCGAAACGTCAAGGGACGGGTCCACGCAATTGACCCAAAATATATGAAGTAGCTTATTCGACCTATTAGGACGGTTTCACTATTTCTCCTCTTTCTCCCTAACTCCTGTGGGAGATGTTATTGTAGATTATCAGAAGTTGGGTTTCCTCCTCATTGATGAGATAACTCACCAGTCCAACTTACTTCCTCGAAGAATCTTCAGCTAAGAGTCACCGTTCAATGAGGTTTTCATGGTTTCTCCAGTGCCCTTGCATCTTCTTCCATACGATAAATCAAATCAAGCATCAAGAAGGTTAAAATTGAGTGTTTATTGATCACCAGGTAGCTTTGGGTTGGGACATGTGGTGTGTCTGCAACGGATTAAGAGGTTGCTAGGACCTAGAAATCTAGGTTACATACGTGTTGTGAAAGGTTACTGATGCTTGAAAATCAGCCGTATTAATGCGTAATAGATACTGCGATGACCAAACCACATACAATTGGTGTCTTGTCAAATCCATTGTTCTACATAGACTAAGATTATAAAACTAGTTAGAGAATAAATTCATAGGACCAATTTGAAAATAATAGATTCAAACCCCTTCTCCACTATTCTTAGCCTAACCTCTAAGAGACCAATAAATGGTATTGATGAATGGTTGCGTGAGTTGAATCCATGAATTGGACCCATAAATGAGACAATGACAGAATTTTTTAAATTAAGTTGTGTGAGCCAGGTTATTACTTCACATGGATGTCTCATTAAAAACCATTCTCCAGATGCATTTTACTTAAATATTCATAAAACTAAAAATCATTACGCAGAACGGTTCCCATTCACAGGGCTAAGATTGGTTTTAATAATAAGATGATTAAAAAGTCAATAATTCCAAATAACGGCGTAGGCCACTAGCTGTAAAAACATTCGCATTATTTTCATAAGCTCATTCCAAGCTTATCATAAGATCGTTAAAGGCCGTAAACTCTATTAGTAGATCGATCCAAACCAATTTTATCCACTTCTGAACTGGATTAGAAACCCTGATATTATATCAAGAACTCGTCATATGTTAGTTATATCACATGCAGCTGCTGAATGGTGGCTGGGTCGGATCCATCCGTTGGTACCAAACTTGAATGGAGCAAGAGATTGAAAATTTAAAATTATTTGGACCAGGTACCTACTTCCCATAAACATGCCCCGTGCAGACCATTTACGACACGCGGTTTAGATAAATACTCAGAAACCCAGGAAAAAGATTTCACTCATACTGGTTCCCATTGACAAGGGCTAAGATTGAGCTTTATAAAGCACAGATAAAACGATTTAAAAGCCAATACCTTGAAATCGTGGCTTAGGTCCGGTGTGGTGAGGGAAAGAATGGCGATGAAGAAAGATGCCGGATTAGAATATCCGGCAGTCTTGTATTACGGTCCGGGCAGTTGGTAGGATTTGAATGCGCTAAGGATTTGAAGAGATCCGACGGCAGGTGGCGGTGGAGGAAAGCTTTGACTTTCTGGTAGGACCCTTGGATGTTCCCCACCAGCCGGTCAACTCCACGTAACCGTCTTCTCAGGGAAACGTGGGCAAGTTACTCCAGATCGTGAGTAACCGTCATCTAATATCACCTATATAAGACGAGAAGGAGTAAGAACCAGGGAGGAAGATCGTGGAGTCTGACCCGCTCTAAGGGTGCTTGAGAGTCTGACCCGCTCAAAGGGTCATCATCATCTTCCATCCCTCTCACTCACGTCGTCTCTCTCTCTCACTCTCACGCTCTAGAGACCCCGTTTCACCTTTTCCTTGTCACCACCGTTCACAAGTCTTGTTGTGTTCCAGAGTTCCCGAGTTCCGCGAGTTATTGTGGATCTTAGGTGGATTTTTCTTCTCACGGAGTCTTCCGCGAAGGAGTAGTCCGAAGTCGTCACGTTCTCGTCATCAACCACTGTTTACTTAGCGTTCATCATTATTCTATTTCCGCTCCGACCTCTCGTTCTTCTTCTCTCTCCGATATCATTCCCCTCTTCCGTCCCTCTCCATTATCAATACCACGACAGTTACCCAAGGAATCGTCCTCCTGTTGGCCACGGCAGCACGAGAAGGGTCAACAGAACCTAGGGGCCTACCACTTTCCCTCATAAATTTTGTAGGTATCTAAGTCGATAGCTCGATTTAGGGTTGTCCTGGTGGGTCCTGGTGGGCGAAAAATGTCAGTCTCAGCAAAACGAGTCGCGAAGGACAACAAACGGTAATTGAGTACGTTGAAATTTTTAAAAGGGTTGATGGAGAGACGTAAATCATAGAAAAGATGAGATAACATCTTTTAGCGAACCAACTAGAGATCAATAATGTTTTAAAACCACCAACCTTCATTGAATCTTGAATTTCCGGGAGAAGGAGAGGGGGGAAGGGGTTTGGGCCCCCCGATTGGATGTTTAGAATGACGAGGGCGCCCTGTTCAAGGATAATAGAATGTGTACCATGTTTGCTGTAGAAAATAGATTCACCGCTAGCAGTTTTCCTTCTCATTCATGAAGTACGATCTCTATCCGAGTTTGTAAATAAGCTTGAGAAAGATTTCTCTTAAACCTCTAGTTTTCCGTACTCTTTTCATTTTTCGTCATGCCGATAATTAATCCTCGCCATTGTATGAAATGGCTGTAACATCGGAGGAAAAGATGCTCTAATTTGGAATGCTACACGGGGTAGTATCAGTTTGACATGAAATCCGGAGGAAGCGCTTATCGCGTGGAGGGGATGGCGATGAGGGCCTTCTCCTTCCTCATCACAATCCCAAACTTCTCGTTGAGATCCAACGCCGCCGCCCCACCTTCTGGCAGAGCCCAGTCCGCCGAGTGCAGCAGTGAGGCAAGAATGAACATCACCATCCTCTCCCCCAGCAAAATGCCGGGGCAGATCCGTCTGCCGGTTCCGAAAGGGAGGTAGCGGAAGGTTTTGCCGCTGTAATCCACTCTGCCTGCTTCGCTCAGGAACCTCTCCGGCTTGAACTTGGAGGCGTCCTCCCATATTCTAGGGTCCCTGTGTATTTCCCACACGTTGACGAGTACGTTGGTTCCCTCGGGAATTCTGAAGCCGCCGACGGTGCAGGTAGAGCTGGGGCAGCGGGGCACCAACAGAGGCACCACCGGGTGGAGGCGGAGGGTCTCCCGGACCACGGCGTCGAGGTATCGCAGGCGGGGGAGGTGGACCTCTTCGACGGCGCTGCCCTTGCCGACCACGGCGGCAATCTCGTGTTGTGCAGTCTTCATCCTCTCGGGGTCGTTGAGAAGCTCTGCCATGGCCCACTCCACCGTCGTGGACGTCGTGTCCATCCCTCCGGCCACAAGGTCCTGTCAACCCGGTTCCTCAGACAGGTGAGCACGGGGCATGGGGTACGGTCAATTATGTATCACAGCCCGACTTAGAAATCACGTGTATGAAGATGTTCTACGGGAAGCCTTTTGTAATTGGATATTTAAAAGCCGCCGAATAAATTTTTTGATGGAAGAGATGAAGATGAAGAGGTCACCAGGAGCAAGGCCTTCGTATGCTCCATGGTCATGGGCCCTTGGGGGTCAGGGTTCTGTACGAGGTCTAACAGCACCTGCAGGAAATCCCTGTTCTTCTTATCCACGGCCGCCGCAGGATCTCCCTCCCGACAGCTCTCCATCATCATCAGGCGCTCCTCGATGATGGAGTTTAAGATATGGTCGAGCACTGAGCACAATCTTCGCATCCGCCGCACTAGGCCCTGCAGGTCGAGCCAGGCTAGGGCAGGGTAGAAATCGGAGATGTTGGGGACGGCCGACATGGACACGATTTTGTCGACCGCGTTTCCGATCTCCCTCCAAACGGCGTCCCCCTCCTCTCCTTTCTGCGGCAATGAGCCCCCCCACAGCATCACCGCTATCAGTTTCATTGTCACGGCGGACAAGAGCTCGCGCAGATTCACGGACTGGCCTGCCTTCCCTCTGATCTCCTCCACCATCCTTCGAATCTCATCCTGGCGCGGGACGGAGAGGCTGTCGATGGTGGCGGGATTGAACAGCTCCCGAGCCGACACCTTGCGAAGCATGCGCCAGTGAGGCCCGTAGGGTGCCAAAGCCAGGTTCTTACCGCCGTAGGAGTAGACGAACCCAACCATGGGGACGTCGCGGTTGGCGAAGACGACGTCTTGGTCCCTAAGGGCCTCCTTCACCGCCTCGGGGGAACTGAGCACGACGCAGAGCTTGGCGCCAAGGCGGAGACTCATGACAGGGCCGTAGGTGCGCGCGAGCTCCGCGAAGTAGACGTGGAGGTCGGATCCGAGGAAGGGGAGGCTTCCGAGAAGCGGCAACCCTCGGGGTCCAGGAGGCAGAAGATAGGCTCCATTCTTCGTCCTCCTGAAGAAGTAAAAGACGATGGACACGACGAGTACTGTGGCTAGGACGGCCATGAGGCTTGACGACGCAGAGCTGTTCGATTCATTTTCTTCTCCATTCCTCCACAAGGAGAACGTATCAGGCGTCTTCATTTACCAAGAAAGGCGTCCTCTCTTGCTTCTGTTCTTCTCTGAGAACAGCGGCGGCCGAGGCCTTGTGAGGGAGAAGGAGGTATGCCCAAGGCATGGTGCCTTGGTCGAATTGGATAAGTGTTCCATGATTTTTTTGGAGAAATAATCACAAGTGGTATACCTTGTCGGTGAATAGAAAAATATTGAACGAGGAGTGTTTGTGCATGGATAATTGAATACGTACCAGCTATTATTTGTTAATTGTATTCACGCTACTTAGTGTTATTGTATTTATACCCTTCATTTCCGGTGCTTATCGGATCCGTTTCGACAATAGTGAACCGGATTAATGTTATCTGACCCACTCTTCGGGACTTTTAACTTTTTAAGTCTTCCTCGCTCAGGGGTCTCTCCGCCTCGTACATGGGGATTCTGTGCCTCCAATGATCATTCGCAGGAATGGCGCACCCTTGTTGTCGAAGACAGAACTGATCCCACGGACAGATAGACCGAGCGCCTGCGCGTGCGGCGAGAGCAGATGGCCAAGAACACCAGCTTTCGAGAAGAACTGAGGATACAGCCAGAACCCGTAATCCATTTCACCGAACAATGCCAACGGTTATCGATGTGTATGACCGGGTCAGTTAGCGTTTTCCACGAGCAGTTGGGATCACTATGTAGTTTATATTAAAAGAGGAGGGATGAGATCTTATTTAATAGGGGGAAAGCGAAAGAACACACCCCCCCCCCGCCCCCCTGGGACTGCCCCGAGGTGTCTCATATGAGAGAGGCCCGTGATGTGGGGCCCGTACCTACTTCCCATTGGCCCGCCACCGCCCTTGCCGGGTACGGGTGACCCACGTAGCGTCTGCATCAGCTCCCACTTAGCACATGCGAAGGGTGTTGCCGCTGTAATCCACTCTGCCTGCTTCGCTCAGGAGTCTCTCGGGTTTGAACTCGGGGGCGTCCTCCCATGCTCGATGGTCACTGTATATATAGCCCACACGTTGATGAATACCTTGGTTCCCTCGGGGATTCTGTAGCCGCTGACGGTGCAGGTAGATCTGAGGCGATGGGGCACCAACAGAGGCAACACCGGGTGGAGGCGGAGGGTCTCCCGGACCAAGGCGTCGATGTAGCGCAGGTGGGGAAGGTGGGCCTCTTGGACGACGTTCCCCACACCGAATAGGACGGCAATTTCCTCTTTTGCTGTCTTCATCCGCTCCCCGTCGTACAGAAGCTTGGCCATGGCCCACTCCAGCGTTGTGGAGGTGGTGTCCGTCCCTGCGGCCACCAGGCCCTGCCAACCAGGTTCCTTACAAGGGCGAGCATGGCTACAGTCAATAAGTGTTATAGCGCGAACCAAGAATCAAGTATTCAATGTCGAAAGAAAAGTTTGTTCAAGGAGATGAGGATGAGGAGGTCACCATGAGCAAGGCCCTCTCTTTTTTTCAAAAGAGATGATTGGCTCTCGAGAGAGGAGAGAGAAAGGGAACGCCGAAAAATAAATACTATTATTAAAATCAGAAAAGAAACAAGATTTTATAGAAGTCCTGACGAAGTGGATTGGATAAAATTAATGGTATTTGACTTTCCTCGAATGTATCCGATACTCACCGGAAGAGAGACGAGTGGAAATATAATAAGAAGTAGGAACACAAATGCAATTAAATAACACTATTTGGTACATTGAAATCTTCCATGTCCGACACAACTCATCCACGGCGGTTGCTCCCCCTGAGCCACAGCGGGAGGAGGAACCAACATGTTTTGCAGAACACCGGTGAGGTCAGTCTCATGTCAGATGATGGGCAGTGGAAATGGATGCGGTCTGATGAGCCCATGTGGAAGCTTAAGCTACGCACAGAATATTTCTCATCCACAGGGGTTAGATTAAGCTTGATAAACCGAAAATAAACCAATTTAGAAGTGCAGCAACTTGAAATGATATCGTAGGCTCGCCGCGGTGAGGGAAATAGTGGCGATAAAGTAAATTGTCTGTTTGGAATCTCCGACAACCTCATAAGATGGTTCTGGCAATCAGTACGATTTAACTGCACAAAGCGTAAGATATTTGGCCGCAGCCGACGGTGGAGAGCCATTGATGCTCTTATTCTGAATACTACACCGGGAAATATCAGTTTAACACGGAATTCGGATAGAGCGCTTATCGTGGGTTGGGGACGGCGACGAGGGCCTTCTCCTTCCTCATCACAATCCCAAACTTCTCGTTGAGATCCAACGCCGCCGCCCCACCTTCTGGCAGAGCCCAGTCCGCCGAGTGCAGCAGTGAGGCAAGAATGAACATCACCATCCTCTCCCCCAGCAAAATGCCGGGGCAGATCCGTCTGCCGGTTCCGAAAGGGAGGTAGCGGAAGGTTTTGCCGCTGTAATCCACTCTGCCTGCTTCGCTCAGGAACCTCTCCGGCTTGAACTTGGAGGCGTCCTCCCATATTCTAGGGTCCCTGTGTATTTCCCACACGTTGACGAGTACGTTGGTTCCCTCGGGAATTCTGAAGCCGCCGACGGTGCAGGTAGAGCTGGGGCAGCGGGGAAACAGAGGCACCACCGGGTGGAGGCGGAGGGTCTCCCGGACCACGGCGTCGAGGTATCGCAGGCGGGGGAGGTGGACCTCTTCGACGGCGCTGCCCTTGCCGACCACGGCGGCAATCTCGTGTTGTGCAGTCCTCATCCTCTCGGGGTCGTTGAGAAGCTCTGCCATGGCCCACTCCACCGTCGTGGACATCGTGTCCATCCCTCCGGCCACAAGGTCCTGTCAACCCGGTTCTTCAGACAGGTGAGCACGGGGCATGGGGTACGGTCAATTATGTATCACAGCCCGACTTAGAAATCACGTGTATGAAGATGTTCTACGGGAAACCTTTTGTAATTGGATATTTAAAAGCCGCCGAATAAATTTTTTGATGGAAGAGATGAAGATGAAGAGGTCACCAGGAGCAAGGCCTTCGTATGCTCCATGGTCATGGGCCCTTGGGGGTCAGGGTTCTGTACGAGGTCTAACAGCACCTGCAGGAAATCCCTGTTCTTCTTATCCACGGCCGCCGCAGGATCTCCCTCCCGACAGCTCTCCATCATCATCAGGCGCTCCTCGATGATGGAGTTTAAGATATGGTCGAGCACTGAGCACAATCTTCGCATCCGCCGCACTAGGCCCTGCAGGTCGAGCCAGGCTAGGGCAGGGTAGAAATCGGAGATGTTGGGGACGGCCGACATGGACACGATTTTGTCGACAGCGTTTCCGATCTCCCTCCAAACGGCGTCCCCCTCCTCTCCTTTCTGCGGCAATGAGCCCCCCCACAGCATCACCGCTATCAGTTTCATTGTCACGGCGAACACGAGCTCGCGCAGATTCACGGACTGGCCTGCTTTCCTTCTTATCTCCTCCACCATCCTTCGAATCTCATCCTGGCGCGGGATGGAGAGGCTGTCGATGGTGGCGGGATTGAACAGCTCCCGAGCCGACACCTTGCGAAGCATGCGCCAGTGAGGCCCGTAGGGTGCCCAAGCCAGGTTCTTACCGCCGTAGGAGTAGACGAACCCAACCATGGGGACGTCGCGGTTGGCGAAGACGACGTCTTGGTCCCTAAGGGCCTCCTTCACCGCCTCGGGGGAACTGAGCACGACGCAGAGCTTGGCGCCAAGGCGGAGACTCATGACAGGGCCGTAGGTGCGCGCGAGCTCCGCGAAGTAGACGTGGAGGTCGGATCTGAGGAAGGGGAGGCTTCCGAGAAGCGGCAACCCTCGGGGTCCAGGAGGCAGAAGATAGGCTCCATTCTTCGTCCTCCTGAAGAAGTAAAAGACGATGGACACGACGAGTACTGTGGCTAGGACGGCCATGAGGCTTGACGACGCAGAGCTGTTCGATTCATTTTCTTCTCCATTCCTCCACAAGGAGAACGTATCAGGCGTCTTCATTTACCAAGAAAGGCGTCCTCTCTTGCTTCTGTTCTTCTCTGAGAACAGCGGCGGCCGAGGCCTTGTGAGGGAGAAGGAGGTATGCCCAAGGCATGGTGCCTTGGTCGAATTGGATAAGTGTTCCATGATTTTTTTGGAGAAATAATCACAAGTGGTATACCTTGTCGGTGAATAGAAAAATATTGAACGAGGAGTGTTTGTGCATGGATAATTGAATACGTACCAGCTGTTGTTTGTTAATTGTATTCACACCCCTCGTGTGTGTGCCCTTAGTGTTAATTGTATTCACACCCCTTAGTGTTAAAACATATTCTAAGATATCTGATTTAGGTTTTAAACAATGACCCTTGGCCTATATCAGATATCTTAGAATATGTTTTAACACACTCAGCTGTTGAAGCGTTGTTGGGTTGAAGCCATCCATTAGTATCAATTTTAATGGGTCTATGAATGAAAGAAACATTGAAAATTTTAAATTAGGTTATTTGGCCAGGTTCCTATATATGGTAATAATGCTTTATGAAAAAAAATTTCCACACTCATTAAGAAATAGTTTTTGAAAAATCCAGAAAATATTTAACACATAATGTTTCCCATCATAAGGGCTAAGATTAAGCTTTATAATGAGAATATAAAACGATTAGAAAGTTAATAACTTCAAATAATGACATACGTTTGTTGTGGTGAGGGGTGTCACAGAGGGATCCAAATGTAATGGAAGCATAGGCAGGCTGCTAGCTGTAAAAACATTCACATTATTTGCCTAAGCTCATCTGGCTAATTGTAAATCATCGAAGTCTGTAAACTCTAGAAGTAGATCCATCAAATGAATTTTATCCACTTACAATCTCGGTTCTAAACCTTGGCATGGTCTAAATCAACAATTTTATAATATGTATTACCACATGAAGTAACATGGTTTCATCAACAACTTTAATGGGTTGGTCTATAAATGAGTGAGGGATTGAAAATTGAAGATTAAGTTAAATGGTCTAGATACCTATTTAAGTGTATAAATTGAAAAAACCTCATGAAAATCATTTTCCATGTAGATTTTAGGTAAATATTCAGAAAGCCAATGAAAA